TTCTCTCAAGCAAAGCACCTGGCTTATTCACTAGTTTGATGGTTGATTGCCCTGTTTTGCACAGTCGCTTGTTTCTCCACTCAATACAGTTTAAACTCGATTCAACATAGTCGAAACTATGATCTTGAAATCAGTTGAATTTAAACTGATTCCTGGACACTAGCTCATATCCCTATTGTCTCTAGTCTTGTCGATTAGATAGAAAAATGTATCCGTTCCACAATTGAGGGACGTATTGAGTTTTTAATATAGGCAAAGCGAGTGGTCGTAAAACACCATTCACAATTCTAAATAAATGACGAACTATAGAAGAAATGCTATGTTCACGACTCTTCGAGAACAATGGTGTAGTGAGAAGTGTTGTCCTATTTCTTCCAAGAGTTGCTGTTATTGTTGTCGTCAAATGTGCAAATCAGATAGTAAATTCTGCTTTTATGATCATTTCTGCCAGTTTGTACCAAGACCTCAATGATTTTTGCAATGGAAATAAATACAAGCAACTTTCTTCCGGTCAAGTTGTTGATTGACATAAGATTGATTAGTTCGAATCTAAAACCATTCGTCGAGTATGATGAGGAGTGATATCCTTCTTCATGGAATACTAGTGTCGAGATCGAGTTGAATCATAAACTTGATATTGTTCTTCCTATGAATGTTGTTGTCTACACTTTCCAAACCAGTAAAGAAAGTTACAGCTATATAGAGAATAATATCTACAGAAATGCAAATAATGATTCTGCAAGTAAGATTGTATATGCCTTGCTTTATTCTAAACTTTACCTTTTCGAATAGAAATTTGATTGTCTTCTATCAGTGAGGATTGTATGATATTCATTTTCGATATGAAAAATGGGATGAAAGAAGAATAAGGTGAGTGTGAAAAGGATAAAGAATGCCTACAGTAATCAGGTCTTTGAAGCTTTGGACAATTTGTAACGATTAGGGATGCCATGAAATACACAAACATTAAACATATTGTTTCAACAGCCTACTTTTTATCTTATGGTGTTCAAATACAGGTCATGCATATCAGTAGAATGGATAAACAAAACAAAATGCCATAAACGCTCTACTATTACCAGTATGAGATACTACTAGGGAATACTTTTTCTATTAATGACGACAAGAGTATCGTTGATGTTTCTAGAGAGAATCAAAGTCAAGACTTTTGGCTCATAACACTATCTCTGTAGTCTATTAAACTAGAAAGCCATTTTTTTCTTTTTTCACTTTATATCTTTCATCATATATTTTCTTCCAAAGCAAATTGGTGTATTTTTTGTTTAGCGAGTTGTATAAAAGTTGAAATGAAAGGAATCATTTTCTTTATCTTTTACTATATAACATATAAACATGAAAAAAGAGATAAATAGCTTGTATCAGCAAGGTTACTCTGCTTCATTTTGCAGCTCGTTTGTGACCAATCGTCTACAACCTAGTTGAATCTTGTTCTAAATCAAATGATTCTGTAGTCTATGAATGGTATAGTTTATCGCTGTCATACTTCATTTCAATTCAAAGTTCAGTTTTTAGTGTTCAGTAATTGCAACTTTCTTGAAATGATAAGATAACAATATGATGACTACTCTCCGACCAGTCAATAGAAACAAGCAATAGACTTTTAACACAGTATCTTTATCAAAAAAAAATAATGATTCTATGACGCAAGTTGAGCTTGGTACCAAGGCAGTAAAACGAGAACGTGCTCCACCAATATTGATAGGAACAATTGGATTCAAACAAAGTTCAATTGAATTCCGTACAGATACAAGAATGGTGGATGCTGATTGATCTATGCTCATCAATAGTAACATGTTCTCAATGTTCTAGGAACACATTGTCATTCAATATGAAAGTCAATCCACAGATGTACCTAAATTGAATTATGGTCGACCACCTGTCCAGTAGTGCACACAGCATACAAATATCAAGGGAACATTGATGCTTTGCTGCAATTCGGATTCTTACGTATTGATTCTCGCATGAATTGATCTTCAATTTGATTTTACGTAATCCAAATAATAGTCTGTAAATCATCCTTTTAGAGTAAGGACTAAATTATTTTAGGCAATTCGAGATAATCTTGGACAATTCGATTCTGGATCAAGCATACAGGGAGCCTAAAGACCACATAAAACACTGCTTCGGATATGATGACTCTGTACATACAACAGCGAGGTTTCAAGTGCAACGGTACAAAGTCTTTATCAACTCGACAACTAGTGGTCAATAAAGTATCAATTCTACCTTAAAGAAGCCATCCTATAAAAACACTATCTAACAGAAACTCTATTGGATAACCCAATGTCCACATAATGACAATTCAACCAACTCTCTTATAGATACCCCTAAAAAGATAACATTGTATTTTAGTCTTACGACCAACTCATTGGTTTTGAATGAAAACGTTGATTCAACTTTTTGTGGATCGAGTTGTGCCGTTATCTTGTCTAACACATTGACTCCATTCATTATTAGGGCTATATTTCAATAGTCAAGTTTGAACGGTTCTAACAATCAACGCATTTAGATGCGAAAACTTGAAAAAAAATTGACATCAGATTTCTTACTCTTGTCTGCGAAGTGACTATAGCGTACCCAGTAATGCTTGGTTGGAACGAAATAGTATAACTAAAAGCACTTCAAAACAAGTAGTAATCAATTGAATCAAGTACAGGTTAACGTAGTTATATATGAACAAACAACCAGTTCATATCAAAATATATAAACTGGTAGTATTATATTCGTGGCACTGCAAAGATACATTACAATTCATCGCTTGAGTCGATTCATGCGAAGCTATCTAGGATGAAATGATCAACGAAAACTTATTCAATATTGCGGAGGAATAATTGGGCATTCCTGTTTCTTTCTAGTTTTTTTGTCTTCATTTCTTCGTCTTCTGTATTCTTCCGTAATCCTTAGTACTATTACTACTATTAATGCTATATGGTATTTTGTTTTTCTCGGGGTACTGATTCGTTCGTTCGATTCAGTTTCATTGTAAGATCTCTCAGAATTCATGAGTTGAATCATAGCAGTAGATTTCATTTTACTTATGAAACAGAATTTCGTCTTGATGAGATATTCGACTAGTAATCAACATATGACCAACTCGTATATAGGCTGTTATTTTAAATGAGCAGTATCAAGAGATATCTTACTTTCTTTCCATTGAACAGTAAATCATTGAATTCAGTATACAATTCAAGTAATATAAAACATTTACCAGTTTCTAGATACGTAGAGAAGGAAGAAATCAAATAGACCTTTTCTGACGTATCTACTAGAATAATTGTGCCATATCCTGTTGAGATTTAACTAGAAGTGGTAAGATTCAGAGTACTCTAAAGCAAGTGATTATTACTTCCTTCAATACAGCTGTAACCAGAATAGTTTCGGATATCACACTAAAATAAGATTCAAATTCAACTCATCAATAGGAACAAGGTATTGGTACGGCATAAATACATTGTCATTTATCACTTGAATCAATTGTGGCAATAGTCGAAGATTAAGAGGGAAGGAAACCACCAAAGGTTGTAAAAAAAGTTCAAGCAACAAAGGATTTACAAAAAGATCCTGAAATTAGAACAAGACTTTTAGTTTTTGTTTTGCTGCTACTTGTGTAAAAATCACAGAATTGATTCTGCTTTTTGTGAGGATCAACCTCAAAATCTGTATATCATATGTCTGATATTCTAACCCTGTGAAGCCAGGGAAGCATTCATTTACTTCTTTTCCTTGAATTTCTTTCAACTGACCTTTCTATATTCTTTCATTGAAAAGTATATACTATGTAAAACATAAATTTTTGTCTTTTATGACAATTCATATGAATAAGGGAAAACAACCAGTATTTCGTGCTAAGACAAGTTCAATTTGTATTTTCAGCAGATCGTTTGTATAGAACTTTAACTGCAATCTAGTTGATTCTTTCTTTGAATTTACATCATACCGCAGTCTTTGGATACTACTTTTTATCATTTTCATCCCTTTTCTTGTACAATGAGCATTCTATTGTTTTTCGAACATATTACAACTCTTAAGAACAGGATCTTCACCATTCTACAATTACGCCGATGAAGAAGAGAAAAAACGAGATAGAGACATTATCTTATCCTTATCGACTAGATGACTAACTTCATATCAAGCTGGCCTTAGGGTCGAAAAAGTAAGATGGAAATGTTCTGGAGCACAAATAACCATGAGATGGTTTCAACATGAGAGCATTACAATATGTTCAGATAAATCAGTAGTAGATTCTAGATCACTGGAAACAGTATGTTGTACACATTCATGATACTGCAAGTTCACTTGTCAAAGATTAATTGATTCAACAGACGAAATTGTCTCGAATTGATCACTTGGACTATCAATTGCCTATCCCTCCAGATGCAACACAACTATCACGTGACAAAGAGATTCTTTGTGATCGGGATTTCCAATGAAAAAAGCTTCTGAAAGGTTGTACGTCGACGTTTTCGGAAAAGAAATGACGACTAGTTGTTTCATCATACTATCATGAGATAACAAATAAGTTCGTTTCAAGAATCAAAAGATAAAGATTAGTCTCAAACAGATACAAGAAAATCGAAAATCGACCAGTAAAAGCAACTGGATACTCTATTCGCTGTTCAAAATCAGGACCGTCTGTAGTCCTTCTGATAGTAAGGTACAGGAATAGTCGTAAGTGTGCAAATGGTGCCCTTTTATTTTGTAAAGTCAACAATACAATTTTCCTTTATGGTAAAAAATATGTCAAATTCGTACTTTTATCACAAAAACTATTATTAATATTCCATGTACCACTCAGTATTACAGTATAACTTTCACTTGTTGTTGTTGTCGTTGCTGTCATTTTACAATTCGAAGTAAATAAAACAATTTCAATTCTCGACTCATGCGAACAACGAAGAAAAGAGTAAAAGATAGAAGCAGGAATCATTCTCTTTGTAGAAGTGATGACTATGCCATACTGTACTAGGCTCGGGCTCATATTTGTTGTTGTTGCTGTGGTTGAATTTCATTTAGTGGCGAATGGTTTGATTTTGCTGCGATAATAGAAAAATGCTTTATGGTTCGTGTCAATGTGCAAACTACTTTGTTCGTCTGCGTATGCTTTCTAGGAATTATTTGCCAAAAGTTGGACTTTATCTTCAGAGTCAAACCAAAAACTCTAGTCGGAAACGACTGCATCAATATTTGCACTCGTGTGATATTGTAGAAGCTCAACCGATCCTTCATGAGTTTCTTTCAGAGCTACTTTGTATACTATCCAAATGCAAGCTGTTTGCACAAAATGTGAAGTTTCCTTTTCACTTTTTGACAGCTACAACTACCACTACTTTGAACAGCATGACTTTCAGTGTGTTGGGAAAAAACAGTTCAGCAGCACTCTTGACGAGGCAAATACTGTTATACACAAGTCTCCTTGTTTCCCATTCATACCGTACTACTACTGTTACCCTCCTTTCCAACTATATTACAAGACCAAAGACGATTTGCAATAGATGCCTTTCAGAAACACTATCAATACTAGTTCCAACTTTATCACTCTTACTACTCACATGTTGTTTTAGACATATTTCACCCTCGGTAAACCCAGTAATTCCAAAAAACAAAGGCGTTTCTCAAAACGGACTAATAGCTACAGTCGCCATCGTCACAACTCTTTACCCAGGTGAACACAACCAAGATTTTTCAACAGTGTCCTTTTGCTTGCTTTATTTCATGGTTCCCAACAAAGTGAGTATACTTTGAACTGAAAACTTTTCCCTTGCTTTCAAAATACAAGTTTATTCAGCTTTCGTTATCTAAAGCCCCCCATCCATAATATTTCAAAATATATACTCAAATCAATAGAGAATTGATCAACGCTCGACAACACAAACAGCCATTAAAAATATGCAATGATGGACTCGAGACTTTCCTATGCTATTCTGGAAAATGAATGAATTTTAAAAAGAGTGCGAATATCGTTTACACTATAAAAACTGTTGCAGAGTTACAGGCCAAGTTTTTCATCTTGAAAAAAATTTTATAAGAGACAAAAAACTACCATAAGGAATACAACTCTTTATACTGACAAAACACTCAACTGAGAGGCTGATCGGTTTCTTGTTCTTGTAGAATACCGTGGAAATATTAACCCAAAGACTGATTCTTAACAATCGACTACAAGACTTTCAATTGCTAATAAATACGCAAAACTGCTCTAACAATGATCAGTAAAACTAAATCTAAATGGACTTGCGAGACAATTAATTGAGTAATCTACTAAAACTCAACAAAAGCTTAAACTCCTTTGTCTTTGCTCTTTTCTTGACAATACAGCTCTCAAATTTCTATAAACGACCAGGAGTGATTCTCCTTGTTTCCCCTTCACACATGCTACTAATGCTACCCTCCTCTCTATCTATATATCCTTGACTATTGACAACTCTAACCAGATGGCTTCCAGAAACATCAAAGGCGACAGTTTCACCTTCATTACTCTCACAACCTACATAGCTTTTTGGATTAATATCACCTTCTATACATTTTACGTTCATAAAGAAAAAGTAGTCCTTCAAAACAGAGTCCAACCACTAGTAGCTACAACCGCCACTGTCAAAATTTTTACCAGCAGGAACACAACCTTAGGCTTCCAATCCTGCTTTTTTTCCTTTATTCTTAGTTACCAACAACTTGAGCATATTGTGAGTTCAAAGCTTTTCCCTTGCTTTTAAAAAAATGGCTTTTTTCAGCTTTCGTTGTCAAACTGACAACTCTAAGGCCGTGCGACCCATCTCATTCAAAATTTTCCCAAAGCAATCATCACTTATCCTTTAGTTTCTTGCAGTTCTTCTATTAGCCTGTTGGTTGATTCGTAATGTTTTGCTCTTTGGAACTTGACTTCCTGCAATGATCTGATTTCTCCAATTTTTTCTTATTTATTCATAAATCTTTATCTTCTTGTAACGTTTTACCGCTTTCTCTTCAAGATGATCGGTTTCATTTGTTTCTAGTCTCACTACTTTGTTGCTCGAGCTTTTTTGTCTTTTTTTTATTGGTAGATTTTCCAGGTTTTGTTTTTTTCTTCTCTTTATTTTGGCTTGGCTTTTTTTTGCAAATTCTACATCTATGTTTAAATAGAGTTGGTTTTTATAAGCAAACACGAGTATGACTTGCAGTAAAAATTTTTGTTGAAATTTTGATATTTTTTCTCTTTAGACTATTCAAACATCTAATCTTATGGAATCTGTCCTTGAAATATCATTATGAGTCTAGTTCAGGCTTACTATTTTTCTCTTTTGTTCTGTTCTTTTGTCAATTTCTATTCCTTTGTTACAGATAATTACACTATTGCCTTTCCTCATTTACAGTGCATAAAAATATCATACTCGTTGCTTTGTCATGCGACTTGATGTTTGTTCATTTCTTGATTTTAAGGACAAGCTCAGACGAATGATAATAGAACGAGAATCGAGCTCGCTAAAGTCACTAAGGTTCTTCCGAAATACGCTATGAGATACAAGAAGCCATATCCTAAATACTGACGACATACGGGGCATAATATAGTGTCTACAAATACGCAGGAGATACAAGAGTTTAGAAAATAGCTGTTCTCCAAAGCATACTTTTGGAATCACGTAAATGATCTTTGCTTGTTCTTCTTCTATTGCTTTTCAGTAGCAGAGTTGTTCTTGCAAAACTTTATATACATTGTGAAATCTTCGAGAATCTCTTTTTCTTGGTTCAAAACCTTGGATGCCTTGATAATGGTCAAGTTCCTTTCTTCTTACACAGATCTCTATTGCTATTATACTAGTCAAGTTATTTTACTGACGTTTTCTCTATTTCTCAACTATTCAAGTACGCAACTAGTTATCTTTGACTCTTAAAGTGGATCGACTTGTCTCAACACAACCTAAAGTCTTATTGTTATAAGGATATCAATTCTCAATGTGTTGTTATTGAAAGTTTTAACTTTGCGCTTCCATAAATAATGCTTTTTCTTGCACATTCCCTTTATTCTGGAATGCCAGAGAATCTTTTTGAGTGTGGAATCTTAGTGTTTGTAAGATATGTATAACCTAACTATATTTTTGTATCCTAGCTACAAAGAATATACATTCTCCTCTTGAAATACCAAGTTTACTCTTCTGTCTTTAATTGTGATACATGAAAGTACTTGCTTCGAGGCTAAAAGAATAAAAACATGTTCCTGCGCTTCAAAAGTTTTGTTCTCCATCTTCAAACCATCAATCACAAAGCTCCGTATGAGACAATAATGCAATAGATGTCCAAGGTTTCTTTACAAGGCGAATTCGAGGTTGGTAATTCTCTTCCAATCTTAAGAATGGCAAAATCAGTCTTCACAGTTATATCACTTTTCTGAATTTCCAGTTTTTGCAAACATGAAGCTGCAAGCAGAATTGAACAACGCTAAGTGTATGGTTACTACCTTGTTATGTATTGTTTCCCTTTTCAAGTAGTTTGCTACATGGTTCTGTTTTGAAACCATCTGTAAATAGATTTGACTAAAAGAAAAGAGACTTTTCAGCAAGATGCAATGACTTGTATATATGATCTTTTTTGTCATAGCTTTTTGAGCATAGAGACTTTAGTTACCTTTGGATACAAGTCTTCCTAAAATATTATCACATACCAAATTTTTTTTTTCGCTTTTCAGACTTGCTTAACTACTTGTCAACTTTTTGGTACTGCCTCTGTGAAGAGCTACAACGCTTCTAGCCAGCATCGCCTTGTTTCAGTTTTAGTTGAAAAGTTATTTCATAATTTGTGCAAAACGGTGTCACAAAAAGAAATAGAAAAGAAGGTAACCAAATTCGTATTTTAGCAAAGTTCATGATGAATTGACTAGCAATCATCCATAGGCAAAAAGTTATGAGACGTTGATAAATTATGTAACTACTCATGGACAGCTGTGTAAAAGGTAAATATTATCGGAAATGAAGTCATAAAAAAAATAATTTATCTATGGTCAAGGTCCTATTTAAACGCCTCATTAACTTACAAAGGAGAATATTGACTGTACAATAACATCACTCCGTCACAAGTGCCAATTTGTGAACAACCCCAAAGGCACAACAGAAATGAAAACCATGACAAATAGGCAGAGATGGTCCTAAGATGTCTGTGTGCAACTCCCGAAATAGAATCGGTTTTACCAAAAGTGGAAATATTTTTATTATATAGTTCGTCTCTTTGAAAAGATTCTCTCACCAAAAAAAACTTACGTATGAAAAGTACAGCAAAGCAATAAACATAAGACCCACTCACAATTCAGTTAGTTTCCTACAAATAACCTTAAAAATCTTAAACCAAGGTCTGATTCTTAGCCATCATTTACAGGACAAGACTTTCTGTACAGTAGCTATAAAAGTTCAAGAATACTGAAATAAGACTAAAAGTTCGCTGACTTTGTGAGACAGTCAAGTCGGTTAAGTATTAAAACTCAAAGAAGACTTGGAGTCCTGTACCTTGACTCTATCCTCCACAGAGAATTTCCATAGAATTACAGAGTTTCAGTAACAAGAGTTCTTATATAGGTAACAAAGGTTTCCAGTGCTGGACAATCCAAGAGGATACTAGAGGCTAAGTGGAGCTCAAGATCTGCGAGGAACAGTTGCACTGTTACAACAGAAACAATTCAAAGCTTGAAAGATACCCAAAGAGAAGCTTGGATATCAAAACTACACTTGAACAAATGAAACTAAAACCTCTTTTGGAATGTGATCGATTAGCTCTTCTTCCCTCGAAGCGGTAATAATCAATCAATCATGGACTGGTGGGTGAACATATCTTCTATAATTGTTGGTCTTCTTAAGTTGTCTTGGAGATTTTGTAGTCCAAGGAGAATATTCTACCTGTTCTATCCAATCTATTGGTTTCAGTCAAGTCATCGTTGGCTTGTTACTCTCACTTTTTTCCTTAAACCAGTTGACTCTTCGGATTTCACTATATACACAACTGCTCCTCTCAACTATTCATCCTTCTAGTTTTAACAAATATTTTCTTTGCAAATCAACATGTATATAAATATATTCAAGCAAAATGAAGAAACATATATATGTCAAACCTAGCTTCGCTTGACACATAAATGAACAATAATTTGAAGATTTTAAACTTTTCAAATGAAATAAATGTTCATGAATGTATCAAGAGTCAATCACAACAATCACAACATAGATTTTTCCGGTCCAAAGAGCAACCGATTTGCTGTCGATACCTACAACATTCGAATCATCTAAAAGCAAATATCCTCTCTAAGCATTGGCGAAAAGTTCTCTTGTCACCTTCATAAAGGCTTAGAAGTATACGTATTTACTTCAATGAAATTTAGTATCCAACGAGTAATCCCATCTTCGAAATATTTCAGTACCATCTTTGCAAATTAACACAATGGGCTCTCCTCAAACGAAAACTTTTCTAGTTTCTAGCTATATGGCGATATAATTACTTGCGCATTTGACTAAATGACGGAGGTAGGGATGTTGCAGTACTAGTTGACTGACTCCATGTAAAAGCAGCATTTGTTCCAGGACTTGTGGATGGGTTTGGAACAGAACCAAAAATATTTGAACTCAATACCGGAGAAGTTGCTGTTCTTTGCGCAAGAGAAGCAAACGGATTTGACCCATCAGAAGAACTCATACCGAAACCAAATGCTGCTCTATTTGTAGGAGGAGTAACGTTTGAAATGCCAAAAGCTCCTGCAACGGGAGAAAGAAAAGGAGAAGGGCTACCAAATTGATATCCAGAACTTGAAGTATTTACATTTGTACCTAATGGACTGTTCATTGGAGGATGGCTGACAGGTGATCCAAAGCCCGAACTGAATCCAGTGTTGCTGGCAACATTCTGTTGCGATGAATTGACAACTGTTGTTAGTGAACTGGGACTTGAAAAGGTTGAATCGGTGGAAGCCAAGGATCCGAAGCCACTCCATGGCCCAGCGACAGTACCAACTTGTGGAAAGCCTCTTCCAAATGGGTTATTTTGCATTTGCAACGCACCCTTTTGACTATTCGGGTTTGTTCTTGACTCTGACTGCTTTTCATTGGAAAATTCCATTGATTCAAAATCTCTCATAACAGAATGATCAGTCGTTGCCATATTCGAATTGTCAGCTTCAGTGGATTCCAAAGTTTTGATTGTCAGTTGAGTTACTTCTTCATGCTGCTGATCGTTGGAAGATTTCATAGGAGGAGTTGTAAGTGTATCTTCATTTTTCGTATCCTTTGATTTTCCATCCAGAGGTGCTGTTGGTCCCTCGTTCGAGTGGGAATCCATACTTTGAATACTTGTGGATGACTTGTGCAAAGCATCATCTGGTTTTACCAAACTAAGTTCCGATGATGGATGTGATTGCTGGACTTCCTTTTCTTGATACAAATGAGAGTTTGCATTGGTTACATGTTGGAAAGAAGATGATTTGCTTCGGACATACTCTTTGGGGTTCTCTTTGAAAGCGTCTAAATGATATCCTATCTTAGTTGTTTCTGGTTGTTGTTCATGCTCATCCAATGGAGCTTGACGAGGCGTATCATTGAGAGAAATACGATTGGATGGCATCTTCTCTTTCTGTTGTTCCATGGATGTTTTTAAAGAGAAACTAAAAGCAGAAGAATCATTTGCTAACAAAGAGGAAGACTGTAACTGCGAAAACGATTGCTCATTGGAATTATTGACTGAATGAAAAGATAACGACGCTATTGACATTTGATCTTGATTCATGATCAAAGTCTTCTCCTTGTTGTTTGTTCCAGAAATTTGTTTCAATTTTGGAAAATGCAGAGGTTTCTGTTGAGGCCTTATTTCATTTCTTCCATTATTCATGGCCATCTCATAGATCAATTGGCTAGATTTCTTTAAAGATTCGGTATCCATCAGAGTATTTGTATCTATCCAATTCTCTGCCAATAAAACTGGAAAATGAGTCCGGTTTTGTGAATAACTTGGCGATGATGAAGTAGTGTCACTGCTTTGAATTCTATCCAAATATGTCCTTTCTACTTCTTGAAATCGTTTAAAAAGGGTTTCTAAGCGTTGTCGCTGTATATATAATGACTGAAATATTTTTTTGCGTTGAGAAATTACACTTGTATCACCAATGTGATGTGCTGCCTTTCTGTCCCGATAAGTTTTCTCTAAAAATTCTTGAATGAAATCAATAGAGTGTTCGATTTGTCGTTTCTTCTCTTGTACTTGTTGTTCTATTTCTTTCCATTGTGGGTGAATCCAATCTTGTAGAAAAGTTTCTGACTGGTTTTCAGCGTTGTACAAAATTTGTTCTTCTTCCAAACGCATCTTTTCGCATTCTTCCAATTCTCCTATAATCTGTTCTATCCATTCTTTGTGTAAACGGTCACACTGTTGTAAAAGTTTTCGACATTGCACTTTGCAATCTTGATACCTTGCATCGATTCGAAGCATCCTTCTATCCATTATCTCTTGCGGAAGTGAGACATCCAAATTATCTTGTTTCTTTGTTATTTCATGAAATAATCGTTGCATCTTCTTTGTAAGATTATCACACATAGAATCCATATCCACAGTCGTAAATGAGTTTCTCTGATGAGAGCTTAACTGGCTCTCAGATGGACTTTCAGATAAACTCTTTTCTTTTTGTGATGATGACAAACCTACAACAATAGGTGCTATAGATGGTCTAATTCTAGTACAAGGTTGAGTGCAATGATCATTAATAACACTATAATATTTCAACATATCGTTATTCAACAGTAAGACTAGTCTGGGCATTGCACAAAGTTTGGTGTCAGAAGAGATTTTGGAAGGTACAGGCATAGTATTGGTCCAATCTAATGCAAAAGCTACAGGATAAGTATCTCCACCATGTTCATCGACAGGGCAAGAAATCTCTTCTCCTTCTTCCAACATGAGTAAATATATTTGTTCCTTTTCTTTGTAAATAACTTGAATATCTGTTGAATAAGAAACACCTAGAATGAAGAGTTGCCATTCTTCTATAACTTGTATCATACCAAAGGGAGACATTCCATTGCTCATAGAACAAGGTGCTTCGATAAAAGGCGAAGAATAAATATTCACTTGCTGAATATGTGTCTCTGCATCTATACTGCAACATATCAACAACATGCCATCCATTCGATGAACCATTATCAACAAAATAGTGGGATGATTCCAAAATAGTTCGAGTGTCGGAAGTGGTAACTCTAAAGGAAGAATTCGTTGATCCAATTCCTTTCCCTTGTCATCCCAAAGCTGAAACTTGGCGTCTTTGGTTATACTGGCCACTCTTCTACCTTCTGGAGAAAACATCAACTCCTGCACTTGTTGAGGTAAACGGAACAAGATTTGGTGCTTTGAACTTGGCCAATGTATTCGCTCTATTTGACTATAGTCACTACAATACAGATGTTCTTCTTCTTCTACTGTCCATATTTTACAGGGAACGCTCGAAACAGAGATGACTTGAACAGGTTCTGTGTTATTTTGAAACAAAGCAGCGATAGAATACAAAGTAAGCTTCACTTCTTGTTGCAAATGAACGAATAATATATTTCCTTTCTTGGCAAAACCAAAGTTCTTCACGACTTTGGAAAATTTTAAACGCTTGTATTCTGTCAACTAGATGATCTCTCATTGAGAATGAGGAAAAAGTTGTCCCACTTCTTAACTAACCTCGTTCGTTGATTGTTGAATGGACTTCAACCAAGTAACCACAACTTGACTTCCTTTCACTATTGCCAACACTTCAGTTTCATTACAAACTGACAACCGGCTATTCCAAAAAACATAACAGTCCAAGTTACAAAGTTTGAACCAAAGAAAAAGTACATCATTTACCTCAAACTAGCAGAATCATCTTCAACATTTTGAAACAACTTGTCAACGTATAAACTCCAATTTTCTTTAAAACGAAAACCGCTTTGTGACCTGTCAGGTATAGTAGAAACGGACATCCCACAACAATGTTCGGATAATATCAATATGGGATGTTGTCGTTGTTCTTTGTTGTTTATGATTCACTCGACAAGAAATAAGACAACCAATGTCCTGCGTAGGAATAATGTGCAACTTACTTATGCTTTTGGTAACTTTACTTTTCCTTTGTATAAAGGCAAAAGCAACCTCCTTTCACGTAGACGCAGTATTGCAACTCTGAATCCTCTCAAGGTAGAGTTTTATTGAGTAATGGTTGTTATTCTAGCTGAACCTAACGAATGGTGTGCAATAGTTTAAAAATTTTCCTTTTTTGATACTTTCAGCTCCCCAAAATACCGAGTCGTTGGTAGTCGTGAACAAAGAGTCCTCCACGCCAAGGAGAACTGGAAGTGTGCACACTCCTGAAAGCAAAGCAAAGATAGCAGCAGCTAGAAAGGGTAGTATTCCTTGGAATAAAGGAAGAAATCATTCGAAAGAAACTAGAGAGAAAATATCGTATAGCTTAAGACTCAAAATGGCTGACCCTAAGGTAAGAGAAATGGTTGATTTCGTGGCAAGACAAGATATATGACATAGTTTCTTGTTGTTCGATAGATAAGAGAAGCACTTCGAGAAAGGCAGTTGGGAAAATTGCATTCTGCCATGACTAGGCTTCGAATAAGACTTTCGAGTAAGAAAAGTCATCCCAAGACCAGTTGGACTGTAGAAGGCAAAGGTCCTTTGCCTTATTTCTTTTCCAGAGAAACGACAACACGAGTAAACCAACGCATCTTTTTACAACTTTGCGAATACAAAATGCGTTTTCCTCAAATCAAAACTTCTCGTCAGAATCAAAAATTGTCGATCATCTTTGGAATGGAACCTGTCAAAAGTCAATCAACTTCCAGTTCAAAAGCGAAATTGACAAAATCAGAAGAAACAAGAAGGAGAATAGCAGAATCTATTCGTGCAAAATGGAAAGATGTGGAATATCGTTCTAAAGTGATTGAAGCAGCTAGAAACCGACCAGGAAAGCCTATTGGAGAAGAAACAAAGAAAAAGATAAGCCAAAGTCTTCGAAATTATTATATCATTATGGGTAAGTCATCGATTGAGAAAAGAAAAAAGGAGAATTGGAGTGAAGCATACAATCCCATATTATTTCGCAATCGGTTGGACCGCAAACAACGCAAGCAAAAGTTAGCTGAGATGTTGCGCAAACAAATGGAACAACTAAGTATTCGGTTACGGTCTCAAAATGGAGAAGATACGAGCTCCAATTGGAACAGTTCAAGCTCTTTATCTCTCTGAGCTCATGAAATAGAAACTCGAATAGAAAGAAACGAGTTCTTTTGATAGCAAAACTGTTATGAAGACTTGAATAGATTCTTTGGAGTAAAAAAAAAAAGTTAAATGACTCGGAATGCCAAAACAAAGTTTGAGAAAGTTGATATATAAGCGCAGTCGAACAGTTTGAAGATGGATTTGTTTGAGGAGTGGACATCCATTCAGAACTTAAAATGGCTTTGATGGCGTTTTGGAGTGTATCAATTGCAGCGAATCAAAAACTTTACTTTTATTGTCGTTCATTTAAAAAAACACGAAAGTGTCATAACCAACCGTGTCGATATTCTAAACTTTTCACAATACTGACTTGCGGAAAACAGAGGGAGCAAAACTTTTATTCTCAAACTACCTTGTCGCCTTCAACCTATGAGAAGATCGACTATAACAAACTATCTCCCATGTTGAGGCACTATTGGGATACTAAAAGTGAACATCCAGATTACCTTTTATTGTATCGAGTGGGAGACTTCTACGAATCTTTTTTCGATGACGCCCAAATACTAGCAGAAACTCTGGAAGTGGTAAGTGTTCAAAAAGATCAAGTATAGTAGCAGATATTTAGAGTTTTGTTTAGACACTAACTAGTAAAGGCGGAGGAAAAGATTTGGGATGCAAGGTTCCTATGTCAGGAATACCTCAACATTCATTGGATAAATATCTTTCAATATTGTTAAAGAAAAACGTCAAAGTTGCAGTTTGTGATCAAACCGAACCTGCAACAATGGCTCAAGCAGGTTCTTTAGTAAAAAGACAAGTAACCCGTCTACTTACGCCAGGCACTTTGACGGAAGATTCTATGTTGGATGCTAAGAAAAACAATTACTTGGCTGCTATTGCTGTAGACATGAGCTCATCTACAAAAGAGTTTAACCGAGTGAATTGGGCAATTGCTTATGTTGATACTTCTACCGGAGAATTTCAAGGATTAGAAGGAAAGAATATCGATGCTTTTATAAGAGAACTCATAAGGATTTCTCCTTCGGAAGTTTTGATGGAAGATAACCCCATATGGAAGAATATTCTACAAGAGCAATGTATTACGTATCAGCTACCAGAATTATGTTATACTGCTCGACCTGTTCACTCTTTTGACAGTCAGTTGGGTAAACAACAACTTTTACAAAGATTTCATTGTAATAGCATTGAAGTGTTTGGTTTAAAAGACTCTTGCTTGTTACTAAAAGCTTGTGCAGCTATATTTCATTATTTACAAGAAACCATTGAAAGAATAGCACCGATCAATTTGAATTTCTTTCGATTGCATAGAGCTGATGAATTTGTTCATTTAGATGAAAATACTTTGCGGAATTTAGAAGTACTTGAAACACTAAGAGAAGGAAATAAGAAGGGATCCTTGCTTTGGTCTGTTGATCGTACAGTTACTTGTATGGGTGCAAGACTGTTACGAAGATGGTTATTGCATCCATTGAGAGATGGGCGAATATTAAATGCAAGATACGAAGTTATAGAATTGCTTATTCAAAACTGCGATATTCTATCAGGTTTAGTTGACACTCTAAAAGGTTTCAATGACTTGGAAAGATTGGCTTGTCGTATAGGTTCTCTTCGTGCGAATGAAAAGGACTTTTATCATTTGGGAGAATCCTTGAAAAAGATCCCTCGCTTACTACATATCTTGAATAGATTGATTTCTTCTTCTATTGATAGACAAAAAAGAGTGGTTGATTTACTTGCAGCTATTCTGTCGCCATTGTCAGAAGAGTTGATTCAAGTTATCGTGGAAGAAATCGATGCTAACATTACTTTGTCATCACCAGTTTCCACAAGTCCTCATGTTGTAGATAATTTTACTGGATCCAACTCCGAAAGTGTGCTCTTCGTTCAAAGTGGAAAAAATCAGCAATTGGAAGAATTGGAGAAAGAATACAAGCTTCATATGCAATGGATGCTGGAATATGAAAGGAATGAAAGGAAGAGATTGGGTTTACACAATTTAAAAGTTGGCTATCACAAGTCTTTGGGTTATTACATTTCCATTTCGAAACGTGCACTTTCCAAAGTTCCAAATGACTATATTCGAAAGCAAACACTAATAGGAGAAGAACGTTATACCACTACTCAATTACTGGAGAGAGAAAGAAGTATTTTATATGTTCGAGAGTGTCTTGCTTCAAAGGAACGCGAAATTTTCGATAACTTTCGTAATCACCTGCAACAATATGCACCTTCATTACAGAGAATAGCCGAGGCCGTAGCAACATTGGATGTCTTTTGTGGTTTGGCAAGGATGGCAATGGAAAGAGAATATTGTAGACCGCAATTATATTTATTGGATGATGAAGAGAAGAATAGTTCATCATCGGCAGTTGTCTTGAAGATAGAGAATGGTCGCCACCCAGTAGTTGAGCAAATGATTTCACCAGGAAGCTTTGTTTCCAATTCCATCGATTTATCTCATCAGTCGAGTCGTTTGGTAATTTTGACAGGACCCAATTCTTCTGGCAAAAGTTGTTATTTGCGTCAAATAGGAACCATCCAATTATTGGCGCAAATAGGTAGCTTTGTACCGGCACAAGAAGCTCAATTAAGTATTATGGATGCAATATTTACTCGAGTTGGAGCTGTAGATGATATTGGTTCAGGTCAAAGTACTTTTATGGTAGAAATGACTGAAACTGCAAGAATATTGCGTCAAGCAACCAAATATTCATTGGTATTGTTGGATGAAATTGGTCGTGGGACAGTAAGAATACAATTGTTTCGATATGAATCAAAAATATTGATCAATTTTTAGACAACTTTAGATGGTTTGAGTATTGCATGGAGTGTAGCAGAATATCTTTCATCAAATATTCAATGTTTGAGTATTTTTGCTACTCATTATCATGAGATGAATGAACTCGCTTCCGTATTTCCTTGGGTTATCAATTTACAAGTAAAAGTCATCGAAAAGGATGATCAAGTCATATTTTTGCACAAGGTTATTCCTGGAGGAGCCAATAAAAGTTATGGTATCCAAGTAGCTGGTTTGTCAGGTTTGCCTGACGTTGTAGTGGAAAGAGCTCGAACCGTTTGGAGGACTTTGGAACAAGTAGGAATGCAATTGAATCATGTATTAAAGACTCAGTTGTATCAAATAAGCAATGGAAATGAAAATGTTTCCAGAGAGAAATCCAATGATAATATGTTGATGACAAATGGTACAAAATACAATAGAATGAATAACAGCAATTATGATATGGAAAGTCTGCAAGAACAATTAAAAGACATGAAACGACAACTGGCATTATTGGATGCACAATTTCAAGAGTGGCTCACAAAGGAGAAAGAAATAAGATGATCAAGAGCAATAACTGAGACAAGTCATCTTTTGTAATATTATTGCAACATAAAATATGTGTTCATCGAGGAATTGTATAACATTGTAAAGCACAAAGGGTTCTTGTTGGGTATTCAAAGTAAAAAAGTCATCAATATTCTTTTATCGGATTGTCACATGGTTCATGTGATGACATCCGAAGCATCCAAGCTTGTCGATAACCTTGAAGATAGGCCCTATCATATCTCCAAGTATATAGCCATAAGAAGAAATGTGTACGAGCAGAAATGTATCTTTGTTGTTGTATCTTCAAGGCTCTTTGGATCATTGTTCTTCTTATCGCTTTTCCTAATCTATTGGATATTTCGGAAGAATGTTCCTTACCGAAACAATCCACAAAGAATACAGGTATTTGTTGCTTTAAGCATTCCTCTATCAAATCTTTTCCAAATTTCATAAAACTTTCACCCTTTGAGAAACCAATAGGAAGTATGATTCCATCTATTCCATTTAGAAAGCGACATACATTTTGATGATAATAATAAGACGAAATCAATATATCCCGATACATACTATTATTCCATCTAGATGCGAGAATACTTGGCTGACAAATAGTAAGCAACCCATTCATAAAAAACTGCCACAGGAATGGCTTATTTCCAAACGAATCGAAGCTTCCCCAATCTACAGTTGCGTGATGAAGAAAGTTTCGTATAGAAACCTTTTCAATAACATGGCTCCATGGCAAGGTCCAAATAGAAATGTTTCCATCTAGAACATAGATTCGATTGTGTGGTTTCTCTAGAATGAAGTCATTTTCCATAGAGTGGTGATGTTGTCTTATCTCATCATTATTCTGGTCATAACAACTGTCAAATAGCCTAGCAATTAAATAAGAACAACCATCGACGAACAATAAACGAATGTATTTTTTGTACAAGAAAATTTCATTCAAACCAAGAAAAGGAAACTTATTCAAGGATTGCAATAAGCAACTCATTCTTTCTGATTCACCAACATACCAGTTGAAAACAGAACTTGAGCCATAACAAAACTCCCACAATTCATCATCTCGATAGGGAATAGAATCCAAGTCCATACCAATCAACCGATAATTCCACTCGTAACCTCCATCTTCAAATCCATCCTTATAGCCCATCGAATGAGCTTTCCACCAATAATAAACTCCCATAATGACGAGTTGAAATAGAAAAATTATCCAGTTTTGACCATATATGAAAGGATGCAAATATCTTATGACAGGATGTTCGAATACGAGACGTTGTATCAGACAACGCTTCATTTCAAAGCACAATTCTTCTATTCTTGACTCAAACGAATTTCGATAACAGTCGGAAAGTATCAGCAATGGGATACCTTCTTTCATGGCTACTTGTATAGTTCTTTGTAGGACGATGTTTGTTGTATCCCATGGTGAATAAATAAGCACAGCATGAGCTGTCTCAGATAAACGATTACCAAAATAGAAAAGAAGACGATGAAACAAAAGAAAACGTTTCCTTGTTATTATAGCATCCATAGCTGCACAGTTCCAAGTAGCTAAACCTCTCAACAAATATTTTATCTGTGCAAGTTGTCGTCTCTTCAACGATTCAGAAAACTCGTCGATGGATATGAACAGAATACAAGTCTTCTCACCTATAACTCGTTCAGTTCCTTCTTGTATTGTTTCCATACAAAGTATCCTATTGGAATCTAACAGATAAGGAAGTATATCTTCTTTTGTTGCTGAAGGACCAAGCAAACAAAGAACGTTGATCTTGTCAAGAGTATGCAATTCTCTATTATGTTTAAGAAAAGAAACTTCACAAAGGAAAGATAATATATCTTCCTCAAAACACTTTTTCCTTCTCGTAACACACGAGTGAGACTGTGGTTGTGGATCCTGACTTTTACAAAGTGCAAAAGACTTTCTCTTATAATATTGATATATACATATAGTGGTTCCAAATCCTATACCTATTCGAAACCAATGTTTCAAGCAAAACAAACGCTGCCACTTATGAGTAACATGAAGCTGACGAGCCGTTCTAAAAGTCTTGTACATACAATATTGGCCAATATGACGCAACATATGGTTGTTTGACTAGAAATGAAAGGAATAACTTCACTTGGGTCAAAATGGTTTGTAGAGTTTGAAAAGAATAATGTTCATAATGTATATGATAGAATAGCAGAACACTTCACGAAAACGAGATATAGAATATGGCCTGGTGTAGAGTTGTTTCTGAAACAGACAAGTCCTCTCGATACTGTTTTGGATGTTGGTTGTGGAAACGGAAAGAATCTTATCTCATATAGGAATCTTTTCTGTATTGGAATCGATAGGTTTGTACACTTTTGGATAGTTATTATCTCATTCAAGTGAGTGATATAGGTGCGTTCCTCTTGTGAAAACTTGTAAACAACGTCAGTTGGAAACGGCTGTAGCGGATATTCTCGAATTGCCTTTTCAATCGGAAAAGTTTGATATCGTTTTGTGTATAGCAGTTTTACATCACTTGTGTACTCGAGAAAGACGAATATTAGCCATACAAGAACTGGGAAGGGTCTTAAGACCAGGTGGAAGTTGTCTCTTATATGTTTGGGCAGCTAACGAAAATGATGGAAAAGATGAGGTAAAGAATACAAAAGCTAGAGAAAAGATGAGATTTTTAGATGAAAACAAACAAGAAGCTCTGATTCCTTGGGTTGTCATCGACCACGAAAAGAAAGCAACTCAACTGGAGAAGAATCTGAAACAACCTTCCACTTTTACTCTGGAAAGATATTATCATTTATATCGTCAAGGAGAGTTGGAAGAAGAATGTCTGCAAAGTAATTGTTTTCATATTCAACATTCTTATTATGAACAGAGCAACTGGTGTGTGGTATTAGATAAGAAATCTTAAACTTTTAGACTATCATTTAGTCAATTTTCTTTTCTTTCTTCTATAAAGTGACTTTTGCTTGGAATGAGTCGTTTGTGCTGTGGACTTTTGTTTGGAATCGTTCAACTGACGTACATTATTAGTTCTATCATCATTCTTCATTTGCAAGTCTTGTTTCTTTTTTTCCAAAGCTAATAATTTCCGTTTGTCTTGCAATGCAAACTCCACAATCAGACGACGTCCTTTCCATTCCTCATGAAAGGTTTCGAGTATATCTGAATCTCTATTCAGTCGTTGTAAACATTTCTCAGCAACTAAAGGATCTAAAAACTGCACAAAACCTCGACAGGTTGAACGAAAACTTCCATCTTTCAGTTTTCTCTTCGAATCACGAAGAATAAATGCATTTTTTACTATCTTTTTTTGGGATGACAAACTCATATTCATATTCGCCATTTCTTCTTTTGCAACAATTTGTATCAACTTTCTTAGTTCCTTCTCAGTCATAGAACGTGGCAACTGATGAATACAAAGACGAGTCGAAGAAACAATTATATTTGGATTACGTTCAACCTTTTGTTTTTTCCATTCATAAAGAGCCAAACGCTTTTGTAACTCTGTCTCAGAATACATTTTGGCAAGTTTGCTTTTTGGGTCTATAAAGCCCTCCTTAAGAAGATGAAGATTTCTTGTTTCTGCATCTTTCTTTCTCTGTTCATTTTCTTTGTTTTCTTGAGAATTCACTTTGAGTGCATGGCACACAATCAATCTTCTTCCATCGAGTCGAATACCTCCAGCACTCACTTCCTTGGCAAGACTAGAATTCCTTAGTTTCTTTTGCAAAATAGGATCCTCCCACTCTTCTGATAATTCATTGGCTTTCCTAAGACAATTCACAACCGAATGTTGTCTTATGAAACGCACATATGCCAATCCGTTGTTCTGTCCAGTATTCTTCTCTTTGTCTATCCAACATTTCTCAATTTTACCAAATGCTTCAAAACAAGACTCAATTTGTGACTCATGAACACCTAAAGGTAAATTGCGTATCAAGATGGTTCTCTTGTCAGGATTATCTTTGCTATCAATATGAACTGATGAGGATTTGTCTGTGACATGATTATCTTTATACTTTTCTTGACAAGTTTCTGTCATATCAATGCTTTGTTTCTCTTGTAAATATTTGTCTTTGGATAACGCATAATCAACTGCTATCATACGACCGTTCAATTCTATTCCATTCAAGTTTCTAATGGCACTTTCTGCATCTTTAGGAAGAAAATATTCAACAAAGCCATAACCAAGACATACATTAGGATATTTGATATTCTTTGGAAGTCTCACAAGTTTTACAGGACCCGACTTGGAAAATGTATTCATCAACTCTTCTTCACTCGTGGCAAAAGGTAAATTTCGAACAACAACCGTACAGCGTTTGGTGATAGGAACATGTGCAAAGGTAACATCCAAATTGCTTTGCCACTTTTTACAAGATTGTTGTAGATAAGAAATATGTTCCTTTGCTGCCTCCCGAGTAGAAAATATGCAGTGTAGAATTCCTCTTATGGGTCCAATACAAATGAGAAAGCCTTTTAAAGGATACAATAGTTCTTTGAATTGCTGCAACCAAGGCACTTGTAAAACAGGTTTGATGAGAATAGTTCTTTTCGCTATGTCTTGAGAATTTCTTGATACTTTAGAATCCAACAATTGTTTTGCACTGGTTCCTTTACCCAAACCCAAGAGTTTGGAGGACTTGGGTGCAACCCACGGAGTGTCCTCTTCTTGCTGATCCGATTTGTCCGTTTTGGTTCTTCTTAAAGCATAGTCAACTAAAATACGTTGGCCACAAAAAACTAGTCTTTGTCCACATTCCAATACTTTGGCTGCATCTTCGGCTCGTTGAAACTTGACAAAGCCATAGCCTCGACAGTGGCCAGTAACAGCGTCTTGGATAACCAAACAACGCTTGACGGGACCAAAACTTTGAAAATATAACGTCACTTCTTCTTCTTTCGTTAAATAGTCGAGGTTATTTATAAATAAACAATGTTTATCTATCAAGTCTGCATACGTTTCGTTCAAGTGGACAACTTGAGCTATTTTCCTCTTCTTCTCCTTCATCGTCTCCAATGCCAAGACGTAAAATATTTTTCCGTTTGTACAAGAGTTTTCCAACTGTTGATAAAACAACAAATATTCAGTTTATTCTTTTGAAGTTTCTTCTGCTTGTTCTTTTTCTTTCTTCTTCTGTTTTCCAATATTTTTGGCTTGTTTTCTGGCAACTCTCAAAGTCTGATAGGCACTCTTTGAGCGTTCTTCTTCTGTTACTGTCCGAGTTTCTACACTTGTCGAAGTAGTGGATTGAATAGGCAATACATCTCCAAAGACTTGTTTTGCCATGGCAAGTTCTGAAGGATCACTGTCACCACTCTTTGGCTTGCCGTGTCTTCTGGGGAATAAGATTAGTCTCGACAAGTATTCTTTCAAGCGTTGAACGTTGGTCTGAAGAGACTCTACTGAACGATTCTTTCTTCTACGGTCAACACTAATACCAATCGTTCTAGCAAATTGTGGATTGATCTTGGCCTCTTTCAACTCTTCCAAAGTAAAACCTCTTCCAAGTCTTACGTTCATATTATATTTCACAGTGGGACAATGCACAATGGGTCTCAAGGGACCTTTAGCTGGACGAGGAGCTAAACGTGCTGCCTATAAGACAAATGTAAGCCAAAGATCCACTCTATGAGAAAAAAACATTCAGACCTTTTTCTGACGTGCTAATCTTCTTCTCTTCTTTCTCATAGGTTGATTGAACCATGTTTTTACTCTTCTTTGCCAGTCTTTGTGAAAGTGACCGTTGGGAACTACATTATTATGTCGAACCATATTCTAAAAGGCACGACGTCGATGCACACAAATCACCCAATAACGTTGAATGGAAATGGACTAAAGTTGCAAAGATCGTTTTATTCCGAAGCATATAAACGAATATATTCTCGAGCAGTTTCAATAGCTCGACGTTCATCTTTCTTCCATAAATCAGCTGCTTCGTTATTCAAAGGGTCATCAGGATTAGGTGCACTCAACAGTGCCTATTCATAGATAATAGAGAATAAGAGTCTTCCCAAGTTCACTTACCTGAATACTTAATAAAACAGTTCTGATTTGTAACGCTGGACTCCATTTATCTTTCAAGATATCCAAACAGATTCTTCCCAAACGATCGATATTGGGATGGAATATCTTTGTTAAGAAACGAACTTTAGGAGGAGCCATTGGATAATCATCTGGAAGAAACAATTCCAACTTAAAAGTACCTCCTAACGAATGAAAAGAAGAAAAATAAACAACAAACAAGTTTTCTTTCTAGTACTACCTTCATAAGGTGAAGAGTCAGGACCCTGAATAATCACGTTAAAGTAACGAGCATTGTCTTCGTGAGGAACAGCACTTATTCCAGGAACTAGAAACCTACTTTTAGTACAATAACAACAGAACAATTCACTATAATACAATGGTACCTGGATCTTGAAGTAACTTTTCAGTTTCCTAAATTTCTAAAAGTTCCAGTATCTATTCAGTTGGTCACTATAACTCAACCCAACCAACCTTGATAATTCTTCTAGGAAGCCCTGACAAACTACTCATAATTTTTAAGGGTATAGAAACAAGGTTTTCTACTAATTCTTGTTAATAGATGTTCTATATACTACAAAATGGAGAATAACTACAACCAATTTCAAAGTCCAACTCCAACAACGCGTATAATTCATTATGATTTGGGGAGAGAATAGAATGATATAAGTCTTTCAGTTTGTGGATCACATATTGTGTGTTAGTTGAAACTTTGATGGAGGAAAATGTAGAACTTACTACGATATCCAATAATCACTCTGTACAAGAACAAACTGAGGAAAAAGCCTCCAGTTTTGAAGGCTTACAGTTCTTGACAGAACAATCAGAAGATTGGGAGCTTGGTGAATCGTTTCCTAAGCGAAGTGTTGGAGTATGGCAACTATCCAGTCTAATTTATTTATTAACTGCTGGAGGTGGTTATGGATTGGAGCCATTGGTTGGTGCAGCAGGTCCGCTACCTGCAATAGTGGGTATCTTGATTGTTCCTTGGCTATGGTCTGTTCCTCAAGCCTTGATGACAGCAGAACTGTCCACCATGTTTCCTAAAGATGGTGGATTTGTTTTATGGGTTTATGAAGCTTTTGGAAGTTTTTTTTCTTTTCAAGTTGGTTGGTGGACGTTTGTGGACTCTTTGGTGGATAATGCGTTATTACCCCGACTCTTTAGCGATTATTTATCAGTATTGATAGGAACTAGTAGCATATCTCGTTGGTGGACAACTTTGGGAGGAATACTTATATTGTCTTTTTGTACTGTACTGAATGTGATTGGACTGCATATGGTGGGATGGGCTTCTATTCTGTTTACTATTTTTGTATGTTTTCCCTTTTTGTTGTTGGCTTTGATGGGTCTTCCAAGAGCTTCTCCTCAAGTTTGGTTAAGTTTTCGAGGTTGGAAACTATCTCATTGGCGTTTATATTTTGCATCTTTATTATGGAATCTATGTGGCTATGATAGTGCAGGCACTTGTGCAGGAGAAGTTCGAAATGCTTCTCAAACTTATCCAAAAGCTATTTTATTGTCATGTGCAATGGGAATCATATCTTTTCTCCTTCCAATATTATCCACAGTAACATATAATCAGAATTGGGAGTTGTGGACGGATGCATTTTGGCCTCGTGCTTGTAACCAAGTAGTTAGTGGACGTTGGTTAGGCTATTGGATTGCGTTAGGAGGAATGGTTAGTGCTGTTGGTATGCTCAATTCTTTATTAGCTACATCATCACGTGCTTTATATGGAATGATTATATGTGGTTTGTTACCCAAACGACTTGGTTATTTACATTCCATATATGCAACTCCGATATTTTGTATTCTTTTGGTTTCATTGGGTACCGCATTTTGTAGTATTTTCAGTTTTGAAAGCCTTTTGCAAGTTGATTCGGTTTTGTATAGTCTCAAGTTGGCATTGGAATTGTGTGCTTTTATAGGTCTTCGATATTCACAAGGACATCTTTTAAGACCTTTTCGAGTTGCAGGTGGAAATGGGGTTGTCTGGTTATTAGTTGCAAGTGGGTTATTTTGTTGTTGTGGAATGATATTGTTAAGTAATTGGGCTGCTGCAGTGACCACTTTAGTTATGATTGCATTGGGAATACTTATGTATCTTATTTTTCAAAAAATAGGTTGGATTAGGCTGCATTCAGTAATACCCACAAGAACAACGCTATGAATATATCATCTCACAAAAGCCAGTCCAACCTCATAAGAAACAATACCAATCATACCAATTCTCTCCCTAATACCGAAATAAAAGTATTCAACTTGGCCTTATCATCCTTGTAACTATTAAACTTATCCATCCAAAATATTTTCAAGTATACTCTCAACTATCTTCTCCACCAAAATAATATCTTTTGTATCTTATTCCATATTCTTCTTCTTTTGCTTTGTTGAAAGTTTTCAATGGCTTGAGCATATTGTACATTTCTTAAAACGGCTGTAGCAGAATACCAATCCCATCTCTCAGTCTCTTTTCTGGCTTGAATCGACATGTCCTTTCGTAACCAAGGATTATCCACCAACTGTTTCACTAAACCAATCAATTGGTCTATATTACCAGGATTATATAAATAACCTGTCACTTGATGTTGAATGAGATGAGGAATACCTCCGGCTGCTGCACCTACAACTGGAACTCCACTTGCCATTGCTTCCATGACTACAAATCCCATCGTTTCCGACTCTGAAGGCATCACAAATACATCACCACAAGCAAAAGCTTCCGATAGCTCCTTTCCTCTGAGTTGTCCAGTAAAATGCGTACGCGTACCAGCAAAATATTTTCTCAAATACTTTGCAAAAGGTCCATCTCCAATCAGCGCTAAACGAACATTAGGAATAGTTTCTATCACAGTTCTGAGACAAGTTAAATTCTTTTCAGCACCCAATCTTCCCTAAATAGAAAAACACAATGAGAAACTGATAGAATTATCCAGAAATATACCAACCACATAAATCAGTAATACACAGTCTGGATGGTCATCCGTTAAACGAAGTCTCATAGCTTCATTTCGAAAGTGCGGATGAAAAGTTTCGGTATCAACTGCCTTTCTCCAACAGTCAATATGCTTTATTCCGTGGTCAGCCAGTTCTTGACAAAGTTGAGGAGATACTGTAATAGATAGGTCGGCCTTGTTATGTACAAAGGAAATCAGTCTCCAAGAGAATCGTTCTAAAAGTCCCAAACCATAAGTACGTGCATAAACTGGAAGGTGTGTATGATAAGAAAAAAGCAGCGGAATTCGGAGTAACCAAACATAAAACAATACTGCAAAGGAAATAAACCCCGGAGTGGAAACGTGCACAATGTCTGGTCTAAAGCGTCGAAGCGCTGAAAATATTCCTCCAAACAAACCAAAAGATAAAGTTATTTTGGGATACAAAAAGAAACGAAAGCCTCGAATAGAGATGATAGGAAATCCATAAATTTCTTGAGGTGCATCGAAAGAGTTGTCGGGGACAATAATAAGCACTTCATCTCCTGCTTGTTTTAGATATTTCAAAGTTTCTCGAAAACGGTTGGAGTATCCTGAAATGTGAGTAAAAGGTGTTGGCTCAATTATCATTACTACTTTTCTGGGCAAAGTTTTGCACAGATTCAGGTCTTCAGGACCATAGCAAGAAAGTGCAACGGCTTGTCCACTTGAAGCTTTTGTAATTTTGTGACATTCTTGTAGTTGTTGCATATTATTGTGAATAGCCTATTTCAATACAGTTGCTAATACTCACTTCTTTCACCTAACTGTGTGTGGAAGAAGAAAAAGAATCTTTTTATGAATCAATTTATCCCATAAAACGGCCTTATTCTTCGATTTCACATTACTCTCTCGTCAGGTATGAATAACTATTCGTGTTTTGTGACTAATGCCTACCCTACCATTGGCAATGTTGAAAGATTTTATACCAAGGAACTGCAGTTTGCTGTTCGGCTTAAAGGTATTCGCTGTAGTAGCTGCTCTCGTCAACGAGTTGTTCAGAACAAAGCTGTTCACGGTCAGTGGAGGAGAACAGGCAGACTTGCGTTTTATTTATCTTTTATAATGGCACAACAATCAGAGCACAGCGGTGTAGAATATAACAACTATTTTGGGGAACATAACGATATTTCACAGAGAACTGGTGTAGGTTCCAACCCCACTCATCATGATGATGGAATCCACCTCGTCAATGGCGCCATGAACGGAGAACATAACTTTATGATGTATGGAACTCCAAAGAAAATAATCATCTGTGGTGGTGATGGGTTTTGTGGTTGGCCTACTTCTCTTTTTCTTTCAGAGGTAGGACACGAAGTGTTGATTGTGGACAATCTATCTCGTCGGAATATCGATAACGAGTTGGAAGCTGGTTCCCTTACTCCCATTTATCCTATTACTGAAAGAATAGAGACTTGGAAACAAGTATCTGGTCGTGAACTTCGATTTGAACGTTTGGATATAGCAAATGAATATGATCGTCTGTTACAACTGTTGTTGAAAGAGAAACCAGATGCTATCATTCACTTTGCTGAACAACGAGCAGCTCCATATTCTATGAAAGGTTCATCCCAAAAGCGTTATACTGTCCATAATAATGTGAATGCCACTCACAATCTACTTTGTGCTATTGTGGAATCCAATTTAGATATTCATTTGGTACATTTGGGAACAATGGGAGTTTATGGTTATGGGACAAGTGGAGAAGAAATTCCAGAAGGCTATATTGATGTTGTTTTGCCAGGTGGTCAAGTTTCTAATATTTTGCATCCTTCCTATCCTGTAAGTATTCAATCGATCGATGGGTAGTTTTCAGTAATAGAATATCTGATTTTAGGGTTCTGTTTATCATACTACGAAGTGTTTGGACGCATTACTATTTCAGTTTTATCAGAAAAATGATGCTATTCGGATTACTGACCTTCATCAAGGCATTGTTTGGGGCACCAATACTTCACAAACTAGAAGAGATGAGCGTCTTATCAATCGTTTCGATTATGATAGTGACTATGGAACAGTTCTTAATCGATTTTTGATGCAGGCTGCATTAGGAGCTCCACTTACGGTATATGGAACAGGTGGTCAAACAAGGGCATTTATTCATATTCAAGATACTGCTAAATGTATTGCTTTGGCTGTTGCCAATCCTCCCAATCAAGGTGAAAGAGTTGCAATATTCAATCAAGTGGCAGAATGTCATCGCGTTCGAGACTTGGCTAAATTGGTATCTCGTATGACTCAAGTAGATATTGTTTATGTTAGTAATCCAAGACAAGAATCGGCAGAGAATGAATTGCAAGTTTCTAATAGAAAATTTCGTTCTTTGGGATATGAGCCTATTCTATTATCAGAAGGCTTATTAGATGAGGTAGTCAATGTAGCACAAAGATATGCATATCGTTGTGATCCCAAAAAGATATTACCTGCTTCTTATTGGAATAAGAAGAGAAGAGAAGATTGTGAACGCTATGCTCAACAGAAATTGAATGGAAATACTTATGCTAGATTACTTAGTAAGGTAGCCCATTTTCATGAAGTTAATGCTGGAAAAGAAGAAGTCAACAAAAAGTCATCCAATGTGTCAGTTAATAATAACGACAAGATTGATTCCTTAGATGAAGAGAATATGTTGTATGTCTTAAGCAGAGGAAATCCGGAAACTATGAAACTGTTGAAAAAGACTTTGGAAGAATGTACAACTGCCAATGGCAACCTTACCTAAATACTCGGTTGGATAATAAGAAGAAGAATAATAATAATAAACAATTCCAAATATTTTTGTTTTTGTTCAACTTGATTTCTTCTACATTCGACTATTACGATCATAAGATTCCTTTCGACTTGGGTCTTTCAAATATTCATAAGCTTCATTTACTTCTCTAAAACGAGAGGCTGCCATTTTTGGATCATTTCCTTGATAAGTATCAGGATGCCATAATCGTGCAGCTTTCCTATAAGCCTCCTTAACTTGTTCCATCGATGCACCAAAAGGTAAACCAAGTTTTTCATACATATTCCCGCGAGGTGCAGAAAAGACTCCAGAAGTTGATTCCTCTCTTTGTCTTTGTTGTTCTCTTTTTGCTTGTTCATAAAAGTAACCTCTTGTATATCCTTGAAATCTGTTTCCACCCAATCCACCAAACCAAGCCTCAAAAGAGTCACTATCTGACTTTTGTGAACGATAACTTTTGTATTGTGCTCTTTTCATCGACTCTTGTACTTCTTTCAATATCTCTTCGAATATCTTCCTTCTCCATTCTTCATCACTTCCTGAACCAAAATGAATGTTATTCAGATGAGGACCACTTCGACGATAAAAGCGATAATAGGCTTGCTTCATTTGTTCTTTCATAGCTTCATCCATACGAAAACGAAACTCTTCCCTATAAAGTTATTTGCCTTTTTTGTTCTTTTCACGAAACTCCAAAGTGCTTACCTTGCTCTACGTTCTCTATCTGCTTGTTCCTTTTGTCTTGCTTGGTCCATTCTTTGTTCCCACGTGCTGCCAAATGGTTCTCCTTGTGAAGCTCGACTAGTACTTTCTTCACCAGACTTTCCGAATATGTCTTCGGGTCTTCTTCCTCTTATTTTTTCATGTGCTTCCCAAGCTCTGTACAAGTCTTTTCCAAAGGCAAATTTAGAAGTTCTTAAACCTAACATTCCTGCAGCATAACTTCCTAGAATCATAAAGGCACCAAACAACAGAAAAAAAGGAGGTTTCCATCTTTCACTTTCAGTCACAGTTTCCGAGTTTTTATCAGGAAAAGAAGATGGTTGTTCCATTATTAAACTTGTTTCATATTCTTGACAAGTCTTTGTCTCACAACAGCCTTTCAAGGAACGGCATTTACACAATTCTTCCCATAAACAGGATGCAACACAAACAACATTCGTTATGGAAAACCACTGCAGAAAAAGAAGCAGCCAAGTTATTATCCAGTATGAATGTAACACAATTGAGACAACAGGTCAAAAAGTTGGAAGAAAAGGAAAGAGAACAAAGAGAAAGATTGCAACAAGTTTATCAGAGTCACCTAGCGGATCTAACAAAGGCTTTCAAAACCTTAGTGCAACAAAAAGAAAATACCAAATGTATCACGCAAAGCACAAAAAGGCTTTCTTCGTTTTGTCAAAAGTGGAATGAAGAGCAACAGGGAACTAAACGATATGCTTTGGGAACTTCAACAACAACGACAACAACAGTGGATAAAGATGAGCACTTGTTAAGACAATGTCCAATACAAGAGTCTATCATAAGTCATTTGGAACACTGTAAAGAGGATTTGTCTTTTATAGTGGAGTCATTAGGAACAAGCTGACAAAGATTTGGATAGTGGTGACTATTTAGCTTGTCAGTTGGGTTTGCTTACAGTGAGACAAAGGAAAGAGCAGTTGGAACAAAGACTATTATTGACAACGCAGCCACTAAAGCAGTTTCTAGCAAGTTTTTGGGATTATTGTGAGAGTGTAAGTGATAGATTGGAGAAGAAAGTATCGGAGTTGTTGAAAACTAACGCCAAGTTGGATATCTTCTCTGGCTTTGTTTTTTTACTATTATTGAGTCATAGCAACCAATCGAGTTTAGTTGAAAAATGGAAACTATTCTTAGATTTGCGATATCGATGCTTGTCAGATTGTTTCTCAGCAATATCATCAGATAAGACTTCCTCTTATAATTTAGAACTGATTGAGGCAGGAATGAACAGTATTATGACAACATTGCTAATTTATGAGAAACTACTTCAAGAACGAAAAACGCCAACTGTAATGGAAACGATACAAAGTTTATACAACCGTCAACTTGACTCGATGACTTTGCATTTTTTACATCGACAGTTGGAAGATATCAACGACCCCAACATGGAGATAGTTTGTGAGGATGGTATGAATAAGTGGCTTGAGAATGTGAATCAAGATATGAAATGTAATTTGGAAGAATGGTTGAAGCAAGTGACAACAGAACAAAATGTGGATAGATTGATTGAGATTTTTCATCTTCATATATCCAAGTTGGATTCTTTTTCCATTGAGCAGAACCGAAGAAATTTTTGGGAACAAATAGAGAATCTGAAACGAATATGGTCAATGTCTTTAGTTACTTGTATTCGTCACGTTTTCAAAACGATATTGAATGCTAGTTTTACAAATGCAGAACAATTCATTAAAGCACATATGGAAGGCATCATGAGGAACAATATTTCCACTTGTCTACAAACTGAAAGTTATTGGAAACATTGTGGAGATTGGGCTGGAACATTTTGGATGTATATAGATCAGGAAAGAAATGACAATCGAAAGATTTTTACTTGTTCCTTGTTAGAATCCGATAAATGCACATGGGAAGTGTGGATAGATGAGTTTCTTATGAAGGATATGAATATACGTATTTGGTATGATCCACTTATTGAGCATTTGAAACGGTTATTCCATCAAACCTTTCCTTCCTTGTTATCGTTACTTTTACATGAAGAAAGACAATCGGTATTAGATAGGATTCATAAGCAAATTTTGCAATGCTATTCACAATTCTTGCAGTCTTTAGAAAAGTAAGTTGCATTCCTTATGTTTTGTAAAGAATAGAATGACCGGAATATATTTAGGCAATTGGATGGAATAATGTCACATATTTGTTTGCTTTGCCAAGAAAAAGAAATGGAAACTAGCGAGTCCCTTACAAAACAGGATTTTGTCTTATCTGGTTTATTATATTTATATCGTTGTGTTCGAATTTTGAGACATCTCAATCTTTTTCCATCTTCCATAGAAGAGTTAGGTTCCGAATGGATAGGAAAAAGAAATCAACTTTTCACGGAAATGGAACTCAAATTTCGACATCATCTCATTCATCATATGATATTTCTTTCTATTCTTCAATCGTTGAAGACACAATCACTTACTTATTGTTCTTTGGAAAACATTTCTACTTGTTCTGATTCCAGTGAAGATAGTATTGAGTTGGACTCCAAGTATCCTTCAGAATCTCTCATTCAGTGGTTTATGGAGCTTGGCAAATATACTCAACTGCTGGATGCATTACATTTTACAGAGGATATACAAATATTCCGTCTTTTTACTTGTTCTCATTTTATGAAATGGTTAGAATGTTTTGGTGTCATGAAGAACTTGAAAGATGGTAAGTTAACCAATCTATCCATCACATTGCAGTTGTATATGGACCTTATATGGATGGGCGATATTTGTTTTTCACAACATGAGACAAGCAATACAGAGCAAGAAACCAACAATGATGTTTATTCCAAATGGAAAGAATATAAAACTACTCTGGAGACTCTTCTAAATACACAAAATCTTCCAAGTAATTGGAAAGAGCAACTAGAGTCGAATACTTGTTTCCATTTTGATAGAATGGGACATTTGTTGGGAAGACTAAGTATTTCAAGTTACTCAAAACAACAAACTGCACAAGTAAGTCGAACCATTGTTTTGAATATTGAATAATGCTTATCGTTCTCTGTTATGTTGCAAGGTAAAACAGGCAACATTCAAGGAAGCTTATTCATCACCTATCTTACCAGTTGTGGCACGATTTCCTTATTTGCCTGCACCAACTCCTTCTTTATTACATCGACATAGAAATAGACGTGCATCGGAAAATAAGTTGTTCGAGAGTTCAGAAACCAAAACATGGAAACAGGTTTCTTCTAATGTGCAAAACAAGCAGAAGAAAGAATATACGAATACATCTGTTGTAGACTTTGCTTCTCAGTTTGTTGGTCAACAAATGGGACGTTTTGGTTCCAAATTTTTGGAATCTTTGAAAACTTACGGTGGTACCTCTTCTAATTGATAAAGTTGAAATGCTTACGGAATCTGCAAGATATTTCAAGTCTACATTGCGAAAGATGAAAACAAACAGTTTTATTAGACTATGGCATGTTTTCAACAGCAATACTTGTCTTTGTATCAAAAGATTGTTTACTTGCAGTACTTTTGACAAGAACTTTTCGTCAAGTTATTCTCAACTCACGCTTATAGAAGAACAGGCACTGTTACGTTATTTAGATCTTCGCAAGTCTTCTCCACACTTTACAAAGAGACTTGTGGAAGACCTTTATGTGGAAGGAAAGAAACCTAGCGGTACCGTAATTTTAAAAGCACTGGGTATAGCAACTCGTTGGAGACTCTATCAAGATGCTTATTTTTATTACGAGTTGAGTAGAGGACTAGGCTTACGTCCTGCAAGCTCTTTTTATTCCAACCTTATTACACTGTGTGGTTGTCGCAAAGATTGGAACTCTGCTTTTCGATTTTATCAGGAAGTCATTCACGAAGGAGTTCCAACTGATTATTTATTATACCGCTCTCTCTTATTTTGTTGTGCAGTTTTGGGTGATTCCGATAGAATCAAGTATGTTGTGGCGTTGATGCAGAAAGAAGGTTTGTCTCTCGATGAAACTTGCCATGCAATCCTTATGGAATGTTGTCGAATCCGGCAGGACTACGAAGAAGGTAGCGATTTATATATCTACTTTTAGATTTCATGGATGGACTGTTTTTAGGATTGAGTATATTTGAAAATATGCCATTGACTAGAACACATCGTACTTTTCAAGTGTTGTTTGGTATATGTCGTGATATGAATGACTATTCCAAAGCTATGTATTATTATGGACAGTTTTGTACAGAACAGTTGACCTTTTCGGAAATTTCAATCTCTTTGTTATTAGATACGGTAATCAAGGTAATGTCTTTTGTTATCGATACGTTGTCTTATAGATGATTTCGTATTCAGCATCGACAGTGGAATCTAGTATTTGAATTGTTTCACAAATCTGTTCAACAAGGCATTCATCCTATGCCTTTTATCTACTTTCAATATGCATTGGGCTTGTTGCGTGAAAAACAAATGGATCGTTCACAAGTGTTGAATATATTGGTAAGAGTTATTTGTGTTGTATGTTGAAAGCGTCTATTTATGTCATCATTACTTTGATAGCATTCCAAACCACCCAATGTATTCATTCTTAATAGTCAATATAAAGCTTTGATTGCAGAAGCCAAGTCTCGTGGAGATTCGTCTTTAGGTAAAAAAAGGAACATTAGTTTTGCAATTTTTGTTTTTGATTTTGGAAATAGTAACAGACTTGACATTGTTATCCAACAAAGATCGAGTGATGGAATCTAAAGTAGAATCTTATGCACAGGAGTTACAAGCAATGGGTTGCTTGTTGCCTTGTAAGTTTCTGAAGTGGTATGAAATGTTTTCTTTTAACTGATTATCGACTCTAGTTGGAGAATTGAAACGTCTGGCTGTTTATCGGTACCAAAGTGCTAAAGGAAATGCACCACCTCCTCCTTTATGGAGTTTAGGATATTGAAAAAGTTCCTTTTGGAATCATTATGTGAAGAGAAAATCTAGATGATTATTCTTTTTCACTCCAACGCAATTTTATACATGCAACAAATCATTCTACAAGCAAGATAACTATATTTCCTATCATTTTTTTGATGCAAAAATACGAAAACATCAACGAAAAAGCCGACTTGCAAACCAAAATGTTGCAAGTAACCATAATCGAAAAATACCACAACAATATTCGGGTCTTAAATTCCTCCTCTTTGACGAGATATCGATGCCTGAATATAATGATCCACAACATCTCGTGAATGAGCTCTAATCGTTCTAGTGGAAACCGGAGTTCTCTTCAACATGGTGAGACCAGAATTCTTTATAGTTGCCAAAGAAGTATTGACTGCAACGCAGTATCCACGTACACTGCCTAGATAGTTATCATCACTATATTGAGACACATGTACACCTTGGAGAACTTGATTGGTAGCACAAAGAGCGTAACTTTCTGGACCATCATATTCATTGGTATGACTCGTCAATGAAGAATAGTTTCCGGATTGACAAAGTACTCTAATGTCCCATAGTTCATTTTCTGCCAACAATCCAGGCCATATTTGATTGGATTTTCCTCCCAATCCCCAAACTCCATAAGAGTCACAATAGAAACGAGAATGGGTAGTTCCACTAGTATTTTGTGATCCCAGCAAGGATGTTTGACTACCATCGCTACATAATAAACGAAAAGCAACCAAATGTCCAGATCGAATATAGCTTTCTACTCCAGAAACTGTAGCATTTTCTTCACAAAAGACTTGTGCATAGGTCTTCGATGCTCCTCCTAATCCAAATGTTTCCACACCGTATGTACCAGCAGTGCCAATTGTCCATTGTCCTTTGGAAGAACTTGTCTCTTTTAAGATAGAAACACATGTAGCTGTTGGAGTTGGCGTTGGAGTAGATGGTACGGGAGTTGCTGTAGGCGTAGATGGCACAGGAGTTGGGGTTGGATTATTCTTTTTCGAAGAAGTTGCATTCAACGTCTCACATTCCAAAGTAATGGTAGCAATAATATCATAGGATTGATAAATCTCCGCCTTGATGCCATTAGCAACGGTACCAAAAGGACAAATAGTATATTGCATTGTATCAAATTCTTGTTCATGACTTGTCAATGATGAATAGTTTCCATTGGAACAGAATGTTTGTATATCCCATACAGCTCGTACTGGAATATTCGTGGAGTACATGGTATGGCTTTTTCCACCTATGGATCGAATACCTGGACTAGGACATTTTTGTTCTTGTTTCGTAAGACTGTTCAAGGAAGAAACTCCAATGGTTCCAGAGACACTACCATCACTACATAACAAACGTATTGCTTTCAGTCTTCTGCTCGTTTCAACATAATTTTCAATACCAGTAACCACAGAACCATTGGGACAAAAAGCATAAGTGACATTCTTGGAAATACTACCCAAAGATTGCATATATGAGAAGTCTCCCAATGTTGATGTAGCAAGTATGGTTTGAGAAGGAGATGGAACAGGAGTAGGAGTAGGTGTACTTGTTGGACTAGTATTACTACTACTGCTACTGCTGCTACCATAAATAGTTATAGTGTCTCCTTCAGAAGGCCAAAAATCACTTTGACTCAAATAGGAACCATTCACAGGTCGATATATAGCTGTAGTCACATTAAATGGATCCGGTTCACAGATAAAGCCAAATTCTAAGCATTGAGAAAGGAAGCCATAATCAATATTCACTGTTTTTGTGTCATAATATTCCACATCCAACAATGTTTGACAATATGGCACAATGTCATCGAAGCCTCCTTCTAATATAGTAAAGGTTGTACCAGGCTTCAGAATAAACACAAATGCAACTCCTTTGTGATATGTAGTAGAAGAACTACTCGTTAAATATTCCAACAACATTAATGGAGTATCACTATCCTTAGTATCTGATGCTGTAGGCTTGGAATAAAACTCTGCCAGTCCATCCACTGCATATGCCGGAAAATAGGCATTACCAAACGCATAAGCAGGAACACCACTACTAGAAGAAGTACCTGTGGCACCACGAATCAGTACAACAGATCTCTCTTCACTGGTTGGATTAGTAAAGTTCCATATAATGGTAGAGTTTGAAGAACCATCATATGTCCATGAAACTTCAGCTCCTGCTTGAGATTGACAAGTCTTACCTTGTGCTTGCACTAGAGGCAGAATAGCACTAGTTAAGCACAATATAGTCAAAATTAAATGATAATTTCTCATTTGGATAATTTGTAATGAAGTTTTCTGTTTGAACTAGACAATATCTTGTTTTCAAAATAACAAAAAGAGTTTGGTTCCACATGGGACCTTTTAATTGCAATTGCTATACGTCGGAATGTCCTTGTTCATGAGCGGGAAAGGAAATTATGCAACCACGTTGGCTTTGGAGATGTATCGATAAGGGACACCAGGAGACCCGTCCTTTCAAGGACATTCTCTAATACTCCTCGTATCTTCCACGTGTTTAATGAATTCTCATGAAACATGACTCGTGGCAGTTCTAAAATCAACATTTGGAGTTCTTAGAATAGGACAACCATGCTATATTTATTATTTTGCTTGAGAATGAAACGCTGTTCAAGTGTCTTTAATAGACTGATAGAATTTTCTTGAATGTGTATCACTTATGATGAATAGGACTTGCAAAATAAAGCAAACTTAATCTCTTAGGAGGATGATTGTTGTGCATAGTTATTTCTTTTAAAACGCAACGCCGTGTTCATTTTCAGTTGTTATTGATGGGTTCTTTATCAAGACGGATATGGTGGTTTTGCTTGTTTCAGTTGAGTTGGAGTGTTTTTGCTATAGAAAACAAGTTTGTCCTACAACGAGTTGAAATATCACATACCCACGGTACACAAACTTTATTTCAGAAACAACTCGTCACTTCAGATCCGTTACCAGTGACTTTGCCTTTACCACTTGAAGAAGGTCAACAACTTGATATTTTGGTTGATTTGAGTAATACCGGTTCTTTAGTTGATTTAGAAGACTTGCAACAAGTTTGGATAAGTTTTGTTGAAAAGTCAACCAAACGTGAATATTTGTTTTTACCTCGTAGACGCGGTACCGGATCCCTTCTTTTTGAAGTCGTAAGTATATTGAAGCTTTTCCTATAGTGCATTTGTTTTATGATTCAATTTATATAGAAGATGGATGCTTCAGTTATTGAAAGCTTTGAAGGTAAACAAGGGGATTTTTTGGCAAAGTTGGTGATTGGTGATCATCGAGTGTCACGAGGTATTCATCAGTTGCTTATTGATTCTGTCAACTTGAGCTATCGAGTAAAGAATACTCCTCGACCAAAGGGCATATTTGACTTTGATATAAGTTGGAAGTTTTATCCACAAGAGGAGATTGAACACTTATTCAAGCCACCCATGAAGCGAGCTCCTATATTCTTATCTTTTTTATTTACTGGTCTGGTCATATTGCCTCTGATTGTTTATATCTTTTGGGTATGTTGATTATTTGAATATATATTGGAATCGGAAAAACTAAATACTTTTTGGTAACTAGCTATTAACGACATCTGATATTTATCCATTACAAATGCCCACAGGTCTATCCACTATATGGTTTATCATATTTCATATGAGTCTTGCAAGTTTTGTGTATTGCTTGGTGAAGTTTTGGTTGAGTTGGAATATTCTAAAAACTTGGAAGGTTATGTTGGCTATCTTTCCAGTGACATGGATAAGTGGAATGAAATGGATACAGTTATTGAGCCAACATTGTTCCTCACAAGAGGCACAACATTCCAAAAAGAAGCATACTTGAGGAGTAGTGAGAATAAAAGATCTCATCAACTCAACAATATTATGGTTGGTTGATCGTGTGATTATTCGTTATACCGATTTTGTGTGTGTGAGTGAGAGAGAGAGAGAGTGGTGAGCATTTTTTGTATTGTGCAGTCTTTGTGATGGCATATACGATCAAAGTAAAGACATTTAATAAACAACAGTTTGACGTATCGGTGGGAGAATCTACCAATATTTATACTGTCCACTCTTTACAAGAAAAGATTGCAGTAAGTGTTTTGTCAAGTTGGTGGCGTCTGTTCTACCGACATACCCTCATCTTTTAAAAAAGGGAACACTAACATTCTGTTGTACTAGGAAGTTTCAGGTATTGTAGCAGATAGACAAACACTTTTATACAAAGGGCAAGTGTTGGATCCTGATGCTCCTTTAGCCAATTACAGTGTATCCGATGGTGTTACTATCAACGTGGTGAGAAGAGTAGGAGCCAAGCCAAGTGGAAATAATTCTAAAAACCATTCGGATGTATCATCTTCTTCGGAAACCGTTTCAGAAGACAAAAAGCGAACAGAAGCTTCTTCCAGTTCGGCTAGCGTTGGACTGGGTACAATAACAGAAGATACTTTGAGTTCTTATATGAAGAATTTAGGAATGTCAAGTACCTTTCCTAATACAGATAATCAAAGCCAATTGAGCCATTTAGTTCAGTCTTTGATGGGCGGAGCGCAGAGTGGTAGTGGAGATATGGGTTCGATGAGTGAGATGCTTTCAAGTATCTGGCAAACTCCAGCTATGCAAGAATACTTAAATGATCCTGAGAAATTGGAAGCTAGTAGGCAAGCAGTGAAAAACAATCCTTTTTTACAGCCTTGGATACAAGCTGACCCAGAATTTTCCAAAGTATTGAATGATCCCGAGCGTTGGAAGGAAAGTATGGAAGCTGCCAAAATGATGTTTTCCAAGACAGGTGGTGGTATGGGTTTATCGAGTTCAGATAATATGAAACATTACAATAATTCAAGTGGAGGAGGAGTCGGCGGAGGAATAGCTGCATCTTCTAGTTCAGGAATGTCGACAAGTAAAACTATTCCAAGTGCAGCAGAAGCTTCTTTATTTGTTGGAGAAGCGGCACGTAAGAAATTGGAAGCAGCTCAAGAACGAGTAAAGAGGCTTCCTGTCGACTTGAAGTTGCTTGCTCAATCCTATGGACATGCATTAGGTCAATCACTTATCAATTCAGGTTTAGGTTTGGACTATGAACAAGTAGTACAAGGTATCAAAATGGCATGTACTGGACAAGACTTTCCAATGTCTTTATCTGAATATGAAAGACAAATGAGTCTATTACAGTCGGTAAGTTGAAAAAAAATTTCCTTTTTTCGTTGTAGAATATTTTATATATATATATATATATGTGTGTGTGTGTGTGTGTCTACGTATTGATGATGAGAATAGGTTGCTCAAGAGTTTGTTTCTCAAGTCAATTGGAAGGAAGCTAATCAGTTTTTTGAAGAAATTGCCAATGACACCGATATTCATGTGATTGAGTCGGGAAAGATTGTTTGGGAGTCTGGAGAAACCACTCCAGATACTCAGGCACCTGCAGCTCATAAGGATTCTAATGTGATGATTATTCTCCAAGGTCGATTATTAGATGGTCGTGTATTCTTTTCTTGTCCTCCTGCTGATGAAAGTGGAGAAGTCGTCCATCCATTGACATTATCTTTAACCAATGCACCTTATGCATTGAGAAAAGGTATTGAGGGAATGAGAGAAGGAGAAGATCGAACTCTTTATGTGCATCCCGACGCTTCAAATGGAATGAATGAATTGTTTGGTGATGTATTGCCTCCTAATGCTTTGCTTATTTTTGATGTGGAGTTGGTGAGTGCTGATATATCGGAAATGGAAGACCCTGGAAACCTCATGAGTTATCCAAGTGGTTTTGGTGCTACTAGCAGTAGTGGTTTAGAATGGGGAGAAGAAGACTTGGATTAATAAATACAAGTATACTCGACATATTCTTGTTTCTGAAAAGATTGGATAAGAAATTCACCTACAAATGCACATTTCCAAAGGATTTCCAGAAGAAATAATGAGTCCATAGGATGGAGTTGTCATTTTCTTGGTAAAGAGTTGGTTGTGTTGGTGGATAGAAAGTAAAAGTTATGGGCGATACTCAAAAGGAAGATACGAATAATAACTTGTACAACGCCAGTGTAACAGAGAAACCTAGAGTGGTTATATTTGGTGCTGGAGGTGTGGGTGGTTATTTGGCTGCAAGGTTGGCAGAGTGTGGACACAGCTATGTCCACGTCATCGCTAGAGGACCTCACTTGAAAGCAATTCAAGAGAATGATAACCGCATCATTTTAAAGAGTATTGATGGTGATTGCAATCCACAGTTAGATAGTATTGGGGATACCGTAGAAAGTGTATTAAAGACTGCCACAACTCCAGTAGACGCAGTGATATTTACTTGTAAAATGGACCAATTAGCTGCAGCAGCGGAAGCAGTGTTACCTTTATTTAGTGAAAAGACCATTGCTCTTCCTACACAGAACGGAGTGGAAGCTCCAGAAGTATTGGCCAAAGTGGTTGGTTCACAACGAGTGGTGGGAGGTTATGTTCAAGTATTGGCATATATATCGACACCTGGAGTTATTTTACATGAAGGTTGGTCAAAAGTGGAATAATAATAATAGTATTCATGATATATTGTATTTCCATTAGACATAAGTCCTACCATTTATGGAACGGGTATGTTGACTGATTCTGCTCCTTTTGTTTTGGAGCAGTTGAGGAAATTAGAATATGCCTTTGTTGGTGCCAAAGAGACTCGATTAATTATACATCAGGACGTTTTACAGAATATGTATAGAAAGTTGACAGTCATGGCAGCCTATTCCGGTGTTTGTTCAGCAGCACGTTGTAATTTGGGCCAATTGAGAAGTATACCAGAAACTTTGGCTTTGGTAGAGAATTGTATGAATGAAGTGGTAGATGTTGCTAAAGCTCGAGGAATTATGATTGGTAGAGAAGTCGTTCGTTCATCTATTGACTATTTGGTACATCATGTGAAGGATAGTGCAACACCAAGTATGTTTCGTGATATTGCTGGTGGCAAACCTTCCGAATTAGAGTGGCAAGTGGGTGCAGTTGTGAGACAAGGACATAAATATGGAGTAAGTACTCCTTATTTAAGTGCCATTTATGCCATTTTATTGCCAACTGAGATTGCCAATCGTAAGAAATATGAGCATCGTAAAGAAAATATGAACGAGTGAAGAAAATATTTTATATTCGAATAAATCGATTTCTTTGAATAGTCCAAGGCATCGTTATGAATGTTGTCCATCCTATTCCTAACAACCATATCCAACACCATGGCAACTGAAACCAGTCATTGTACTTATCTAAACAGATAAGAAACCTTGCCCAATCTAATGTTCATTTTGTATAAAAAGACTCACCAGAAATGACTTACCCTATCAGAATTCCACTACAATGGCCTAAAAGATATTCTTCAGATGAATATGAAATGGACTTTCTACTTACCTACAAAACTAGCTTCAGGAACCAATAAAGTTACAACTCCCAAAGAAATAAAAGGTATCCAAATAGGCGAAATCAAAACTTCATCTAATATCCAAATCCTTGCAACTTTTATATGTTGACTGGCAATAACAAATAGACCAAATAGTACTGCAGAGTAACCAACGAGATATACGTGTCGTACTTGCTCAGAATGAAAAACAGTTAATTGCAAGTAGTTGATAAACAAAGTAACACAAGTTGATAAGAAAGCAATCACAACGTTCCAAGTCAAATATACCAAGGAACCCAATCGTTGTTCCATCCAGCTCAAATTCCTTGCTTCTCAATGTATACAATCCCTTTGACAATCCATAAAGCAACTTACCATAAACTATACATATTCAGGATCAGGTGCATCAACGAAATATGTGAAAGAGTAGAGGAAATCCATCGCCAAGTTTCTTTGTCCACAATCACGCAATCGTAGTTACAACCAACATCATAATAGGACCAACCTTTATAAGTAATAACCAACCTAAAGAAGACTTGTCAAGTTTAGGAAAATAAAAGGAGTGTTTCCTTTTACCAAACAATAATGCATATGGCTATGACCAAACAAGTAACTGGAAAAGTATAAAAGTAGTCCAACCACTCCTTCCTTTCAATAATAAAACTATTCATAAATGTTGGTCACAACTGTTTATTTTCATATGATAAGAATAGTTGACAAGAACAGTTCTTCTACATAAGTTCTTATTCCAATTGGTTCAACCAATCTTGAACCGGATCACCTGTAGAGACTGGTATTTCCCCTACAACAAATATATATATATATATAATATCGAAGACTTTATATAACCCAAATACCTTTCAACTGCTTAAGTTCACTTTCCAACGATTCAATTTTGGCATCTCGTTCACGAACTTTAGAAATCAAGATTTTCTCTCTTTTACGATGCTCAGCAGACTAGAATACCAACTTGAATATATCTTTCACTCTAAGAGGAATATACAACTCACTGCACTTCCAAAACCCGCTGCTACCCCAAACACAAAGGCGCCAATTCTTAGAAACTAAGGGTTTTCTTTTGTTCATATTCGAACCATATTGAATGTGTATAACCAACTTACGGTTAATAAGCTTGAATATTGACCCGTGGCTGCAGTGGCACTCATCTTCTTCACCAACGCTTAAGGGAAAATGGAAATAAGGCCAAATGAATATTCTTCTTCTCAACTGGAAAAACAATACTTTCAAAGGTCGGTGGTTCAAAAGTACATTTATCAACAATCCTTACAAACAATATTATCAACTATTTCATATAATAATACAACAACAGATGTTTGTCTACAGAGCATTTCCAATCAACCCTCTTTCCCACAACATAATACACTCACAACAAACCATACTTAGTTGTTTTTCTTCTTCTTAAACGTTTCCTTCCCGTTGCTATTAGTATATTTCCTTCTTATCATTTGAATGGTTTCTGGACGAAGAGTAACACCTTCAATGTAGCATAGTAGAAAATCAAGTGCCAAAGATTTGATCTAATAACACAAAGAGTATTCAGATATACAATATATATCTATATACACAAGCATAGATACCTTGGGTAATAACAACCATCCTTGCCAATCTGTCGAAGGTGATAACGGTTCTTTCCTCTCATTATTGCCATAACTATCCTCTGAGATAGAGTAGATTGTATTCCGTGTTATATCAACTGCTTGAGAAACTAGGTTTATCCTCGTTTGGGGGGCTGCTAGTGTCTCCTCTTCCAGTTCCAATCGATCAGTCCATACACTACGACCTTCGGTGGTCCTCTGTGACCACTTATATCCCTTTTCTTGAGTTTTCACAAACTGTTCTTCTTCTTTACATATCTGTTGTTGTGATAACGGACAGGAACACTCTTCCAAAGTTGGTTCCTCCTCCAACTTGAGGGCCTCCTTCACCCTGGTTTCCTCGGGAATAGTATCCAAATACCCTGACCTTTCTTCTAATTCTTTATGATAATCATATTTTCCATCCTGTAACTTTTTATTATTTCTTCTCCTATTTCCATTGTACAAGGATGAATATCTCACGACTCCAAATGGTGAGACTGCATCCAACATTCGACGCCCCACAAATAATCAAACAGAAGCTATAAAAGAAGGATATGACAAATTCTCTTAAAAAATCTTTTGTGGAGAGATTTCCAAAGGGACATCTTTACGCACCCTCAATCAATCGATCATTCTTCTTGGCAAAAACATCCTTTTCCATCATTATACCAATCTGCATACTAGCTATTTTAAAAAGTCTAAAAATGTTATACATCCATAATGAGTCATAAGAAAATAACTAGAATAAAACACAACTAGCATAGCATATATATATATATATATATATATTTCATTTATTCATATCGTGGTCACTCCTATAAACATGCCAAAAACTTGTAAAACTACTTCGATAACAATAAGCCAAATGATTATCCACTCCAATCTTTGGTCAGTACGAACATGTAACTCTGTTCGAAATAAATCATACCTAAAACAAGTTATTTCCACTTCTACGTACTACGCTTTCAACTCACATTGAATTGATAGTTTCTAAACGAGTATTGAGTACATTGACACGAGGTTTGATATCTAAATATCTTGCCATCTTTCCATACAAAGGTTCAACATCTTCATTATCCCAAAACCAATCTATTCCGTTCATTGAGATGGAACAAAGCACTCATATACTCGTTAAAATACCTGGAATATCCAAAACATCCGATTGCAAATGAATATAAGCCTTATACATATAAAGTTCTCCACTAAGCTTTAACAGTTCTCGTTGACTAATATTCAGTTTGCCTTGATTTGCCATTTGTGCTGGTAATGCCTTTAAAATAAAAAATAGTTACCATTATGACTAGCTCCATATTCATTTCAAAGCAAAAATACCTGAGTTCTATCAATCACATTATCAATAGCAGTCTCAAAAGCTCCCAGTTTGGTTGACTGTGCTGCTCCATGTGACAAGGCAAGTTTCACACGAACCAAAGTCTCATCGGAAAGCAAAGAAGAAAGGCAAACTTGATCTTCTAAGACTTTCGCAAGTTCCTCTTCCTAATACACTTGTAGTTGAAAATACACTCAGAAGTATCTTTGGGCACTCACTGAAAATTGATCATAACTATAAACGAGAAATTCCTTCTCGGCTTCTCCTTCAAGACGACCATTTTCAAAATTTTTCAACCAATCTAACAACTGCCATTCAGCACCTTCTGAAAGTCCCCATAGCACCACAACTCCATATGAAAAAAAGAAAACGTCGGAACCACGAGGGTCTTCAATTCCTACCCACCAAACAGCGTCGTCTTCACCGTCTTGGCCATCTATTCTAGGAAGTCTATTCACAACTTGGCCATGACAAAGGCTAAGTGGTAACCAAACTCAACCAACCTCAAATGGACAACGTCACGAGTACCAAACCTTCGAGCACCTTCAGGATATTTGTTTAACAAGTTTCCAAATAGATCACGGAGAGAATAAGTATTGCAAGTACAATAGACACTACAAAGAAAAAGATAATATCTTCAGATTCAAAAAGTTATTCATCTCAATAGCTCCAACCTGAGTCTTCCTGTCCAAGGCATTTCCTGTCCCGTTTCAACAGGTGCTCGTAAACGTTCCAGTCTTTTCTTTCCACCATATGCAGCTCTACGAGAAGCAATTGTATCCTATTCTATAACACTCAGTTACTTTCATTTTCGTTGCATCACTTCGTACGGATATTTGGGGTGCACCTGTTCTTCTTCCTTGTTCGAACGACGCAACTAGTAACACACTTTATTCTTTTTCCTCACGTCCACATACAAGCCTTACTCTTTATATTTTTAGGAGGACTCAAGTTGATAGATAATAAAGGAGATTGCTCTTCTTTCCAACTCATCGTCTCACAATATCGTTACCAACAGCAACCGATCTCTTCTTCCCTCACCAAGTCTATAACAGTTGACTCGTGGACAAGTCATGTAAGGGCGTCATTTTGGAGTATTGTTATCAATTGTCATGACGAGTAGTTTATCAGCCAAACTCTATTCAGGTAGCCGCTATACTGGACATGATATACCTATGATAGGTTTTGGTACCTGGAAAGCTGAACCTGGAGTTGTAGGAGAAGCAGTTGATCTTGCTGTTCAGACTGGTTATCGTCATATTGACTGTGCTGCTGCTTATTGTAACGAGAAAGAAATTGGTCGAGTTTTTCAAACCATCTTTTCCAGTGGAAAGTGTAAAAGAGAGGATTTATTTGTCACTTCCAAACTATGGAACACTTGTCATAAGAAGGAGCACGTCGTTGCTGCTTGTAAACAGACCTTGAGCGATTTGGGATTGGAATACTTGGACTTGTATCTTGTGGTAAGTTATGAATGGCCTCGTTTAAGAGAATATTCTTACAAGTTATGTGGTTATCAGCATTGGCCAGTTGCTTTTGAATATACTGGACTTCCTATTACAGGAGATATTGCTATGCCACTTGACTCCAACAGAAAGCCTCGACTTGTTAGTGTATCTTTGAAAGAGACTTGGCAAGCGATGGAGTCTTTGGTGCATAGTGGACTCGTGAAGAATATTGGAGTATCCAATTTTCATATTGTCGAGTTGTTGGACTTGATGACTTATTGTGAGGTTCGTATGTCTTGAATACTTCATTGTCCCAGAGAAAGACTCAATTCACGACAGATTCAACCCGCAGTGAATCAAATAGAAATGCACATTTACAATCAACAAGAAGATTTGAGAGCCTTTTGTGCCAAACATAATATTCATGTAACTGCATATTCACCTTTGGGAAGTGGTAGAATGGGACCTTTGCAAGATCCTCTCGTTCAGAAAATAGCACAACAACTTGGAAAGACTCCTGCTCAAGTTTGTTTGGCTTGGGCTCGCAATAAAGGAGTTTCTGTGATACCTAAAAGGTAAGTAAAATCATATATATATGTTTATGAAATCAAAAGTAACCGAATCTTGCAAAAGTGTTACACCCAAAAGAATAGAAGAAAACTTTGATTGTGGCTTTGCATTAACAACCGAAATGATGCAACAACTTGCCACATTGGATAAACAACAAATCGTTTGTGATACCAAAGAGTATTGGAATTTAGCTGTCAATTCTTAATCGAAAGGAAATGATACACTTCATAAAGCAATATGTGTTTGTCTTTATGTTTTCATTATCATGGAAAGAAAGTTTACAATCGTATCCTCTTCGTTTACACTGAACTGTTGTTGAAAATGATTCAAGATAGTGTTGATGAGTTGTTGTCTTTTATATCCTTTCTCCAAAGGAAGATGAAACTGTATACAATATTTTTCCAATGAACTATCGGATAATCTTTCCAAACAGTCATAAGAAAGACAAGTATGCCTAGTTGCAGTTGGACTGAAACTATTCTTCTCCCAAATGAAACTTTTAGAAAAACAACCTAAATCGGAAGCAGAAAATGATATCGACTGATAAGGCTTTGGTTTTTTGGGAATCGCTTGTTTTTTGTTTTTCTCCGATATCCATCTTCGATATTGTTTTAGTTGATTGAACAAGTTTTCCCATTTATCATGCGAATACACTACTCTCAGTGCGTTTCTTTGTATCTTCACTATAGGCTTGTTATTATTCAAGTCTAAGAATACTTTGTGCCAACCACCCAATGCATGATGACCCACAACCAAACCCAACTGACCAATCCAAAGACTCTTTGTTCGGTTATTTCCTATCACCTTGACAAGCGTATACGGAGCTAGAGTAGTAGGAGAGAAAGTAGTCATAGTGTTTACTGGTTTATAACAAGTTACCCGGAACTTTGTCTGTTCTTGGTCCATATTATATTATTCTTTCTTATAATGATTCTTTCATTCCAATCAAAATAATGGGTTGGAATGCGTTCCTTCCAGACAATTAAGAAATCCATGACAATCCATCGGTCCATCCATCGATTTCATCTAAAAGAGATTCCAATTGGTCCATTACCTCGGTTTGTACTTGTAAGGCTTCATGGAACTCTTTACCTATTTCTGCGAAAGAAATAAGTTCTAAACCTCGTTTTTTGAGAAATACTGCTAATACAGATTCTATAAGATCGACATCTCTCCTAGCATGCAACTGACGAATGAGAAATTCTAAAAACAAACGACATTCTTTGCCATTATCATAGTCTTTCAATCCTTCCACTTCCAACTCAATGCTCGTTGGATTCATTTTTCTCAACAGTTGCAAAGCTTCTTCATCTCGAATGCCATCATTTAGATTATCCATATCTCCTCCTTGATAAAGGCATGCCATCAACTGAGATGCGGTCAAACTGTAAGCGTTATGATCACTCATTTTCTGATGCATATTTTCAGTAGAATGAAAAGTATCCAAAGTAGATTCCTTTCCCAATACATGAGATGATAGAAAGAAAGGTGCCTCTGCTTGTTTCTTCACTGGTTGTTGTGGCTGACTACGTTTCTTCACAATATCCCAATTCACAAGAGTAAGTAAATAATGGAGAGGTTTTCCTGATAAAGTAAAAGATGATAAATTCTCCTTCTTTGGCATCCTATTAAGATGATCCTGAAGAGTATTCTGAATGGACAATGGAGAACGCCATTGAAATTCTCCAATATGTGGAAGTCTACCTAAAAGTTCTTTTGAGTTTGTTATAACGGAAGAATGGCTTTCGACTGCATTTGTTTTGAAATGATGTTGATTAGACCACAATGCAATGCCTATACAGTTGGAATGACAAGTTGCAATAAAGTCATTGTTGGGAGAAAAAGCAATAGAAATAGGAGCGTGTTCAAATTCAAATATATCCACACACCGACCCAACTGAATATTCCAAACTCTTAAACTTCCATCTAAAGATGACGATAATAAAAAGTATCCATCTCCCGAAAATTGAGCATCCGTTAAAGGACCTTGATGCCCTATAAAACGACGAGCAAGTTGTTTCGTTTCAGGATCAACCAAATGAATTTCAAAATTATCACAAAGTATGGCTAACAAATTGCAAACATAACCCCAAACGACTTGCACAATAGGAATGCCTATTTCTATGGTATACAACAACTTGAGTTCCTGTCGACTCCAAAACTTCAACAACCCATCGATACTTCCAGAAACAAGTGTCTCACCAAGATTATCAAATTCAACCCCAGTAACTGCAAGTAAATGAGCTCTTGAAGAGCACTGATCATCTGTCCAGGAACTTCTATATGAACCTGATTGTAGATTGTACAAGTCCAACATTCCTAAATCGGTACCAATAGATGCGAAATTCCCACATGGAGATATTGCAACACAATTAGCTTGTTCTAAACGATATCCCGAATGCTTCTTCTTTCCAACAGAATTCTTATGAAAGGCATCCTTTGTTAATAGCTTTCTGGATAACACTTTATGAGTAAGAGTACCATTTTCCAATTTCCAACAATATGCTTCCAAACAACCTTCATGACAGGTAACAATATCTGCAAATTCAGCATCTCGAGCTCTAAGAGATCCTACTGCAATCGCACAAATGCGAGGAAGTATGCCTCGAACATCTTCTTGAATGCGCAAAGGAGCTCCAATTTCTATTCCTTTTTGTTTCCTTAAATGCTTTCTCTTTCTCTTTCCTCCAATCAAAGATGATACTTGTTGTGAAAGTCCTTTACTTTGGGCATCTCGAAATAGGGATATGAGGCGCAACTCTCGATCTATACTACAAGAAAGAAGTATTCGAGGATTATCTGCTGCAAAACGTAAACGAATGGGAGGCATCATATGTCCTTCTCTAAAACGCAATAGTCTGGGAGGTTCCATAACTCTATCTGATATATGAACTTTGATGCAATTATCTCGTTGTCCAGCAGTTACCAACAAAGGTTCACCAAGTAAATACTGGATAAACCAAGCACCTCCTAAATGAACTTTGCTTAACTTGTATTTTACTTCTCTTTGCTTCAAATCAAAGAATACGATGGAACCATCAGAATAAGAAACTGCCATTTCAGAATAGCCATCGGAACGAAACGCAATATCCAATACAGGACAGCCATCAAAAGGCATTTGATCCATAGAAAGATGATTCCTTGAGAGACTCGTATTCACATTTTGATTACTTTTCTGGTGAAAAAATTCCATGACGGTTTGGTTTCTTTTAAGGTGGAATAATATTGTACGGCCGTCTGCGAGACCCAAAGCGACAATATCAAGAGCTGGCGTAGAACGCATACTCGTAATAGTAGAACCAAAACTTTCATATTCATAAAGCAAGCGACAAGAGCGTACGTTCCAAAGCTGCAAATGACCTTGTTCACTTGCTAATAATACTTTGTTGAGATAACTGAACAAAGGGTAAGTACAGGACAGTTCAACTTGAAACCAACAATCTCTTACGTTTCTGGATGTTCAACACAAGTAACTACAAAGCCTACGGATAAATAAAACTCTGCAACTTTCTCATGTGAAGTCAGATCCCACACAATGACTCTTTGTTCTGCAGAAGAAACACTTAGCAGCACAGTACCAAATATTAACAAGTGAGAAATTTCTTTCGTATGTTCCTTCCAATTCTCCTTCAATTGCAAGCGATAAAATACCAAAATGGTATCGAAGGAAGCGACATACGTCCAATCTTTCCAGCAGACTATGCTCTTAATGACGGTCTCTGTATCACCACAAACGAGAATAGGAGAACATCCTTTTAATCTCAATTTGGATATATCATACAACTGTAAGACTGAGTCTATTGCACAAGTGATAAAGTATTCTGTAGAACGGCGTTGCAAGAAGGGTTTGGCGGTATTGCCATTGACTAGGCCGAGCGTCCGATAGGGTTCTAACATTTCATTTACTTGCAATAAGAGAATGATTGAACGGTAGTTTTGGAAATTGATGCACTTGGAAGCAAAATATGTAGAATCAAGATACCAATAACATATTTTTGTAGTTTGAAGTATTGTAATAAGACTTGGTAAAGACCACTATTTTGCAAAAGGGCTAGTTACCATTCAAAAGATGAATAAAAGGAAAAGCTATCAGTATATGAAAAGTTGGATAAAATACAATTATTTCTATAATGGTTTGAATATTGAATGGAATGAGTTCTATTATTGCAGAATAGATAAGTTTGTATAAAGCCATAGGTTGTGACATTCCATATTCTATGTCCATACAAACTCTTCAGGAAATATCATAATAATAGGATGATTTCATCTCTTCTTCTTCAACAAGAAACAGTCTCATTCAGTAAAAGGCAATTGTTATAGATATGAGAAGTCCCATATGAGGAAGCGAATTCTCCAAATGGGAAAGAATAGCCACGAATTGAATGAATTTTGGCGCGCATGAGAAAAATGCACGTGTTCCTTTTCCAGCCTAAAAACCCAAATAATCCCAGAAGAAGAAACGCAAAGGGGAAATAGCACATTCAGTTAAAGTGGAGCTGTAATCTCCATCTTGATTCCACGCCGCTATTGGGTACAACCGTTTCACTCGACTTGGTGGCGACATAAAAATAGTATAACAACAAAGGTGGAAAGTGTAGCGAACAAAAAGGCTCTTCTGCATTGAAAGCAATTAGGCTTGTGTGGCTTTGGAATAGATAGAGCTTCCAAGTGTTTTCGAATAGTCTTTTGTAGTATTGCTTTGCGCCATTGAGACTACATTCCGAAATTGTATCGTGTTGTGTAGTTTGAAAACTTTTGTACGTTGAAACTGCAAGAAAACCAAACATTAAGAGCTTCTGGACTGGTTTTATGTTGTTATGAACGTTGGCTTGAAACCTATGGTAGACTTAACCATGCAGGATTATAGTAACCCCACTCTACGTTTTCAAGATGACGTTGGGGGTGCGAAAAACGCAAACTCTATTTCTCCCGAAACAAGCACTCTTCAGACAGGCTCTTTTGATCCAAGAACCTCACCCATGCTATTTTCGTTGTCACCAGATTGGAAAAGTTCGGATTATATGGCAACTTCGGAAGTGGAGGTATCTTTGGAAAAGGAAGAACAACCTCAAAGTCTTTCAGCACCGGAATATGAATATCGACACAGTGTTCTGTTGCCCCTCAAACAGACAGAAGCATACTCGGCCCCTTCCAACTTACAGATACAGTCTCACTCGCTTTTTGCGTTCAGAGTGAGTAGCCAAAAATTGGTTAATGCGCAAGTATTCAACTTATGTTTTCATTTCTTGTACTTTAGGCTAGTTATTCTGGGGCTTTTTTGTCCACTGCCGATGATCTTCACGAGCAGTCTTCATCAAACAGTCAACCAGTAAGGAACTGTTGTTTGTAAAGAAGACGAGTTTTCATATATGGTTTGTTTGATAGGGTTTGGGATTGGAAAGTTCTACAAATGTTGTTGAACGAAGCCTAAGGAGACAAGACTCAGATGCGTCGGTGGACGACCTTATTTTTCGAGAGTGGAGGAAAATGCGTCCAAGAACTAGTTTGTTAAGAGACGACTCTATGGCATCTTTGGCTTCTTTACCGAGAACAGAGTCAGAAATTTCTATAGATGGAGAGCGTATCCATTTGGATGAAGGTATTGTGTCCAACTTGAAAATAGATGCTGCAGAAGACTCTAGTCATGTTGAAGGAACATTCGTATTGACAGATAATAATAATAATAATATCAAAGGTAAGCTTAACATTGTTTGTATTGAAGTTGGGATCAGAAAGTTTTGAGTATAGAATATCATGAAAATATAGCTTGTGGCTCAGAAAAGCAACACTTGCCTATGGCTAGTCTTTACTTTGGCTCTTCAGCTGGCGTTCTCAATCCTATAATAGAACAAGACTCTCATATAGGTCCAAGAAGTGCAGCAAAGGGACCTCTTTGGGAACAAGCTAGTTGGAATGGAATGTATATGCAAGGACCTATCAACTCTGGTCCTTTATGGAGCGAATCATTTGATATTTCCAATGTTCAAAGCAACTCATCACTCTGTTTTGAAGGAGATATATCCAGTTCTTTATCTCGAGGTGTATCATCTTCATCACCTTCCTTTTTGGACAACTCCAAATTGTTAGGAAATTGTCGAAATGACTCTATTTCTTTACAAAGTCAAAATGCTGTCATTCATTCAAGTATGCCTTGCGCAACATTATCCAATGAATCAGAGCCCAACTTATTTTATAGAGATGGTTTGAAACCAACAACAGCAGCAGCAGCAGCGGCAATTGCATCTGCAGCTTCAGCAGCGAACAAGTCTGTTCCAAGAACAGTCAAAAGCCATTCGATGACCTCAGAAATATTTGGTAATTTGAATAATTTAGAAGCTGTGAGAGGAATGAACGCCAATTACTTGTCCTCGACAGATTCTTCTCATTATTCTTCGATATCTTCCTCTCATTCATGGGTGACTACAAACTCTTCACTTCATCAGAATCCTATGCTTTCTGGAAATAATTATCGTAAAAACATAATACCATTCTCAGTTTCACCATCAACTGGTTCTATTTCCTCCTTGACAGGAAATGTTTCGACATCAAAGGTATGGAGCATGGAAGAGATTGTTGGACGTATTTTCGAACTGGCAAAGGATCAACACGGATGTCGCTTCCTTCAGATGAAATTGGAAGAAGGAAATCCTGCATATATTGCAATGATTCTAGCGGAATGTTTTGATGGTTTGCCAGAATTGATGGTCGATCCTTTTGGCAATTATCTTTGTCAAAAATTGTTTGAATGCTGTAATTTTCAACAAAGGCTTTCTATTTTGCAAAACACTTGTAGTGTTTTAGCACAAGTTTCCATGAATATGCATGGAACTCGTGTTGTTCAAAGAATCATAGAATGTATGGAAGGTGAAGATCAAATAAGCACTGTATGTACAGCGTTGACTCCCTTTGCCTCTCAATTGATGAAAGATGTCAATGGAAATCATGTAATACAGCGTTGTTTGCAAAAAGTGGCACCGACTCACAATCAATTCATTTTTGATGCCGTCGTTTCGCATTGTGTGGAATTGGCTACTCATCGTCATGGCTGTTGTGTCATCCAAAGATGTTTGGATTATGCAATTCCTTTACAGAAAGAGCAAGTCTGTATGGAAATTTGTGAGAATGCATTTACTTTGGTTCAAGATGCTTTTGGCAATTATGTAGTTCAATATGTATTGGACCTAAAAAATCGCTTTTATATTGCCAAGATTATTGCTCAGTTGGCTGGTCATCTTTATGAATTATCTGTTCAGAAGTTTTCATCTAATGTGGTTGAAAAGTGTTTGCAACAAGTTGACCCAGAAACTCGTAAGCATCTCATCTACGAGTTGATGTCCGATCGAGAGCTGCTTGGAAGACTTTTACATGATGCATATGGAAATTATGTCGTACAACGAGCGTTACAATTGGCTCAATCTCCTCAGTTGGAACAGTTTTGTGAAATTATTAGACCACACTTGTCATCTTTAAAGTCGACTCCTTATGGGAAGCGTATTTATAGTAAGATAGTGAGGCGATTCCCTGAAAGCTGTAGTTAAATACTCAAGTGACTAATCAACGACGTTGAAAAATGTGTAGAATAGAAAATATTTTGGATTCTTATACTTTTGTATATTGTGATAATTGTGATTGTTTGTGTTGTTGTTTATTATATATAGTTGTCACAAAAGTTTGTAATAGAGAATGATATCTTTATCTAGTTGTGTTGTTTATGGTAAACTTTTCATGCTAGACTCTCTTCCATTGCCATTCCAAACAAGTGATAAAAACTTGTTCTTTTTGATTCTCATCATAGTCTGCAAAAACAAATTTACTTTTTTCTCTCATCGATTGTGTTTATTCTATTCTATACTTGCCATAATATTCTCCTTCTTCAAAAGAAACTTGTCTCATAACCACACCAGAGTTCAACTCCACAATGAAATCGGTTCCTACAGGATTCCAATCTATTGGCTCGAGTCCTCTATGCAAACTACTTTAACCGACATAAACCCATCTTTTCTCTTGGCTAAGCTTACCGACAGTCGAAAGAAGCAAACTGTTGAAACTCTTCGTTTTTGTCATACACGTGAGGTTCTTCTAATATTGTTATGGTACACTATGGCCACTTTCTGTCATCCGTCTTTGATCAGTCATCAAAACATACCTGTCTACCACATAGTCGACAGTGCAACAACACGTGACAAATTCCACTTCTCACTCTAGCCATTTCTTGACTAGGATCGACTGTAATCCATCCTGTCTTTTCACTGCATTGCATACATTGTAGCTGCAAATGCCATATGTAACTATTTTCTTCTCTTAAGTTTTGTACGTTGGGAGAACACGAAGCTTTGATTTCTAAACAATGAATGGGCATTGTCCATTCCCACTTGAAACTTTGCATAGTTTCAACCAACACTGAAACTTTCTAGAACTATTCTTGAAATTCTAGTGTTTTCAATGCATGTTATTCCTCCCAAGCTATATTATATTCTCTCTTGAAAATATGTTGTCTTCAACTCCTTCTTCGTTGATACAATCATAAAAACAATAGGAAGTTTGTCGTTTACCCGTTTTGTTCTACTCTTTTTATATAGAAATAAAAACAATATGGAAACTTGTCATGAATCAACTTTCTGATTGCTTAGGAAAGCAAGACAAGGAGACAACAAATATGTTTCCATGGGATCGTCGAATAGACTGACGCTATCATTTGCTTTTTTAAGAAACAACAAGTCAACACAATTAGATGTTTTTGGGATATATTCAACATGAAAGTTGTCTACTGTTGTATTTTGTTACTATTGGCATTGCAAGTTGTTTTGTTCTTCTCCTTTATTACTATTCAAGATGGATAAGAAGAGTACAAGTACTACTACTACTAATAATAATAATAATAATTGATAGGAGGAGAGAGAGAGAAAGAGAGTATTACCAGTGTTTCTCTTCATTTTGCCAATTTTCCTAATTGTTTTTTATTGTATTGATTAGGAGGTTCCATCAACTTAACTTGCATTACCAGAGGTTGATATCGGTATTGTAGACTTTGGAGCTATTTTGTTAGTTCTTACTAATTGAGTGTTTCTGAATTGAACGCATTACGCAATATCTCACACTTACAGTTAATGAGAGAGAGAGAGAGAGAGAGAGATAATACAACTCTCACTTTTGAAGATTATATGTATCCTTATACTCATCATGGCGAGAGTTATGATTGCTCAAATATGTTGTCAACCAAAGGATTGTCTAGTCTTGGACTGCAAGCCATTCTCTATGATGTAGTCATAAAAAAGTTGAGTCTCCACATATTCTCATTTCCTAATATGATAGAGCAAAGACTTGTGGGATTTTGTCATGGATTTACAAGGACAAGCCATTTGTGAAAGATATACAAAAAGAGGAATATTTCTTACAACGGCAAGTATAAAAGTGAAGACTTGTGGTGGACTTGTTTTTTTAAAAGTTATTAGGTGGTTTCCTTAGTTGTTGCGATTGTAACAGACGATTATAAAACCACGTTCAAAGGCTTTCTTATTGGAGTTTTTTTAGTAGCTTTGGTAGGTTGTCCAAATACTATTTCTGTCTGTATGAGAAAAGCAAACTCAGTTCATTCTCTTCTAGTGGGTACTTCCTAGTTGGCCATTTTATAGAAGACATCCACTTCACTTTGTAACGGATAAAAGTATGATCGAGTCTTAACCAAACATTTCTTGAGCTACTTGTTTCTTTTGTACTTTGCCCATCGCATTTACTGGTATTTCTTTCACTACTTTTACTTTTTTAGGAAGCTTGTAAGGTGCCAACTTATCCTTTCCCCATTCTCTCAACTCTTCCAAGCTCACGTCATCGCCTTGTCCATCCTTCAACACAATCACTAACCCAACAGACTCTCCCCACTCGTCGTCCTTAATACCGACACAAGTACACTGTTGAATCGCTGGATGTTGCAAATAGACTCGTTCTATTTCCAACGCTGACAATTTGTATCCACCACTCTTAATAATATCCACACTTGATCTACCTATGATTTGATAAAATCCACTTTCATCTCGTTGTGCTATATCTCCTGTTAAAAAATAACCCTTTTCAAATGCAGCAGCAGTTGCTTTGGGTCGATTCCAATATTCACGAAATACATTGGGACCTTTTATCAACAACTCTCCTCTTCCACTATATATATATATATATATACACAAAATCTTGGTTCAGTCATCTCTATCAGTGGAATCTATTGCTTACGCTTTTTCGGTAATCCACTGATTGCTTTCTTCATCTTTGAGTTGAACTTGTACACCAGGTAATGGATAACCAACCCAACCTGGTCTTCTTTCTTCTTCTTTCAACGGATTGGATAACGCCATACCCACTTCCGTCATTCCATAACGTTCCAATATGAGATGACCCGTAATAGCTTTCCATCTATGAAATGTTGTTTCTGGTAAAGCTGCTGAGCCACTTACAAATAATCGCAACGATTTGGCAGCATCCGATAACAAAGGTTGAATACCTGGTGGTGCTGCGTCATACATTTGAATCAGTCGATGATAAATGGTAGGAACTGCCATAAATAAACTGATATGGGATCCTTGAGGTATCAAGTTCAACATCCAACGTTCCCACACCGGTTGAGCTTGAAACTTTTCCATCATTTCCAACGTAGCACCCGAATAAAGTGCACAACAAACCACATTGACGATGCCATGAACGTGGTGTAACGGCAAAACATTCAAAATGTGGTCACTTGAAGTCCATTGCCAAGCTTCCACTAATGACTTGATTTGAGCTTCAATCATATCATGAGTATACAACACTCCTTTGGGTCGACTCGTCGTTCCCGATGTATAAATAATCATCGCATTGCGTTTCTTATCGATGACTGGAAACTCGATGGTGTCCACATTCGGCTTCTTTCTTTCTGAACCCATCAACAAACTACCATCCACTGGACTCACTCTTAAATAAGGTAAACAATATTCTCCAGCCAGTTGCGTCAACTTATCTTGAAACTCTGCTGATACAACAATGTGTGTGGCTTCCGCATCGCGAACGAAATATTCCAATTCTTCTTGTGGATGAGAAGGACTCAGTGGTACAAATACTCCCCCAGATAACCATATAGCCCACTGCCATGACACATAAGCATAAGAAGGAGGTACCAATACGGCTACTCGTGCTTGTTCCAAATCCTTACCACCTGCTAACAACAACGCTTTCCTATAGATATATATAAAAAGAGGTTCAACACTATTTCACCTTTCACTCAATCACTAGCCTACTGTTTGGCATCACGTAACAACTGATGGTATGAATAGTTATTTTTCCTAGAAACGATGGCAGTTTTGGAACCATATTCTATCCGAGTGATGGATAAACGACTGTCCGTAGTATGGAAAAGAAGTATAAAATACCTTGGGCTTTTTCCCAAAAAGATCGTTTCCATATTAGTTTCAAACCACTAGATATGATATACTTGAAGGAGGATGACCAACACTGCATAGTTAAGATGGTTTCAATTTTCCACTTTTGTGAAAGAAGAATCCAAATTCGAAGAAATGCAAACGATGGTGGTTACAAGTCTCTCTTTGACTATTTTCTAATTTCTCTCTCTATTCATTTTGGTAAAACAAACAAAAAAGCATTTATTGGCATTTATATCCCATTCTTGGTGGTTTTGCGTAATTGAACAGCAACATCTACCATATTTCTCAAAGAAGGAATCACTTCTTCCCATTGTCTCGTTTTCAAACCACAATCTGGATTGATCCACAAACGTTCCAAAAGAATCCCAGACTTTTTGAATCCTTCCATCTTCTTCACTAAAAATTCGGTGCTGGGAACAGCTGGTGAATGCACATCGTAAACTCCAGGTCCTATATCACGAGCATAACTATACCAACAAACTATGTTCAATCTCTCATTCAAAACAAATACCATTGGAGACTTACCCATATTGAGCGAGTGCACGCAACATAGCATCATCACTACGGCTATTTTCAATAGTCAATACATCCGCATCCATCTGATCGATGGCTTCTAAAATATCTTGAAAATCACTGTAACATAAATGGGTAACTATCTGAGTTTTGGGTGCCGCAACGACGGTACTAAGACGGAATGATTTCACAGCCCAGTCCAAATATTCGTTCCATCGTTCCTTCTTGAGTGGTAACCCTTCACGTAGTGCTGGTTCATCCATTTGAATAATAGCACATCCGGCTTTTTCTAAATCAGCAACCTCATCACGAAGAGCCAACGCAATCTGTAAAGCTTGTTGCTTGCGAGGAATGTCCTTACGTGGGAAAGACCAGTTGAGAATCGTAACTGGACCAGTCAACATGCCTTTTACTGGCTTGTTCGTCATAGACTGTGCGACCACAAACTCACGAACTGTCATGGGTGAAATACGAGAAACATCGGCATAAATAATGGGAGGTCTCACGTATCTTGAACCATAAGACTGGACCCAACCATTTTCTGTAAAGGTAAAACCACGAAGCTTTTGGCCAAAGTATTCCACCATATCACTGCGTTCTGACTCTCCATGTACAAAAACATCCAATCCCAAAGCCTCTTGTACACCAATAGCAAATGAGATATGGCGATCAATTTGTCTCTGATACTCTTCTTCAGAAACTTGACCCTTCTTATATTGAAGTCTAAGTTTTCGAACCGCAGGAGTTTGAGGGAATGAACCAATAGTGGTAGTACCAAAACCACCAGGAACAGTAAATTGTTGACTGCGACGCTTGCTAAATGGTTCACAACGAGAAAACATGGACTTGTCCAAAGTAGCTTCTAGATCTTGACTAGTTGCCCCACTTGAACCACTACTTGCTCCATCCGACTTCCCACTGGCAACCACACCAAGTTCGGCGATCTTTTGACGAGCAAAGCTCAGGCGAGACTTCAAACTACTATCTAAGGAAGGTTCGGAATTGACATCTAGAGGAACATGCATCAACGAACAAGATGGTTGAACAACGATAGCTGATTTGACAATAGCCTCAAGTTCCTTGATTACTTGTGCAGCGTATCCTGTATCCTTCCATACAGAACGACCATCCAATACACCAGCACCAAGTTTCTTATCTGCAGGGAAGCCATGCTTCTTCACAAGAGACAAGTTATCACCACGAACAAAATCCATGCTAATTGTCTGAACTGGTAACTTGACAACCCAGGGATACGTTTTACCCAAGTCGTCGTAATAAGTTACCAGATTGATAGGTACCTGCACTTTAGCTAGCTCCTGATAAGCTGCCTCTGCAGCCTTTTGCAAAGTCTCTGCATCACCCAGAACAAAACCAGGTTCGTGCAACTGTACCTCAGGAACTTGAAGTGATTTTAGACTATTCAAAAGACTAACATATGCAGGCACCAAACGACTTATCATCTCATCTACAGAAACTCCTTCACAACGAGCCAAACGTGCATACGTAACCGGACCAAAAACGATGGGCACTGCTCGTTCCTTTCCAATCTGCTGCTGAGCTCTGGAAATTTCATCCAAAAACTCTTCAAAACTAGGAGAAGGTTTGGAGTGCGCGTTCAACTCGGGGACCAAGTAGTGATAGTTGGAGTCGAAGAATTTACTCATGTCCAGTGCTTGTAAACCTACAAACCAATGGTCACGAACCAGTACGAAAACTCAGTTTCAACAGTCAGTTACCTTCTTTGTTTCCTCTCGCCATTGCAAAATATTTATCTTTCGGATTCTGAACCTGCTTGAAACGGTCTGGAATCAAACCCAGACGGAATGTCCAATCCAGCACGTGATCATACATTGTATGGTCACCCACTCCAATAAGTTGAATACCAGCATTCTACTCACTCAGATTAGCCTATATGCGCTTGGCTTCAGCTTCCACTCACCATTTGGTCCTTCAGTGATTCCTCTTCAACTTGTTTGGAAACTTTCAAAAGTTCATCGAGCGAACTTTTACCTCCCCAGTAGGCTTCCAAAGCCTTTTTCATTTCTCTATTGAGTCCAATTCTGGGATATCCGATTGTAGCTGTTGCTTTGTTAACCATGTTGACGTTTGATTGTAAGAATACCAAAGAAGGCCAATAATATCAAAACAAAAAAAATGAGGAAAAGAAAATGGCGCGACGGGCCATTTACATAAAAAGCCAAGTTGGTGAGCCAATCAGGGAGCGGGGCGTGTCTCTTTCTCTGGAGGCTAAAATCACTTTGGCGCTTTTATTCTTCAATACTGACCCGTCAAATTCCCTAAAGCATCAGGAAACGGAATCAAAGTGAAAAGCATAACAAACAACAAGACGAGACCTAGTGCACTTCGTTTGTTGTTTGGTTCAGTCAACTCATCTTCGCAAGGAAGGTCCATCTCTCTTTGAAAGAGAACTACAAATATACCCCAGAAAAGCAATAATGGAGAATTACCCAGTACAGCACCAAGGCCTTGTAGCAACAGTGTAATACCCCCCACCCTAGAAGCTGTAGAGCGTCCAAAGATACATTGTACAATTCGACCTCCATCCAACCTTCCAATAGGTAGCAAATTCAGAGCGTTGATAAGTAAACCAGTATATCCAACCACAGTTAAAGGATGTACTGCTACAGTGTTGTGAGAGAGATCCAAATACGGGGCAATTATCTTTGCTAGAGAACCAACGAGCATAGAAGCTCTAAATAATAAACTTGGAACTTGGGGAAACCAATCGGGTATAGTCTGACTATCCAAACTCTGTTGAGACAAAGTTAAGCCCACAACAAATAGAGTCACACTAGTCACAACTCCTAGTTACTTGTTATCATATATTCATATAATACAGTTCTCACATACCAACCAAAGGACCTGCAACTGTTACATCAAAAAAATCGGAACGATTCTTCGGAAAGTCTTTCAAAGGTGTAATAGTACCATAAGAACCAATTTGTAGACTTGGGACTGTGAGAGGTAATCCCAACTTTATGTTTTTCATGGAGGCGACAATCTACCAAACATTCAGTTCAATCAAGAAGCATGAGAGTTGATAGCTTACTCGATGACCCATCTCATGTAATAGAACAATGGCTATGGCTCCTAATGAAATAGGCAATGTCTGATATACTTCATCAGTATTTCCAGCCTTGAGTTTATCGAGAAACACTGGAGTGAGTCCAAATACTCCAACTCCTAAGACAAGAAATTACAAGATTAGTGAAAATACAAGCCAATATCAAAATGACCAACCATAACCTAAAGTTGTTATTGTGCCAAGGACTCCGAGAAAGACTGAAGCAATTCCTTCAAAAGTTCTGTTGACCATCAGAGCTTCGTTTTGTTTAGGAAGTGCAATAAAGACAGGTCTATAATTATCCAATGGATCCTCCATGAGAAATAATCTTACTCTCGGAGCCAATCCTTTCTTTTCTAAAGCTTCATTTAATAAACGAACTGCTTTGGCAGAGTCTGTCCTCAAATTGCCATGAAAAATAACTCGATCTCCCAAAGGTGAACGATCCAGATGTGTTACATAAAATGTATCAAACCCAAATACAGACTCTCTGAGAACTTTGACATCGTTCTCAGCTATTCTTGGAATATTCAACTTGGCAAAAGGATTCATAGGTCCAACAAAATAGCCACTTCCTGGAGCAACAGGTGGTGGTGATGGAGTTGCAATAACACTGTCGTTACTATCGTTACTGGAAAGATCGTTATGAGGTGTCACTACTTCCTTTGTACTTTGTTGTTTCGTCTTTTCCCACTTTTCCTTTTCTAAAGCAAAACGAATCTTCTCTGCTTCTAATTGAGCTTTTTCTGCTTCTAGTCTACAAACACACAAGACTTTAGAATGAATACAACAAATAATACTTGAACACTATCTCTAACCTGGCACGTTCCGCTTGTAAGCGCAACTGTTCAGCCTCTATTCTTAATGCAGCAGCTCGTTCCTTTCCACTTGATGGCGCGTGTAAAGCTTCATGTTCTTCTGCCTCTTGTGCCTGTCTTTCAGCAGTTTTCGCCGCTAATAACTTTTCTTCTGCTTGTTGTTCAGTCTCCTTTGCAACGCTGTGCCAATCTTTTTCAGGTTTCACTTCAATAGAATTCATAGGAGTAGAGGCACTTGCTTCATCAACTTTCCAGTTACTATCTCCATTCTCACGTGGTTGTTCTTCTTGTTGGTGATGTTGTCCTTGCTGCATTAGAACAAGTGTCAGTGCAGTACCTACGAGTTGACTTCGCTTTCGCTGTATAAGAAGACTTGTAGAATAAACTTTCCATAACTTGTTTCTCCGACAGTTTGCGTGGGAACAACGGCATCTTGTTCCAAGACTCGTAACACTGTGAGAAGTCACAAACATCTTTTTGTATGTCACAAACTAGTGTTCGACAACACAATCAACGAATTTTGTACAAAGCACAAAAATAGTATTTTATGATCGAAAACGAAAAATTGAGTTGTAGCACAAACATAATAACAAACTGAGTAAACACTTCAATGAAATAGTCAACCCAATATTTATCCTTTCTAATCAAAGAATAACTTATCAGCTTCCTTGGAACTCTTTGATATTACAAGTCTTAGATTCCAATCGCCTTTAAAGTTGGTATTGATTCCCAAAGCTTGATTCCTTAAGGCACCTCGACAGTTACCATCTTGGTCACATAAAGCACCCAAACGAAACGTGTCCTCACCCAAGCGAAAGTCGCGAGTCACTCCAACTTTACCGATAATGTAACTTCCTTTTGTCAATTCCTGAGTAGAAGCTTTTGCCAAGAAGAATAAGGAAGTGTCGTCATCCACTTCAAACTTCTTTTTAGCACGAATGTCACCGACGCAATGGTTACTTTTACAGATTGCACGAGCGCGGATGTTTATAGGAAAGTCTTCCTTTGAAACCGTAAAGTCATATTCCGCAGTAACATAGCCCGAAGGATCCGACTCTCCATGGCGAATTTTACCACCAAAACGTAACTTGGTATTGTTGTTTACGTCGTATATGTGTTCAGCTGCTACACCAAAGCGTTGACTAGTTGAGTCAAATATTAAAAAAGTATCCTATTCCAAACACATCAATAATGAGTTACTCATCCATTCAAATAAAACGGTCTACTTGCCATCGATAGAACGAATGAACCAAAACCCACACGAGGGAGATTGTGGAGGTTTTAAGAAAGAATGAAATATAAGAATCTTCAAAAGGATGGGCGATTAGGATGCCGCATTCATTTATTCTTAAGAATTTATGACGTGTTGCTTTTATAATCTCTTCAAACTACTTCTTTTGCTTTCCTTTTTACTAGTAGCTGCTTCTAAAGTATTCTGACAGTCATTCAAAGAGCGAATATTTTCTATGTTGCTTGCTTTGTTTTCTATGCTAGCATAAATTTCTGTCCACAACTTGGCATGTTTGGCAAATTCTTCGTATTTCTCCAACAATAGTTTTCCTGCTTCTTCATTTAAAGCAGACTCTGCGTTAGGATCAATCAATAGACAACTAGAAAATTAGTTGAAACCACGCGGGTCTCTTACAACATAAAGAATAACTTACCGAATGACCAACAATATATGCCTAATATCCAATTCTGGTTTCCAATCCTTTTTCAAAGTATTTACACATATTTGACCATCTTTACTAACATTGGGATGAAATATTTTGGTTACGAAATATCCAACAGGAGGAACACTAGGATAGTCAGGTGTAAAGTTAAGTTTCACTTTAAAAGTTCCCCCTTCGTAAGGTGTAGAGACTATACAATGTTGTCACAGATAAGTTTATTATACAGTATTTACAAGAAACTGTATCTTACCAGGTCCTTGTATATATGCATAAACAATAGAAATGTTTTGAGGATCATACTTTACAACAATTCCTTCTATGGAGTCACTTTCTAGCTTTTTTAATTCAAACGCTATTCTCTTTACAATCCCAAGAGAGAGACTTTTTGCCATGGTTTGCACCTGAGCCAATCATTTTTATAAGCCAAACATAAAACATAGTCTAGCCATTCCATTGTGCTTACCGCTTCGTTTAGACCCAAAAAACGGAACAATCAATTCAAATTCTCAAGATGGAAACGTTTGTCTCACTTGATGGTATCTTATCTTACAATAACGTCTTTATAAGAACACGAATACAACTGTTCTTTATACTACTCTGTCTATATTGGAAAGAAATAGTTTCATGTTGATGTAAGAAGAAGACCATTTGATAGACTCGTTTGTCTAATGAAAAGTTGATGCTTCAAATGAGTTGCTCTCCATTCTCAATCCTTGGAGGATACAAGTTGGTATGAACAATAATGAACGTGCAGTTGTGGATGTCAAATGGACATAGCTTTTCTATGCTAATGGAATATCCATAATATATGGAGACAAGAGGGAGTATTTATCCAAAAGTTTGCAAATAATAACTTTCAATGAGAATAATCCAATTGTCTATTACTGCACATAATCTCGAGAAAACTTTGATATTATTGATCTAAAGAAGGATATATTTATATATTATACAAATGGAATGAAGACATTGGTCTTGACATGAGATGCCATTGGGAGGAGATGAATCACAAAAGGTTGTTTCCGATCTTTTCTTTGTTTACACTTCGCGTCCATTTGAATGTATATGCAACACTCCAAGTCAACTATTCTCTGTTGTAGAGATTGGACTTTACTATTTCAGCCTGTATGTGTTTATTTAAGCAATCCTTTACGTTATCCTACTTGTTTATCCAACAGAAAAGTGTACTGGGTACACTGGTCTTCCAGAAAGCGAACAAAGCTCCAAGTTGGTCATCGATGGCAACTTTCTATCCACAAAACCTCCAACCAAAAGCATCAAAGAGGTTATTTGGCTCTAGTCACTCTTATTGGTGTCTATTGCTTTGCTTCTCCCGTGTTTGCATACAATGCAGACATGGAGTCTGCTTTGGTTCCCATCATCCAAGTAAGACGAACAAAATAGAAAAAGAGTAAACTTGAAATATTTATTAATTCTAGTGCAGACAACTACTTGACCCAGTGGAAGGTTATTTGAACAATGGAAACTGGGACAAAGCGAGAACAAGTGTCAACTACTGTACTCGAGTGTTACGTCTGAAAACCAATATGAAGACAGTGACCAATCTTCTTTCTGAAGATACTTTGAAAGACAAGGTATTAGTTGGATGGATGTAGTATCATTTGTAACGTTGCACTGATAACAGTGGTTAGGCAATAGAATATACTGTGGACATTGACAATGCAATGAGTCAGTTGGATGCCAGCGCTTATACTCCCAACTTTATTCCATCTGACGCACGTGGAGTAACTGATCAAAACCAAAAATATCAAATGCAGGTATTGTGATATAGACATTAGTCAAAGATAGCTAAACAAAATGATGAATTGATTCTAGGCAAAAGATTTCTATCATAAAGTGATTCAAGAATTGGATGCATTTTTAGACTTATCTCCTGGTGAAGAGCTGAAGAATGCTCAAGACAAGGCCTCTAAACTAGTTCCAGAAGTTTACTGAAGAATATCCTTATAAAAATAGTCCTTATAAAACATTATTTGTTTTCCATGAATCAGATTGCCACTCAATATCGCTTTTTAGCATTCTCCACATGTGTAAGCCCTCACAACATCTTTCACTGGTGCACGACAAACAGGGCATGTCTATGTTTTCAATTTTCAAAGATAAAACATTAATGAGTACATTCCAATCCTTTCGGATAGTAATCCTACCTGACCAGTTGCAATTAGTTGTCTTCCACAATAGCAACAAGTACACATATGGCCACAAGAATACAACAACGAATCGATGACGTTTTGAGCACAAACGATACAAGTTCCTTTTGAAATTGATTGAGAATGGAAAGCTAAAGATGTTTCTACTGTTTTCGAATTGCAATCATGTAAAACAGCAGCAATTTCTTGCCGAACTTCTCGTTGTATTTCCAATTGCAAATCGAACGAAGCCTGCATGGTACTTTTTATCCACTGAATGTCAGTTTGAAGTTTGTTCATTTGATCCAGTAGGAAATCTTTGTAGTTAGTTTCTGATAGTTCTATCTCGTCAGTCGAATCTTGAATATCAGAAAAATCTTCCCAATTTGTTGTTTCTTGATGTCTCCTCCTGGGGGAAGAATGACTATCTCGTACTATGAATGGTCTCAAAGTTGATGAAGAATGAATCGACTGTGAATGGAGAAGAGCAAATTCAAGTTGATGACGAAATGACGAGCTCAAAGCATTAGAAACAGTCTGCTGTTCTATGACTTGCCTCCATAAATCACCTCCGAACCAAGACTGTCTAGATGGTGAAACAATATTTCCTTCCAAGATGGACCGATATTCTTCGGATAAACCCTGAGAATGGATATATAATGATTTTATATGCAGATATTGTGAGTACAAACCGTTACAAGCCGACTTTGTTGGATCATTTGTACTTCGGATACCAAACTATGTCTATAATTTCTTTCCCTAGTCGGTCCAGTATTGCTGATTGAAACAAACGAGTCCTTGCCATTTTGTGTTTCTTCTTCCTTATTTAAATTCATATCTTTCCAATGGCACAAAATGGACATTCAATTACGTCTTGTGCAAAAATCACTTACCCTGCTTGTCATAGACCCGGAGAATATGTTGGTTCTAAACAATGGCTCTAGTCAATGGAATGGAGAGGACTTCTTCCAATACTCACCAAAATATTCTCCAACTGTCTTAGAAACCGAAACTCCACTGCTCTTACTCTTGCCTGACATATTCAACTATTTTACAATTTTGACTTTTTCTCGTATTCAATTCATACCTGTTCTCTTAAGACCCATAGGTCTCGCACTCTTTGAGTTGTAGATAATCGAGCATGCAACTCTGCTGACTCCATATAAAGGCAATGAAAGAGAGGGAAAATTTCAAAATTGCTGTCCACATTCAAGAAGGTGTCTGACTCTTGGACACGTAAATTCCACTCATCCTAAGGGGTTCTTGGTTGATAATGTTTCTGATATGCATAAGAACAATTGAAAAAAGTTGGAATGAAGTTTTCATATCTACGCCTTCTACAGATACTTATTTGTATGTGCTTCTGTACCTAGTTAACTATATAACAAGGTCCCGCTCAAGCCTAAAACTATCCCGGCCGCTCTATCATCAGATTTCTTCAAGTTCAATTGGAGGCCACGTTGGACGTATCTAGAACGCACCCTCATCTACGTTTGTCCAATCATTTAATTTCTCAAGGGTTGCACGTGACTGACGAAGATTCTAAAAATTGTTTATAAACCACATTCCTCACTTTGGTAAAGATTATCATTTTTTCTTGGTAGTTTCATCTGATTTTGATTCCGTTAGAAAATGCACGCAGTGGAGAATAGTCATATACCATCCGAGGAGCCATATACCGTGACTATAGAGGATCCTCAAGAAGATATACCTGTAGCCAATGCAAATTCCGAAACCTTTGGAGCTTTGTTTGCTTGGCACAATATCACTGTAAAAGTTACAGTGGGTTCCAGTTCCTGGAAGAGTAAATTGGGTTTCTCAAAGTCTCCAAAAGTGACTGAATTAGGAGAAAAACTTATCTTAAACTCCGTGAGTGGCATAGTGGAACCAGGACAAGTATTATTTATTATGGGTCCGTCTGGAAGTGGAAAGTCGACTCTGTTAGATTCTCTTGCTGACAGAGTTAAACTTCCAGTATACGGAGCCGTGACACTTGATGGCCATCCTAAAGACGCCTTTGCTTTCAAACAAAGTGCTAAATATGTGGAGCAATTCGATCATCTATTCTCTTCGCTAACAGTCAAGGAAACACTCAGTTATGCAGCTCAATTTTATTGCAACTCTGAAGAATGTCGTTCAACTAGAGTAGAAGATGCAATGGAGATATTAGGTCTGAAAAATCAACGTGATGTAAAAGGTATTTTTTGTTGTTGTTGACAACCTAATGAATGACTAAAATGAAATGCTAGTTGGCGGCGTTTTCTTTCGTGGACTATCTGGTGGACAAAAAAGAAGATTATCGGTTGGTGTTGAGTTGGTTTCTGCACCTCGCTTACTGTTTTTGGATGAACCTACCAGTGGATTAGACTCGGCTTCTGCCTTTAATCTGATTCAATCTTTGCGAAACATTGCTCGTAGTCGTGGAACAACAATTGTTTGTACTATTCATCAACCAAGTGAAACCGTTTTCGAAATGTGTGATCAATTATTGTTACTTTCAGGTGGCCGTGCTGCTTATTTTGGTCCTCCTAAAGAAACTTTGGATCACTTTGGACAGCTCGGATTTTCTATTCCTGAACATACCTCTGTTGCTGAATGGGTGATTGATCTGATCAACGCAGACTTTGGAGATGTCGAAACAGTCAGTCAAATTTTAGATGCTTGGCCAACCAGTGAAAAGGCAGATTTCCTTTATCGAAGGTTGAAGCAGTTGAATATTACGGACAATGAAGAATTTGTGGTAAAGAAACAGACACCTTTGTCTTCTATTGGACGTAAGGACGTTCAGTTTGCTACTTCTATGCCTTGGCAAACAAGTGTACTTGTTCGTCGTGGTTTTCTCAACGTTCTTCGAAACCCTGCTGTTGTTTGGTTGAGGTTTGCAATGTATGTCATGTTAGCTATTTTGATTGGGATTGTATGGCTTCGGTTATCACAATCAGCTTCGAATATGCAAAACTTTGCGAGTGCTTTATTCTACGTTGCAGCATTTATGGTCTTTATGAGTATAAGTGTTCTTCCAGCCTATTTAGAAGAGAAAGAAATATTTGTTCGTGAAAGAGCCAATGGAACTTATCATGTGCTTTCTTATCAAATTGCTCATTTTCTTGTGGATGTTCCGTTTGTTTTCTTATTGGCTTTGGTATCTGGAACTATATGTTATTGGCTAGTTGGCATGAATTCGTCATTTGGTCGTTATTGCTTTTTTATTTGGACTTTGTTTTTATCTCTTTTGGTAGCCGAGAGTATGATGATGGTTATAGCTGCCGTAGTTCCCTATTTTATTGTGGGTATTGCCATGGGAGCGTTTGTATTTGGTGCTTTTATGTGCGTACAAGGATTCTTTATTCCATTGAATAACATTGGTTGGTGGTTCAGATGGTTCCGTAAGTAATACTTTTTCGGTAGGAATTTATCACAAGATTTCTAATACTGTTGTATAATCTTAGGTTATATTGCATTGAATTATTATAGGTAAGTAGAGTTGTAAATATTCATAATGAGAGGAAAGCTAAATTTCTTTGTTCGCTAGTTTTGCCAACTTTATGAAAAATGAATTTAGCGACCTAACATTTTCACCATCTCCCAACTATATTCCTCCTTATCCCAACCCTGTGCCTGGAGTTAATTATTTGGAACAGTTTGGTTTTGCCTCTGTCAACGAATGGGGTTATTCCGGAGTTTTGATTGGAATGGCTATTATCTATCGTATTATTGCTGGTTTTTGGATGTGGTGGTTTCATACAGGGAAGCATTGAGTTGTGTAAAGACACAAAGATTGTGTGAATAAAACAAATAATTTTCAAATGTTTCAGAATAAATCAAAGGTTTCTGTTAATTGATAGTCTTCTTTTTCAACGATTCAAAACTTGAGTGTTTGTTTGGGCGCAAAGTTAGGAAGAAAAAAGCAAATCCTTTCTTGCGGCTATTCTTTTGAATACAACCAACTACAAATAAATATACTGTTTTGTGAAAAAGAAGACTGTGGCTTGGGAGACTCGTATTCCAAAAGAAGCCAGGAAGGTCCGAATCCTTTTCTGACAAGGGACCACTGGCAGTTCGGACTAAGAAAAAGTTTAAACGTTAAAGTTGGTTTCTTCTCCTAGAAGAAGACTGAGAGACAAGCTTTTTATGCTTCTATTCGACACCACACTTATACTCTTTTACACAACATTTCCTGCATTTGTGTAGTACCATTTCCATTTCTCATTCATTTTGGATGAGGCCGCTTCTCCACGATGACATGGTTTCGTATGATGATTCCGATAGGAACCAACTACCATCCACTATTAATGCTATTCAAGTAAGTAGACTCAAGTACTTTTTCAACACGAGACTATATTTTCTCTAGCATTCTTGGCTACTACCAGCTACTTTCAAGTTACTTTTGTTGGCAACACAACCACTAGAGTTGCCGCCATCGACTCCCATGGAACTGGAAAGTGCCATTCAGTCTCCTCAATGCAGTATATTATTGGCGGAAATTATTGCCAAGTTTTTAGGGTTGCAAGAGCCTCGAAGAGAACAACTGTTATTTCAAGCTGACCATACCTGGATGCCTGCGTTGGTCAAGTTGGTTCATGAGCTTCGAAGAGAATGTTTCGAACCTCTTTTTATAGACAAACCGCATCTCTTTTGGTTACCTTGTTCCAGAAGAAGAGGAAGGTTGATTAGCTACTTATTTTATGACTGGCAAACTTGGATTCAACTTGAACCGTTGGATCGACTGGAAACGTTGTATTTATTGATAGAAGTAGTGTTATTTGAGTTGGATACACCGCTAGCTGAGAAGATAAGAAACATGGCGCCTGAAAAGTTGCGCGTGGAACCCTTGGGATTCGATTCACAAAGAAATTGTTATTGGTAAGTAGATATGGATAAAAGAATATCACTGAACCATCCAAGGTACTTTGATGATGATTGTCGTGTATATATGGAAGAGCCATTACCTTTTGGTACTATTCCCTGGAATGCAAAGGGAACAGCTGATGTTCATTCTTCTGTTGAAAATGAAAGTCGCTCCCGTCCTCATTCTTCTTCATATAGAATAAATACGCGGTCCTCCTCGAAAAGAAGAATGGTGGAAGACAACGAACAGTCAGATGAGGTTCAAGTCGACTTCAAGAAGAACGAATCGATGGCAACATTCATTGTACAAGATGAACACTGTCTATTGAAATATAGCAACTACGTTCCTTGTTTTGACCAAGAGACGCTTTCTATTTCACAATGGAAGATACGAGCCGAAGGAGTACATGAGTTGGAAGAAATGGTTTCTAATTGGAAAGACAAACGACATGTACTTGATCGTCAACTGAAGAAAAGATTGTCATCTGAACTATTGCCTCTTTGGGAAGAAGAAGAAGAGCGAATTGTGAAAGAAAGAGAGAAGCGTGAGAAAAAGGATTGGATCCCCATAGCAAAGAGACGATCATCGCGAGTACTGGAAAAGCAAAGTATACAAGAAGAAGAAGAAAAGATAAAAGAGCAAGAAAGAGAACAAGCAGAAAAAAGACAGAAAAGAAGACAACGGCTACAAGCACAACGGTTGGCAGTTGTGGAAATCATTGAACGAGAAAGGGAGAAGGAATTTCGTGATCTTCGACAAATTGATCATGCTTCAGAATCACAACAGTCCAATCAACATGGAATGCGGTGGCGAGATATTGGTGTACGTCAATTGAGGGATAAGAAGAGAATTCCTTACATGAAATTGAGTGATGATGAATATGATCCACAGGAAATCGAACCCTTGACATCACAATTTGTGATATTTTTTGATGAGTCATCGGTATTGAACGAATATGATCGGCTTTTGGAAGATAATAGCACCAAATGGAGGTTGGTGGATCGCTTTGCATTGTATTCTACCAGGACAGGTCAAATGGTAGCCATCGAAGATTTGGATCATAACGATGAACGTCCATTTGTATTGGAAGCTATATTGATTCCTCGTCAGGAAGGCAATAATAGTCCATTGATGCCTGCAGCCTTTCGTTGTAATAACATTCAAGACTGGTGTATTGAATATGGAATGGAACCGAGGCTTTGGTTGAAGTCATCGAATGGAATTTGGTATCAACTGAAAGATCCTTACAAAGAATATCGGAATGTTTACCAAACTACTCGTCGCAAATTTGAGTTGTGTAGTCGCATATATATTCTTTGTATGACTTTATCTCCTTTGGTTTGTAGTTATTCCAAGGTTGTAGAGTTTTTAAGTTATGCCTATGGCGAAATGAAACCTTATACGGAAGATGAAATTCTCATGGAAGCATCGTTTATCTTATCACAATTTTGGTCGTTGAATGAAGGGAGAATTGTTCATAGTGGATTTTTTAGGCATTTGCAGAAAAAACATCGACAAGTTGTTGAACGTGATGGACATCACCCATGGTCATCATGGAGTCGTTTGACTTTACAATGGAACCATAGTAGAAATGACAACCATGGGAATGAGCAATCTGATAATCAGACAAGAAAAGAAGAAAATGTTGCATCATCTGTGAAAGTAGTCATTCCCTATCATTCGATGGCAACTGTTGTAGCTAAAGAAGAGAAAGGGAATCGCATGGAATGGCATTGTGTTGATAATGAAGCAAAAAGTGATGCATGAAAGAAAGAAAAGAGATGGTTGTTTCATTTCTTTTGTTGAAGAGGATGAATGAGAGAGAGAGAGAGAGAGAGAGACAGACAAGACCTTATTCTCATATTATACTAGGAAATGATGTGTCAATATCTATGATGCATGTAGAATGAAGATCATAGGCAAACAAAGAGATATCTTTTGTTTTATAAAAGCAGTCAACGAAAATGGGGAGTAAAAGTTGCAAGTCTCCCATCATAAGAACATTGAGGCAAGGATATCTGCATGACACGAACATTAGGTTGCAACTCGGAAACTTTGGGACGAACATCCATTTCAAAGATAGCAGTGGGTACAGCTAAAGTAGCACATGCATTAGGAACATCGACAATACCAGATATTCTTCCTTCACAAGGACAACAACTTAACAATAGATAAACTTGCTCGGGTGAATAGCCAAATTTCGTAAAGTAATAAATGCAATTCAATACTGCCCGTTTGTACGCAACAGATGCATCTAAATAATGTTTGTCTGCCTTGTTCATCCACTGAAACGCCTTCAAATACCAAATATTCCGAATATCTCGGTTCCAAAGGTCCTACTTCAAAAATAGGATTCACATGAAGCTTGGTTGGACCCATTGGTGACAAATAGCGATCCATTCCATTGCGAATGATTTGACAACGAAGAATGGCATAACCAGACATTTCAATAGCACCACAAAATGATACTTCACCATCTCCCTGACTAAAATGAAGATCTCCTATAGAAAAGTTTGCTCCGGGAACAAACACAGGTAGATATACTCTACTGCCTCGACTTAGATTTTTAATATCACAGTTTCCACCATTTTCTCTACCAGGAATAGTGCGCGCTGCTTCCGACGCAATGCGATTAAATTCTCTGTTCTTTGGATCGATGGAACCCAACAAAGCATATTTGGGTTCAGGTAATAAAGCCATCGGACGACATTGCAATACGGAAGCAAGTGTCATCTTTTCAGTACCTTCTTCAACCAATGTCCGTTCTCTTTCATTCCATATTTCCAACAGTTCCTTACTGGGAGCCGTTCCAACAATTCCCGGATGGATAATTCCAGCAAATCTTACTCCAGGTATATGACGTGAAGAAGCATAAATACCTTCAAAGTCCCATATTGCTTTGGAAGCCTTTGGAAAATGGTCAGTAAGAAAACCACCTCCATTTTCACGATCAAAGATTCCGGTATACCCCCATTCATGTTCAGGCAAAGCACCCAGATCACATAATTCTATTACCAGCAAATCTCCAGGCTGTGCTGGTTGACCTTGTTCATCTAAAACTGCAAAGGGTCCAGATAGATGATGACAACGAGTTAAATTCACAGTTTTCATATCTTCTGCACTATCATTATTCTTTATTTGACCTCCAGTCCAGTCAATCATTTCTACACGAAACACTGAATTTACTTTGACCTGAGCAACCGGTGGGATTTCAGGATGCCAACGGTTATGAAAAGGCTTTTTCTGTTGAGCAGGTTCCAAACTGGGATTCACAGGAAATATATTGGGTATCCTTTCAGTTGTAGCCATATGTCAACTACTGTTCACTCCTAAACTGTCTTCTCTCTTAATCACCCAATAACAAAATGTGAAGTTTCGTGGAGAGAAAAGACTTGGTCTAAAGGATATCATTTTGGCCGATAATTTCTCTCTATCTCTGCTGATGATTAAGATATCCTACCGAAAAAGAGAAAAAGCTGATCAGATCATCGTCTTGAATCTCCGGGATCATCCAGGTGAGGATTTTAAAAGATTGAATCATAAAAACTTGATTTCTGATTCTCTGTGTCAGAGCTTATCGTTGATTGCAGGTACTTTTCCAAGATTCTATCACTTTCTCCAATAGAATAGCCAGATTTCCTTTATCTTCGAGTGGTAAGAAAACGGGTAACTGTTTCACTTTGGGACGACAACTATTATCTGACCAACACTGATGCACGGTAAAGTTGTGCGTCCTCTTTTCCATATTTTCCAAATAAACAGTGGAGTCCTTCACGTCATACCGAAAGTATTTCAAGTTGCTCAAATTTGCGAAAGTTTCATACACTTTAGTAGGTAGAAAATGATAAGGAAATATCTCCACAACATGTGCATTTGGTGGCATCCAAAGATAGTGTACATTTCCAGCACCATGAATGGATAAAAGTAGCGTAATTTGAGAAAACAACTTGATATCTTCTTCCAACCGATGACCACTTTTGCGACAAGTTTGCTTGGAAGATTCGGTGATGTCGTCACACACGGGATAACCAAAACAACCTGTAGATGAACATACCGCATTAGGAGAATCAAAGACTCGAATATTTTCACGAGATATGCCTCTATTCTCCAGAAATTGAATCAAGTCGTCAATATTGATGATCTGTCTCGCTCGTACTCTTCGTTGTATAACCCAAACTTGATTTTTCTTGTCTATTTCTGTATGTTTGCAATGTTGGGGAATCTGAATACGATATTTATCTTGTACCAGCTGTTTTACATAAAGAGAGAAAGAAAAAGAGTCTGCAGTACCGACATATGATTGATCTATTCGAATAGCATGCTCCCAACAAATGGCATCATAATCAGTCATTCGAGAATGATTCAATTCGACCATTTGTTTCTCAGGAGTATGATACAACAAGAGGTCAAGCAATTGTTTATCTGCAGGTTTTCTGGTTTTCAAATGTTGAAATGTCATCGAAATATTTTCAACTGGCCATCGTTCCTTTGCCATTCTCCAACCACTCAACACAGGTAATAAATGAAAATAAAGATGAGCTCCTGACTCTTCCATTCTCAAGTCGTCAAATAAAAGTGAGACTCCTCGAATCCACTTTATATTGGAAGATAACTGGGGTTTATGGTTTAATTGAACCAACTTGGATGAATCTCGTACAAACTTTGGAAGTAACTTGACGTCATTTTTGTAAACCACGAATGAACCTCGTTTAGGAGCATAACACAAGTTCTTGATTTTCCACATAGTATTAGCCCCCCTTACATTATTCCAGAAAAAGTTATCGATTTCTCGTTCTCCTTTCCACCACTCAGTAGTTTCTCTATGAGTGGTTGGCAAAGACAAGACAGTTAGGGAAGAATGCTGTGTGGAAGCAAACTTTTTATCGCCTTCTATCATCAAAAATGAAATATTCGTCTGCCACCACTTCCATAGTCCTAGTAGAACAATACATAGCCACAACTTGTGGCTCATGAAGAGAGTTTTCCAAGACATCCCAACCATTTTTCAAAAAGAAAAAATGCTATTTGAAAGCCATTTTGGCGCTCAACACAACAGCAACACGGCCATTCATTCATTCATTCTCTCTTGTCATTTTAATTGATGGGTCATTCCCAATAGCTATTCTATTATGACCCATTATACTACTAACCAAGAGACGGACTCTTCAATAGAGAACATCCCTGTCTTGCCCTTAGTATTTGACTCTGTTACTTGTAAGATTCCTGAGTCTCTGGCAAAGTCTTTTATGACTTGTCCACTCTGTATGGGTGTTTTGAAAAAGGTTACCACTATAATTATTTGTCTACATCGCTTTTGTGATAGTTGTATCAAGAAATATTTGCAATCAACAAGTATGAATTGTCCCTTGTGTGGGGTTCGGCTGTCCTCCTTACGACAGTTGAGAACAGATGTAGAATATGGACGCCTTGTACAGGAATTAGAAAAGGTAATAACAGACTCTTTTCTTATCGTTCAATTTATTGAAAAAATAAAACACAGGGATTGCATGTAAAAACGTAAAAGAATGGAACTCGGGAGGGCTCATGAAGAGAATATCCATATCAAAAAGGAGGAGGAAGAGAGCAATTCGAAAGAACCATATCAAACCAACTCCACATCGAAGATATAGTTTTCCTATTATCGGTGACACATTCGTTCCCATTGCTTTCTAAACTATGCTATGGGAAGCAATTGCGTGTTTATGCTGACGGATAATATACTAACTTTCTCATTTCATCCATTTCCTCTCTGCTTCTTCTCATGGTCAAGATTCTTGTCCTGAATAATAGCACGAATAAATGCCTTTACATAGTCTGGACCATTATTCACAGCGTCAGGAAATCCCAGAGAGTATAAAAGTTGTGGCTAATATACAACAAGTTCATTTTCCTCAATTGATTTCGTTTCTTCACTTACCGCATAAGGAGAACGCAAGCCAGCATTTAAAATATGGACTTGTTCACGAAACGAAGGACTTGAGAGGACTTGGATTAGACCCTCTCTATTTTGGTCATCCTTTGGAAGATATTCGTATAAACTATGAATGGACTATTAAAAAAAGGTACTTAGTCTATCAAAACAAGTCATTCCTTCCTCACTTGTTCCAAGTTGGGATCCGATACAATAGGAACGATACGTTCGGCAGACAATACTTGATTAAGGTCAGTGACTGGTGGTCGAAACTGTCTCAAGCTTTGTAAAACTGTTTCCAATGAATTGGCTGCAACTGCGGAATATTCGTTGGATAAAGAAGAGTCACTTTTGTTGCTATCTCTTTTCTCACTTGTATTGGCGTCAATCAGTTGTTGAATTTGAAAAGCGTAATAATCGCCGTCTTTTTCTATTGTTGGACGTTCTTGTAACCAATAGAAATATTTGTTCGTTTTACTGCAATCTTTTAACACATATATATTGCCATCTTGAACACCTTCAACTCTTTGAAACAAAGCGTCACTAGAAAGTTTCAAGTCTTGCTCTATAACCCCAGTTTCTCTGTTCTTCCACTGTAAATGTAACTCATCACTTATCCAACACAACAAGAGAGTTCCTTTTCTAGGTTCCGATATGATTCTCTTATTTTGTAGTTGAGCAGTTCCCATAGCTACTTGAAATAGGATGGAGTTGTGATTACCAGTCTTCTTCTTCTTCTTCTCTCCAACCTCTTCCATTTCTTCAATGCAAAGGATTGTATGCCAAATAGCTATAACAACAACGACACAAGAAATCTTTTTATTGGAAACAACACCAACAATTAAAATAGTCAAGTTCTGAAGAAAGCATATTCCAAACATCTTCTCTTTTCCCTCATGAACCACGCTTCATGTCCTTTGACATGTTCAAAAACATATCCATATCTTTACCTATTTGTAAAAAGATTGCTTAATACATATATATGTCCAAAATACATATATTTTTCCCCTACCAGGACGTCTTCTTGAAGGAAATCGCTTCCAACCTTCGTTTCCAGTCACTGTTGTTTCGATTCCCTTTCTTTGTCTTATTTCATCCAGAGTAGGAGCCTGCGGTACTTTGACAGGACTACCTGCAGCTCTAACTCGAACTTGTGAAGAAGTGGAACTGGTAGAAGAAGGATTTGTCTTTCTTGGTGCGGTTGCTTTAGTAAATAAGCCGCTATTGGGATTGTCATCCACATACAAAGAACCAGCATCTTTGGATTGTTGTCCTTTGTTTCCTTTTATCTGTGGCAAAGGTAGTTTAGGCATATTGATTCGTATCCCTGGTAACTTGATAGCAAATAACTAAATCCAATATGATTCCCATTTCCTTGCAACACTATTCATCACAACAACTTACGTTGGTTTGTAACTTCCACTGGGTTTCCAAAGCCAAACAAGTAGTAAAAGCAGAAATCATATTTTGTATTCCCATATTGGTTAGTGGAACTGCAGTTATCATTGCACTTGAATAGTTTGGTTTCCTTTGTATCCACATGCCTGAAAAAGAACAATCGAATATCCTACAAAGGGAGATTTTCCATCCCATCGGATGAAGCTTTGTGTGGTAATCCGAGAATTTTCAAAAGAGGAATAGAAAATGATCATTCCCTATATGAGAAACTATATATCCATAAATATTGCATTCTTTTTCTTTCTCATTCAACACAACTGTATCAACTCTCTTTCTCATAGATTGATTCATTTTCTATATTCTCTTTGTCTCTCTTCCAATGCTTTGGCCATAAATAAGCAATTGGATTCCATTTATGGTAACCCGTTATTTGTCCCGCTTTAGAATAGTTGCTTTTATTTCTCTTTTATTATTTCTTTATGGTTTGGTATATTTACATACTCATTATGACCTCTTTCATTATTTACAACAACGTCGAGAATCCAGTCAACTCTCTACCAAACAACCTCTTCTTGTCCCTGTTTCTATTTCACTAGAGTTGAAGCAAATAGCTCAATCCCAAATACAACCTTGGATAGGCTACAAAATGAATCGATCCGATGTTGAAAACTTTGCCAAACGAAAGGGATATCTTTATGTAGTGGAAATTAACAACGGAACTTTGCATATTCCTGAATATATCGACAAGGAATTCGAATATAACCAAAACGTAGAGCCACTTATTGCTGTCATACAACAAATATTATTGGAAGAAAACAATATTCAAGATACCGTTCTATTCCTTAACTTGCTGGATGAACCCAGAAATCCTAACAAAATACGTTGTCAACAAACAGGAATATGGAACAAGATAGAGAACTATCATGGTTTTCCATTATCATTCTTAGAAATGGAGGACAAAGATATGCCTCAGTTTCCTATTCTTTCTCCTGCTAAAATATCCCAATGTTTTGAAGATATATTGGTACCTTTTGGTGATCTATTGGAACTTCCCAAATTGGCAGAAATGAGAAGTACTATTCCTAGTTGTTATGAAGGAGGTTTATGGAATGTTACGAATAGACTTATGACTGCCATTTTTCGAGGAAGTCCAACCGGACATTCCCTCCGAGAAGGTCGCAACCATCGTTTGTCGTTGATAAAAGCTTGTGACAATGAACAAAGTCGACATGTAAGAAACTATTTAGTCGATTCTTCGTTTGAAGATATCTTAAAGATATTTCCAGATGGTGGTCCTCTTTGTGATGCTGCTTTTACTCAGCAAATGGAAGACTTGAATCTATCACAAGCTGCTTCTCCTTCTTATTTTCTTCCAATTCAAGTTTGGGAGCAAATCACTTTCTTTGTGTTAGATATCGATGGCAATTCTTATTCTAGAAGATTGGCCAATCTTTGTTTTGCAGATGTGGATATCATTCGATTGGGAATATTCGAAGACTTGTTATTGATGCTATTGAAGAATGGAACTCATTATAGACATATTCAAATCGATCATAGTGACCTTTTCTCCACTTTAACATATATGAGAACCCATCTTCATTATTCTCAACAACTTTGTAGCAATAAGTTTCAACGATGTCGACAAATAGTAGACTATTCAGTGATGAAATATTATGTTCAAACTTTATTGGAAGAATATTCTCAACAAGTCTTGTTTCTTTCTCCTACTCAACTTGTCCATATCGACTAAAAATCAATAATAAAGCTCTTTATACACTCACTCACTCTCTAGTGACTCGTTTTCAACAACTCTATTACAATACTTTTCAATCGATTCCTAATATTTCCATATGAATGTGATTTACTTTCACTATTCTATCCAACATACACTTTTTCTGCCATAACATCCACATACAACAACTTGTCTCTTGTCTGTTGCAAAGCAGAGCACAACTCGAGAGTTTTCTTCTGTACCACTTCAACATCTAAACCCATTACTGCTCTCTTGGCTATATCTACAACCAAAACAACAATCAATATTATATCCATCCAAAGATGGTCAAGACTTATCATAGCTTACCCACATGACTAGACACATTGTCTACCATCTAAACAGCTGTTCTGCAATATACAAATATCATACACTTTCCAAACTTACTTGTTCCATTTCTTCACTTGTACGTTGAATAAAGTCATTCAAATCTTGTTGAATGTTTTGTAACTGTTGTTCCAACTTTTGTAAGCAAATCTTGAAAGAATCGTTTTCATTCAAAGACATGTTGGAAAACGAGAAGAAGAGAACAGATGATGATGATGATGATCCTCTAAGTCAACTTGGTCAGTTGAAGAAAAGGAACAGAAACTCCAAAAAGCTTACTACTTTATCAACTGAAGAAGAAGAAGAAGAAGAACCTTCTCATGAATTGATAGAACCTGATAGGAAATCCGTGAAAGATAACAACTCAATAGGAAGAACTACCACAAGCAAACCTTTTCATTTCACTTCACGTATCCAAAATGAACCCTTAAAACATCTTGCTTATGATTCTAATCCTTCAGCTATGCCTTCAGGACCTCAAGACCAACTTGCAACTGTAGTAGAAGAAGAACCAACTGAAAGGAAGAAGCGAGGTATCTTTGGACCTAAAACGGCGCCATCACATATTCGTGTGAGTGTTCGTTTTGACTATCAACCCGATATTTGTAAAGACTATAAAGAAACTGGATATTGTGGATTTGGAGACGCTTGCAAGTTTTTACACGACCGTAGTGACTATAAGGGTAGTTGGCAATTGGACCAAGAGTGGGAAGAAGAGCAGAAACAAAAGAAACGAGCGACTCTGGTTGAAAACAAGAAAGTAGAACAACTTCCTTTTGCTTGTTTTATTTGTAGAAAGTCTTTTGTATCACCTGTTGTCACTTTATGTGGACATTATTTTTGTGAGTCTTGTGCACTTGAATATCATCGCAAGAACGGTGGTCGATGTGCAGTATGTTCGAAAGCCACCAAAGGAGTATTCAATACTGCTCACAAGTTGCAAAAGTAATGAAAAGTGCTCCGATGATGAACCAGAACAGATATTGTAGTCTTATGAGACGATGATAATAATATTTACTCACTACACTCACTTGACAGAATACTACATTTGGTCTGATGGAGCAGTATCATCATTTTGTTCTTTATTTCTCGTGAAAAAGGACAAAATATTCACACAACTCATCTTAAACAAGTTCGGCAACTGGAGAGCATACTTTTTGATTCCATCGTATCTGCTTTGGTTTTTGTTCCAGGAAAGACATTCCAAAATCGTAAAGTTTCATCACCTGCTCCAGTTACAATGGACTCATTATCGGGTGAAACAGCTAAATACAAAACTCGATAAGTGTGTCCAGTCAAAGTTGTCACTTTGGACAGACTTGGATATTTCCATACAATAATTTGATTCTGTGAATAGCCGTGTGTAGATACAAACTCATTCACATTTTTAGACCAAGCAATATTGCATACTTGTGAACCAGTATCTATTGTCTTCAATAGAGTGCCACTTACAACATTCCAAAACCGAATACATCGATCTGCTGTACCTCCTCCAGAACAAAGTAATCCACTTTGATGAGGTGACCAAGCAATGGCTTTTACTGCAGCTGTATGCTGATCCAATCGATTGACAGGTGAAAAACTACAACCAGGATTCCATATGAATAACTTATTATCGTTCCCACCAGAAGCCAAATATTTATCATCATAAGACCATTTCAAACCACAAACTTCTTGTGAATGACCACAAAGTTCAATGACTTGGTTCGAAGGACTTTTCCAATCTCTTACACGTATAGAATGATCTCGAGAACCAGAAGCAAGCAATCTATCATTCCATGAAAGACAACCTACACGTAGTGTATGTCCCATAAAAGTTCGAATATTCTTTAAACAAGAAACATCGTATAAATGAACTTCACCACATCGAGTGCCAACTGCCAATTCCTTTCCTCGAGGACTCCAACTTACAGAACAAATAGCATCACCACTAGAAACTTCACAAAGTTTGGTAACTTTACTATTCAATGCATTCCAAAGATATACTGATCGATCCAATCCAACTGCCAAGATATTGTTACAAGACCAATCTACCAAATTGAGATAAAAGTCATCAGCCAAATTAGGAGCATCCAAAACTTTATAAGGCGACTTTACAATTTTCCTAGTTGTAGTGGGAGTCGATGTAAAAACTTCTGAAGATAAGAGTCCTTCTAAAGAAAGATTCAATGGAGAAGTTACCAATCTACTTTTTGAACGAGCTTTGAAACGAAACAGCTTCTTTGAGCTATTATTCAATTGTTTCCAATCCTTCCACTGTCTAACCTCTCCAAAAGTTGAGTTGAAACCATTAGAATAGTCTTGACAACTCGAGTCTACTCCAGACAAGTTATTATAAGAATCACTCTTCTCCAAACAGTGGGTCTCATTCCACCATTCACCAAACAATTCTTGTCTAAGAACGTGTTTATAACTAGTTTCTACTCTGTCTTCTTGATTCACCGTGCTTTCTTCTTCATCACCAATGTTATCTCTTTCTGAGCGAGAATGGGATAAAGTACTAGCTGGAGATGCTCCATTGGATATCCTCAAGACACAACTAGAGACATGGTTATCGGAACAATTTTCCAACCAAGGCAAAGGTTTGGATTGTTTAGGACTTTCTAATAAAGAGAAAGCTGATACTAAATCCCCACCTTCACGACTAGGAATAAACCTTGTGTTCATAAGTGAATAACGGTTACAAGATCGAACTAGTCTCATTTACCTATCACTATACCGGTTAGGACGTTTACGAGTCACATTGGGTGGTGGACTTGTAGGAACAGAACGACTCATAATATCTATGCAAGTATTTTGTGGTTCTATTTCCATACTATAAAGTTGTTATCATTGCTGTAGCAAACACAACACTTGAGACAGCAAAGCCATTCAACGGTTTTAAGATTAGACCCAAATGCCGTTTTCGTGTCTAAGAAGAAAGAGTCACTCTCTTTTTAGGGAAGATTTACATTCGTTTTTTATTTTGAGTTGCTTTCTCTAATATGGCATCGCAAAAGTTATCAAATGCAACTGATCGTTTCTTTTGATTGGATAATATGAGTTGTGTTAGACTGTTCTTGTTATCCTCTTTCCTTGGAGTGCCTTGCTCATTGTCAACGGAAGATAAGTTACGTTCCTTGATTGACTTGCAACGTTTCAACATCTTCCGTTTGGATTGCTTATACAATCTAGTTGATTCCAAAAGTCCTTTGGATATACATTCATCATAAAATCGAACAAAACGAGGAATATCACTATCGTCACTACAAATAATATAAAATAAAATACTATACATATAGATATCACAATTAGTACATTTCCTATACTCTATTTCTATCTCTTTCACCCTACCGTTGCAAATTTCCTTGAAATCGAATATAAAACTGTTTCAAGTCTTCTTCCTCTTCTTTCGACCCTCGATATTTTCTCTATCCATTCCATCAACTTGGGTCTCTCTTTTTGCAACAAACAACATAACAACTTACTTCCATCTCAATGATACTCTCTTCCGTTACTTGACCAAAGTGTTGACGACAAAAACGTAAGATATCTTCCGGTGAAAGGTTACTAAAGCACTCGTCACTATCAGGGTCTTGGCCTGTTTCATCGTATATCTTTCTTTTCTCTTCATCCAAAAGAACTTCAAAAATATGTTGCAATGACTGAAACTTGGAAGTGGCATCCTATCTTTCAACAACACAATCCAACGCTACATGAACGAATAATAGCAACCAGAAACATACTTACAGGGTCATCGCGGTTCTTATCAGGATGCACTTTTATCACAAGTTTTCTGTACGCTTTTTTAATTTCTTCTTTGCTCGCATTACGAGAAACACCAGCTACCTTTAAGAAAGATTATCTCTTTCTTGTAAACACCTTCTATACAACCTCTCCTTACCTCGTAAAAGTCAACCATGAAAATAAAATAGCGGGAAATCCATTTCAAATAGCACGAAATACAAGTCTCAAACAATCCATAATAATCAACTTTTCCAAAAAAAAAAGAGTAATATTTAGTGTTTGAACTTTTCTTTCAACATTAAGATAGTAGTAATATAGCTTATTTGACATATCGTTATATCTTGAAAAATAGTAACTTTTGATAATGCTTCCCTAGCTCAATAGGTTAGAGCATCAGTCTTATGAGCTGAAGGTTGTGAGTTCGACCCTCACGGGAAGCATTCATGGAAGAATATGGCGATTTTTTTTGGGGCTGGGTCCCATGACTTTTGATAATAATGTCGGAAGATCCTTTTGAGAGTCTGGTTTTTTTAGAAGATAGCTATATTGCCAAAGGGAAGGCGGAAGGAGCACGTTATATCTTACCAACAAGTTGGTTTGAGGGATTGTTGACAGGGCTTGAAGAATGCTTTTCTTTTGTGGCATACATCGAACGACATAAGAGCGCTGCCCACTTGGTTTTGCAGTTGCAACCGACGTTGCCAACACAATCTTTCGAGTAAGTTTATGACGAGAATTTCGATTTCGGCATTTGACTGACCAACTCACCAGTTTTGACACTCTAAAGGTTTATCTTGAAAAACTTCGGGCCTCGGGCAATGATTCAAAACTATATGATGACTCCAGTTTGCGAAAACATGTTTATAACCTGTGTCAAGGCATTCAAAAATTACTTGAACCTATACAGTTCATTGAACGTCAACTTTTCTCCGAATCGGAATTAAGCTTTTAAATGATCCATTTGAGACTAGAGAATGCATCTGTTTTTCTTGTATGAGAATGAACAAGTGAGTAAAGTCCTTTTTCGATTTTGGGTTAAGATATTGTTTTAAAAAATAGAGGCTGTGTGATGAAATCGTGAAGTTGAAAACTGGCCAAATTTTGTCAAAGTTCGTCTTGAAAAATTATTTTTCTTAATCTAAAATTATTTTGCAGCGTGAAATAATTGCTTCACTAGCTTATTAAAGAGTGGCATTAATTTAGCACTGTAGAACACGCAATCCTTTTTTTTTTTCGAATTTTGTAACTTTTTAATAATTAATTGCTCACAAAATTAGAATCGCAGCTTGAAAAAGAGAAGTTTTGAAGTTGGTGAAATAGTATCGTTTTTATTTTGGAGATTCCACTGCGGCACAAGAAAGAATTAGCCTTATTATGCGAACACGTTTTAATGGGCCCAACCTGCACAAGAAATTGGAAACTATGCAGATTATGTTTCTATACTTGAGATAAACACTAATGTTGTTGTTTCAGCGAACTTGATTTTTTTGCATCGTGTATTTCACCTTACCCGTTATTGATACTATTTATTTGATGTAATCCAGTCTTGGAGTTAGCTTTGACATTCTATATCTTCCTTTGTCAACAGCGAAAAGTTTCATTCTTTATTTTTTTTAATGTCTAATTACAGTCTTTGAAAAGAATTTAAATGCTATGGATCCCAAATTTTCAGGGCTAAGTCCGCTGGTATAGCTAGTAGCCTTTTAGCGTCTTTTTTTGCCTTGCACAATGGTGAAATTAATAAGCTTTGTACCGGTGTAAACTATATTCTTGATCAATGGTATCTCTCGAAATATATCATTTATCCCAATTCTTTAGGATAACTTTTGATAGGGCTATAGAATCACATTACAGAGAAGTATACGGGATCATAACGAAGTGATGCCCTTCAGTTCAGGATTGGTAGGAAGACAAGGGACATCTAAAGCAGATTTTATTGGTTACTTTTGGATTTCTGCCACCATAGAAATTTCGAAAAGCCGTCGTTACTTTTTTCAAAACTTTTTTTTCATCGAAGAAATGAGTAAGACTTTTGACTCACTTGAGGAATTTCGCTTTCGAGAAGGAGTTACTCCCTTTTCTTCAAGTTGGATTCCTTTGGTGACCTGCGTTCTGTATTTTACGCTAACTAGAGCTTTCAAGTTGTTCGTTTTCAATCGAAAGCCTCTTCGTTCTTCCCTACTGCTATTTCTCTACAATATTTCCTTAAGTTTTTTCTCTTTGATTCTCTTTATTTCCCTCGGTGCAGTTATTTTTGAAAAGATCCAACTTTATACCCCACATGAGTTGGTTTGTGGTTCCACTATTCATCATGATGGTCGCCTACAGTTTATTTATTGGTTGAATTATCTTTTCAAATATGTGGAGTTGTTTGATACCTTTTTATTGGTTGCTCGAAAGAAGCCTGTAACCTTTTTACACGAATATCACCATGCAGCAACGCTTGTTCTATGTTGGATTGAACAAAGGGAGTATAGTACTGTACAGTGGGTACCTATATTTTTGAACCTCGGTGTTCACGTTATTATGTACTATTATTTTGCAATGACTGCCTTGAAACGAGGTTTGTAAACTTTTTTTTGTTTGTATATTTTGCCATTTGATATCATTGAACGACAGAATTGTGGTGGAAGCGTTATTTGACAAGTTTGCAGATATTTCAGTTTATCATCGATGTTTTTGTTTGTTCTTATGCCTATGGAGTTTTTATCTTGAATGGTTTTGACTTTGACAAGTAATGGATTGATGAATATATTGTATCGGTTAAGTAACTAACCAGAATAACATTAGGTGCTATGGAACTGAATTGGGTGCTATAGCAGGAATCGTTGTTTTATTTTCGTACCTCGCACTGTTTGTTCGTTTTTACATGAATACTTATAAGAAGAAACAATTGAAGGATAAGAAAGATACTTGATCATTTATTTGTGTTTTACTTTCTACGTATTTGTTTTTTTTTCATGTAGAAAGTGGATCAAAACGCTTTACAATAAACAGACTGGATTTCCTTGAATCACCGTTGACTAATGTTGTGGGGGGAGTTGAAAGTTTGAAGAAAGATGAGTGAAACGATTCCTCCTGTTCTTCCGTTGGAGTTGGTAGACAAGTGTATTGGTTCCCAAATATGGGTTCTTATGAAAACGGACAAGGAGTTTACCGGTATTTTAAGAGGATTCGATCAGTTTGTGAATATGGTACGAAGAGTTGGACTGCAGTCAAAGAGTGTTTATTTTTGAGACTCTATAGGTATTGGAAGATGTTTCAGAGTATGAGTGGACCTCTGAAGGGCTGATAAGAACGCACTTGGATCAGGTAAACTCGTTAATCCTCTTTTCTTAAAAGAGTTGTGAAGATAGATTTCCTTAGATACTTCTCAATGGAAATAATATATGCGTGTTGATTCCTGGTGGTGCAGGTCCCAACGAAACTTTGTAACTGTTGACTTAAAGAGTCGTGTTGGAAAGAACTTGGCACTTTAACAGAAAGTAGTGTTTTCTTGTGTCATCTCAAAGAATAAGACAATACTCATTCCAACTAGACTCTTCTCTCTCTCTCTCTCTCTCTATCTCTATATATATATATATAATATAATATATAAAAGAGATCAAATTCTCAAATGGATAAAAATGGCACTTTTTTGCTCTCTTCTTTTACTACTCGAATGTCCAAAGGATGTCCTTATGGAATGCTCAAAGGGACGGAAATCAACTTGTCCAATTGTGTTGAAGACTTTTTTGTTTCTCTTAGACTTGGTTTTATCCGATGACTTTGGGCATAGTGGAGTGTTGTGTAGTTTGTTAAAGTATTTGTATGTTCTCAGACAATTTTCAATTACTTTCGGACGAGTTAGTTGTGTATATATTTAAACAGTTGGATAGTTTTTCACTATTTCAATGTTCTCAAACTTGTCGACGTTGGAGACGTTTGGCTACTGAGAATAGATTGTGGGAAAGACTTTCACAGCGTATACCTTTATTAAGAGTAGAGGAACTATTTCAGGGTGACCATAGGAAAGCTTGTTTACATAGAGTTTTTCAACAGAGACTTCCTGTCAACCGAATTCTAGCAACTCTAAAGGATTCCACTATAGTTACTTGTAATCCTGATGGTACAGATATTCATATAGTTGCAAAGGCGAGTAGTCAAGAAAACAACTTTAAGCAACCTTGTTGGGATCCTTTTGGAAAGTCCATTCTGTTTACTTACTTTCAATCCTTTGCAAGTCATATTTGTGTCGTAGTGGATTCGAATGGGAAGCGAAAGGAGTTGGCCATTTCAACTCCTCCTTTTTATTATCTTTGGTTTTCAGATGGTAATTATTTTACTTTTATTGCTGAACATGGAGCTGCACCTTTGTGTTTATATCTTTCCAGTGTATTGGATGAGATTGCATTGCCTGTTGAATTATGCACTTTGAATACATTTTTCTTTGATACTTGTTCACATGAAGATTATTTAGTGGCACATATTAATGGAGATACTATTGCTTTATTGAATTTGAAGTCTTTTATATCATCAAAGCATTTATCTCATCAAGAAATGAATATAAGAGAAACAGCAGAATATGAGCAATGTAGTAAAGAAGAGGCAAAACAATCACAAGTCATTCTGACTCATCGTGCTGGTTATTTTGCTGCACCACAATGGATAAGTAATACGGAACATGGTGACTTTATTCTTTATTTAGAACGAGATGATAACATTCCCAGTGTAGAAGGATTACAAGCTGACCGTTTATTATTATCCAAAGTGAATGTAGCGTTAATGAATATTGAATATACGCTAGAGTTGGGAAGTTATTTTGGTAGAAAAGCTTTTCATATGACAAGCCATATGAAATATATTTCCATTTTAGAAGAGTCAACTACTCAAGTAGCTTTACCCAATGTTCAGAATCCAACTACTTTACAAGTCTATCAATTGGATAATAATTGTTGGAATTGGGAGCCCATTGTATTTACTCAAGAGTATTCTATATGGAATGAGCCATCGATGGAGTTTGTTTCTATACAATATTTTCAAGGAGTTCGTGCTTTTCAATGGAGTCCTGATCATGAAAAGTTGTTGTGTTTAGTTATTCAATCACTTGGAGAGAGCCATGATATAAGAGAAACCTTATCTGATATGTCAACTGAAAGAATAATAACAATAATAAGAGGAGTAGTAGAAGAAGAAGAAGGAGGAGGAAGAAGAAGAAGAAGAAGAAGAAGAAAGTGGGAATCTTATTTTCTGGTATTGGATATTCCCAAACGGAGTATTTATCGATATTCCAATTTGATATTGAGTTGTACTTTTGTTTGTAATTTTTTGCCATTCTTTGACCAATTTATCAAGGTAAGTGGTGGATAGATAATCTTATGATGATAATCTATAGTATTCTTATGGAATATTTTAGTCACAAACCTTTTGGTCACCTCATAGTGATGCTTTTTGTTATGTTGGTCAACATGAAAATGCCAGTCGATATGGAATAGAAGAAGAACAAGGATTGTTCGTTCAATATCTTGATCAGTCTCCACCAAAGTTGTTGTTGAGAAATGTGGAATATGCAACTTGGTCTCCACTTTAGAAACTTTTTCAACGATGAGAAATAAGTTGTTTGGGTGTTGGTTTTCTTTTCTCATCGGTTGAAAATGGAAGAATAAATAGATATCTCATTCGATATTCTTTATATGATCAATAGATGTTGAACTATTTTTTTAGAATGGCATATCATCACTTCTTTGCATATTATGATTCGTCATCGTCACTAATTCTTCCCATTGTTTCCATTTTTGGTTCCATTCCTGTTGTTGTTCTATCTTTGACTAGTTGCTTTCTTAACTCCATCAAAGGAAAATAAAGTTTTACTCACCTGAAGAATATCATCTAACTGACGTTCCCAATCTTCTTCTGTAATATCCAAAACATGTTCTTGTTCCAATAACTGATTTCACGCTCACTTTTGATGGTAACAACTATAGTGCGTACTTACTTGAAAACAATCAGATAACAAAGGTATCGTGGTCTTTGCCGTTTCTATAATATCCAATTGAAAGGTTGATACATACAATACTTTTTGAGGTATCCAACTTGCCTTTATATACAGTCAGAAAAAAAACATCTTGGTCTAGTGTACTAAGAAAGGAAACATAAGGGAATGAGAACTATAAAGAAAATACCTACTCCAAGTTTTCCAATAAAGATATGCGTCTTGATAAACGTGCCAATAATATTTCCAAAGTAGAAGTATGATTGACTATGGTTGTTGTTGTGGGTTGGGAAGTAAAACTCGTCATTGTTATTTATAAAAAACCACAAAGATCATGAAAGTTTATTTTCATGAGATGGGATGGAAATAAAACACGACGACGATGGTTGCGTATTGTGAAACGAAAAGAAATACTTGAGATCAGAAATAAAGCAACTTGGTTTCAAAAGCATAATGAACACTACAAACTAAATATAAGCACCTTTGACGGGTAGCTGGCTTTGTAACATTTTTTGGCCTTTTACCTTGGTACCGGTGCTTATAGTAACTCTCTTCTACGTGGTTCAAAAGGGTATTGCCTAATCTATATACTCCGGCAACTATCTAAATGCCCACGTCACAAGTAGACAACGACAAGGCGGTTAAGTCTTTTGTTATGTCAACCACAAAAGGATGCTTTGATTCGTTGGAAAAAAGTTGATAGCACCGAGAAACGATGAAAAAGTAGGGTTGGAAACTTTTTCATAAGATGCGGTGCAAGAAGAACAATAGCAAATATTTTTGGCGTGATGGTAAGAAACTCTTCTTAGGTTGCTATCATAGATAGGATATTTGCAACAGAGAATACAATTACATACACTCTTATATATATATATATATATTCTTTTTTCATTTTATCCAATGAAACTTATTCTGTTGGTCTTGATGAGATTATATATATATATATATAAGAGAGAGAGAGAGAGAGACTCACATATCTTTAGCCAATCATTGCTATTCTTCATTTGTGTTGAATAGACACCGACGCAGTGACTCGTGTAGGTCAGCTTGGATAGTTATGGGAGTATGGTTTACTTGTTCTAATAATCAGTTGGAAAATTTCAATAGTGCTAGTGGTACTACCTTGCAAACCTTGGAAACGTTTAGAGAACAAATTATGTAACTATGTGTGAAGATTATCGACCCACAAGAAAGTGAGTTGGTGAAAGAGCTCTTGCAACTTTGTGCTCAACTGGGTGACGTGGAAGCTATGATTTATTGTACCAAGTTGGTAGTTCCTTATCGTTGGGATATTTCGAGACTACAAAGATTGGTGGAAACGCTTCGTGTCTGGACACAAGTCGACACAAGAGAAGAACCTTGTGAGGATCCGAAACAAGTGTTGAATGAGTTATTTCAACAACAGGTGGATAATAATGAGTCATTATCCAATAGTTGGTAACTGACTAGTGTTATTATTGGTTTTGGAAAAGAATATTTTGTAGAGTGTAAAATGAAAGAACATGTCCTTGTTTATTATTTTTGGGTGGAGAGGGGAAAGGCAAAAGCAACAAAGAGGTATATAAAATGTATTCTATAATAATGCATTGTTTCATATTTTGATATTTGTATAACGAGACATTTTTATGTTGTTATTTGGAAAAAGTTTCGAAATAATAATATCCCAACCGGAATAGATTCGCAACTACACAACCCGGTTTTGTTAAGTTTCATATCGTTTGTATGTGGATAGGTCTACTATGATTTTCTTCGGATTTGTTCATGTTACATAGTTTTCTTGGAGTATCTATTTGTAGTCTAGTTAAGTAAGACTATCCGATTTGTGTCTGGATAGGATAAGACATATCATATTCAGGAGTGAATGATGTTATGGGAAGAGCATATTGAAACAACTGATGTTATGGGCTAGAGCATTGGAGATTGGAAGGTCAAAGAAAACAAAGTAATATAAAGATAAAAATACAACGAGTCAACCAATTGGATGCTGCACAACTTGACGAAGAAGTATTATCCTTATTGTGGTCTCAACTGGAACAAGTATTTCGATTTCTACCAGTAAGACTATAAGTGAATAGATAGACTATCCATAACGTACTAACACAATTATGGTCACATAGCCTGGAATATTGGTTTCACTGAAGCCTGAACTACAAGCTTTGTTAAAGTTTATTTATTTTGCTCAGTTTACAGGTACCAATACCCCTACTCCCGGACAAACCCTTCAAAACTTGCAATATCGAGATGAAAGAGCTTTTGATTCATTTCATTGGACCAACTTATTACGAAGTATATTTCACTATCCTATAAATATCAAAGATACTTGTTATGGTACTGAAATAGTAGGTCTAAGTACCAAACAAAGGTTTGTATTTGGTTTCCTATATGTGATAGTGCCGTGGATATATACTAGACTGGATACAAGTGGAATATTGCGTCGTTGGTTGAGTTTTGCACCAATTCATATTTCTTTGTTGAGTCGTTGTTGTTATTTGGGAGAACGTGTCTATCGTATAGCTTGTCTTGTCAACTTTATTCTTTTTCTGTATGATGGTACTTATGTATCTCTTGTCGAACGAATTGTCGGTGCTCGACTGGTTTATCGAGACCTGTCTGCTACGAGAATGGTACTTTTTTTGTTTGTGATTCGTTGGATATTCAATCTTGTAACGGAATGAAAATAGGTATCATTCGAGTTTCTTAACCGTCAGCTTGTATGGGAAGAATTTACAGAGTTGTTACTATTTCTGTGGCCTTTGTTTAGTTCCAATGTAGTTAAACAATTGTTTCGTGATATCATTGGAAAAAGATTGCTTCATCGTGAGACTCGACAAGATATTCCTGCAGATGCTTGTCCCATTTGTCGTTGTGTTCCTCCTAAAATGCCACATTTAGCTCGACCTTGTGGACATGCTTATTGTTATTATTGTTTAAGTTGGGCTATGCAAAGTTTTGGTTATTGTTGTGAACGTTGCGGTGATACTGTTCGAGGCATCTCTAGAGTGGGTCCTGTTGCTCATACCAGTCCTACTCTAGTCCATGCCAAACTTCAGAGTTCTTAGACATTCTTCGCTATGATAAATAGATGCACACTCAAAACCACAACAAATCAATCAAACAAATCTTCATTGGCCTTTTGGAAAATTTCCATCGAAGAAAAAATATGATTGGCGCCCATTTTTCAAATGATGGTGATGCTCCTCTCGATGACTATCGTTTACGGGCCGAGGTATGAAACTCTTGAAAGCAAAGCCACCAACTCTCATTCTTTTGATTCAGATTGAAGAAACTGAGTTGGAACTGAGAAAGCGGTTTCTAGAGCTGTGTCAGATTTTAGGTGGTTTGATATCTTCTGAAGCAGACGGTCAGTTAGATGGCGGAAAAGACAAGACCGAAGATGATAAGGAATGCGTACCTATGGAAGAACAGTTATGGGAACCTGAAGATTATGAAATTCCACCTCACTGTATACCTGTTCGTTGTGATGTACGTGAAGCACCTTGGGATCAGTTGACACAGTTAGTGGATAACTTTGATGCTATCATGATGGACCCTCCATGGCAGTTGGCTACAGCCAATCCAACACGTGGAGTAGCACTTGGGTATAATCAGTTATCAGATGAATGTATTGCTTCGTTGCCTATTCACAAGTTGCAAAAGAATGGTTTCATGTTTATTTGGGTTATCAATGCCAAATATCGTACGGCATTGCATTTATTTCAACGTTGGGTCAGTTGGAGAAGTGTTTTATGCCATCGACACATCTTTCAACTATTTTCGAATAGGGTTATCAATTGGTGGATGATATTAGTTGGGTGAAGTATACAGTTAATAGAAGATTTGCAAAAAATCATGGTTTCTATTTGCAACATGCTAAAGAAACTTGTTTGGTTGGTTTCAGAGGAGTATTGCCTAGTAACTTTTGTGGCAATAGGGTTGGTGACGTTATTTGTAGGTAAGTAACAGTATGAGATGGGATAGTAGGATAATCTCTTTATTTCCGTGTGGCCTAGTGAAAGAAGAGGACAAAGTCAAAAACCGGATGAAATTTATGAAATAATTGAACAGATGATACCTAATGGACGATATTTGGAAATATTTGCTAGGAAAAATAACTTGCGCAACTATTGGGTATCGATAGGCAATGAAGTCGTTGGAGAAATATGTGAAGAGATAATCCAATAATAAATTGCTTTGAATTTGGATTGAATTGTTGGTCGTTGCAAAAAAAAGAAAACTTCTCTTTGGTTGAACTTGGCACCATGCAAAGAACGTGGTTGGCTAGTTTCATTCTTTTCTCTTTGATATTATCAACTTGTGCACTCTACTATCCAGACTTGACTCATGAAGACTTTGACTCTGTGATAGATGGTAGTAAACCTGCTTTAATAGAATTGTATGCACCTTGGTGTGGGTAAGTTGTATTACATATATCTTTATATATAAGTGTATGAGTTGCAAAACCTATTCCTAGTCATTGTCAAGCCTTGGCACCGGAAATAGAAAGACTTGGAGAGTCGGTAAAAAACAATATGCAAATCATCGTTGCACAAATAGATGCGGATAAGGACAAAGTTTTATCAGAACGGTTCCAATTACAAGGTTATCCTACCATCAAACTCTTGTCATCAAGAAATACTACAAGTGACTGGATAGAATACACAGGTGAACGTACAGCTACTGGACTGGTTGCTTTTATTCAAAACCATACTCAGCAGTCCATCAAGTTGATACCTGTGGAAACTTTTGTGGTGGAGTTGACGGATGACAATTTTGATAAAGTGGTGATGGATCCTTATAGTCATGTGTTGGTAGAGTTTTATGCTCCTTGGTGTGGTCATTGTAAAACATTGAAACCACAATTAGAAAAAGTAGCCAAGACCTATCATCAAGTGAAAGGAGTAGTGATAGCTGCGATAGATGCGGATAAATATGGAAAGCTTGCAGAGAAATATCGCGTGACTGGATTTCCCACATTGAAATATTTTCCAGCAGGAAAAGATAAGAAACCAATGGAATATGATTCCAGTCGTATGGCGATAGCTATTGTAGAGTTTATGAATCGTCAAGTTGGTTTGGACTTGGATGTTGGAGGAGAACTTTTACAAGATGCTGGAAGAGTTGAAGTGATGGATAACTATGCTCGCGATTTTATAACTTCGAATATCAGCAAACACGAGTCTATTCGTCAGGCAGCAGAAGAAGAAATCAACAACCAAAACTTGAGAGGCCAGTTGTTACAAAATGCTAGATTTTATTTGACTGTGATGGAACGATATTCAAAGAATGGTGGAGATGCATATTTGAATAAGGAATTGAGCAAGATTGAGTAAGTAGATTGTCACATATCCCTATATCATTATTCACAAGTCATGATAGGAAAGAGTTGAAAAGAAAGGATTTATCTCCCCATAAACGCAACAATTTGATTCGAAAACAAAATATTATCAAAGTAAGTGACTTTTGGAATTTGTTGCAATGGATTTTGAGTTGGACTAGTTTTTTGCTACTATCAAAGACTCGGAATATTTAAAAGCTCAAGCAGTTGGTGATGCTTTAGATGATGATGATGCGAATTGAAGAATAGTATCATATAAATCGATTCTTTTGCTAATCTTTTACATTCCATTACGACTTGTTCAATAATACCAATCACTAAGAAAAGACGCGTCAAGAATGCAGTGGTATGTAAGAAACCAAAAACACTTTGCTTTTGTTTCATTGTATTGGAAAAGATTCCAATTACCTCGATATATATTGAGTTGTAAGAAACTTGGTGGTAGTAACGATTCAAACTTATGTACTTGTCCAGCAATTCCATCCATTCCTCGGACTATGTATTTACCTTGTCATACTTATTGTTGTTGTCGAGTACAACCTGCTATATTCTTTGTTCTAGGTGGACCAGGTAGTGGAAAAGGTACTCAGTGTGCGATGATAGCAAAAGCACTGGGATGGACACCAATTTGTGTCGGTGACTTGCTGAGAAAAGAAGCTTTACAAAATACATTGCGAGGGAATTGGATTGCTTCTATTATTGATGAAGGAAATATTGTTCCAGGTTACGTGACGTTGGGGTTATTATCTCAAGCTATTGAAAGAGAACGGCGTAAAGGTACGCAAGCCATATTGATGGACGGCTTTCCTAGAACACTGGATCAAGCCATAGCTTTTGAGAAACAAGTGGGTCGTTGTATTGCTGTATTGTATTTGGACTGTTCGTTGCAAGTTATGAAACAGCGATTATTGCAACGTGGTTTATCTTCTGGGAGACAAGATGATGTAGCGAGAGTTATTCAACAAAGATTGGAAACTTTTGAAAGACAAACTAGTCAAGTAGTAGAATATTATAGACAAAAGGGACTATTACATTGTTTTTCAGGAGAACGAGCACCCGATGAGATTTATAAGGAAATATGTGAACGAATACAACAGGAAGAAAGCATATTCACTTTGGCTTCCTGCATTGGTGGAAGAAAATCATCATCATGTTTATTATAGTTGGAATAGTATCAAGTAATGTTCATTTTTGTAAAAAATGTGTTGGAGAAAGGAAGAAAAGTTTTTCATTTCATAGAAAGTCGTCCACTCCATATATTCCGTTGTTCAGTTGTTGTCAACAGATAAAGAAATCACAAAGAGAACAAACCGTCTCCAACCCTTTGATGGAGTCGGTACAACAACAAAGAGAGGAAGAAGAAGAACAAGCTGCTTTGAGAAAACAAAGAATGGATAAACTCAAAGCTTTACAAACTGCTGGATTCTCTACTTATGCCCTTATCGATGGTGAATTGACTTTCTCGTTTTCTCAGTCATACTCAACCTTGATGATTAGGAATAAGACACATAATGCTTTGGAATTGCAAACAACTTACGATTACTTGTCTCCAGGTGAACAAGTTACACAAGTACAAATATCTTTTGCCGGACGTATCAAAAGCAAGCGAACTTTTGGTAAATTGATGTTTCTTACCGTAGAAGATGATAGTGGAAGTATTCAGTTGTATGTGGAACAACAGACTTTAAAAGGTATGGTTCTTTTGAAAGTTCTCCAAATGGTGTTGAGAATATCACAAATAGATTCCTTTCGTTATATCAAGTCGTTGGTGGATATCGGTGATATTGTGGGCGTTCAAGGTTGTATAAAACGTACAGATAAAGGAGAGTTAAGTATCGTTGTTGAAGATTGGCAAATGTTGGCAAAAAGTTTATTATCATTACCTGATAAATTTCACGGTTTAATGGATGTTGAGAAACGTTATCGACTGCGACATTTGGATATGATTGTTCATCCAAGTGTTCGCCAAATTCTGAAACAAAGAGCTCAAATTGTATCCACTATTCGAGAGTTTTTGGAAAGAAAGCAATTTATGGAAGTAGAAACGCCTGCTTTGCATTGCATTGCGGGTGGAGCGGATGCTTCTCCTTTTGTTACTTATCACGAAGCATTGGATTTGCAGTTGACTTTGAGAATAGCTACTGAATTGTTTTTAAAAAGATGTATCGTTGGAGGTTTTGAAAAAGTATATGAAATAGGTAGAGTTTTCCGTAACGAAGGTATTTCTACTAGACATAATCCTGAGTTTACTTCCTTGGAGTTGTATGAAGCATACAAAGACTATCAAGATATGATGAACTTGACTGAAGAATTGATCAAAACAGTTGCCAATCAAGTTTGTGGAACAACAGAGATAGTATATATGGAAGAAAGGATACAACTTGGTGCTCCATTTAGGAGAGTGACGATGAATGAATTGGTAAAAGAAACTTTAGGTTTGGATATCTTATCCTTTCCGGATATAGAGACTGCGAAATCGGCTGTTGAAAAGAAGATGGAAGAAAGTATGAAAGATTGGGATAGTATAGATAGTTTGGGAAAGTTATTGAGCAGTTGTTTTGAGCATTATTGTGAAAAATTATTGATACAACCAACTTTTGTGTTGGATTATCCTATAGAAATATCACCTTTGGCTAAACAACACCGCAAGGATCCACGGTTAACTGAACGATTCGAATTGTATATTGCTGGAAGAGAATTGGCCAATGCTTTTAGTGAATTGAATGATCCCATAGAACAACGTGAACGTTTTATGAAACAATTGCACGGATCAGAACAAGTTGGGAAGGAATTGGATGAAGACTTTTTATTGGCTTTGGAACAAGGAATGCCACCGACGGGAGGAATGGGAATGGGAATCGATCGTTTGGTTATGTTGTTGACGAATAGTTCTTCTATTCGGTAAGTTGGTATGAACTTTATTTTAACTGAATGACTCATGTTTTATGAAAGTCAAGTTATTGCATTTCCTTTATTAAAACCTGAATAAACTCCCAAAAATAGATTTTATGGCAAAGAATAATGCATCATCTTAAGAAATTCTAGTTTCGCGGAAAGAATGTTTTGTGGATATTATACCTTAGATTGATGACAATTCTTCTGTTTCATTCAATGCAATCCATACAGGATGTTTATACAAATCGTAATAAGTGACAGGAACTGAAGATTCATTATTCTTTTCTATCATTTTGAACACAGCACCATGTTCTGATACAGTTTCAAATCGTCTCGATAGCCATTTCGCATAAGATACAGTAAGAAATGGTAGTGGGAGGATAAGAAATCCCGGTATGAACTGATTGATTCCAAAAAGAGCCATCATCACGAGTTGTTGGAGTATTAATGTGGCAATATAGCTATAAAAGACAGTGGGAAAATGAACTCCACCTGCTTCGTACATGGAAACATTGACATAAATCAATTGATATTTGGTTACACAAAGTCCCCAAGCAAAATAGATGCAACCAAAGAATAAAATAAAGGGAGACATGACACTGTACATAAGGCATAGAAAGACAACAATAAAGGCAGAACCATAATGACTTGAATAATGAAAAGCCTGGATGGCATTTGTAATGACTTTGTTCTTCTCTCTTTCCGTCTTTGCTATCCAATGCAACTTGAACCAACGGACAATTAGAGGTCCTATCAAAAGCAAAGATATAGAGAATCCAACTAGTCCTTGAATAAGAATATAATTCATGTAAAATAATCCTTGTTTCGGTATAGTCTCGGACAACAAATTTGGAATGTTATTTGGATCCTGTATCATCGCTTGTAAATTTCCAAATATACTGCCACTAATAGTATAACTAAGGAATACTTGCACCACAAGGAATACAGTATACCATATTTGTACTAAAGAGAATCATTATCAAAATCAAGAATTGTATAAATCCCTACCTTGGCTTTGTACATGAACGAGTGAAAAGTCTCTCGTTTGCAACAGAAGTTTATACAGTAGCCATGGAACGAAGGAAAACAACACAACCAGAATGACTGCAGGTAAAACACCATTTAGAAATGCAACCACTTTTGGTGATACTTTCGTAATATTGGAGAGCCAATGTAAAGCTTTGACATGACTCAAAGTTTGAATGTTGGCTAAACCTGAAACAAATGTTACAGGTATAGTCCAAAAAATGATAAGAGCAAGAATAGATGCAATGGATAAGAATTTTCGAAATAAAGAACTTGGACGACTCCAAGAAAACGCATTCCAATGGATTCCGTTAGGATCCGCTGCTGAAGATGTAACCCACTGCGTTGCTTTTTCAAACAGACAGGTCTGCCTTGCAAATGCTGCTTGAAATTTGTAACGAAATAGAATAAAGAATGCTATCATATTTGAATTGTTATCCTTTAGTATTTTGCTTCTTTCGACGGCAATTAGTATTTTCTTCTCTCGGATCATTTCATTACAATGTTGCAATTCTTTTAGCTTGGATCTGTTAGCAATACCCAAAGTATGACTTGGGCTTATATTATGACATCCATCTCCTCTTCTAATGTTTGTACTATCTTGCAAATATCTCCATTCCAATCTCTCTTTACGACCTAAAAGTTTTTCCAATTTAACTTGAAGTTTTTGAATGCTTTCCAAGTTGAAAACAGGAACCACATAAGGGACATCTTGAGGAAATAGACGATTGAAATATTCCTGTACTGACTCAAATACATCAACACTCTTTGGAACATCTACTAAGAGTAGTGTGTAATTTGTAGGTCTTTCTTGTGCTCTATACTGCATTCGGTATCGATAATATGCCCGATAATCGAAAAAAAGAAACAATAAAGCAGTAAATACAACCAAGTATTCAAATAGCATGGATACCCACATTCGAGGATCGTTTCGTTGCAAATTGGACATGGAAATAAGTTCCAATCCTGAGGTATACTAAATTCAGACGAAAATGTCATCAACCAAATGCTAGTGAATATGAATGACATACCAAAGGATTATTGCTTTTAAGATGATGACGACCACTTGTAGCATACACTGGAAATAGAACTACTGCTGCGCTTAAACAAAGAATGCAACATATAAATAATCCACTTCTCATGAATCTTGTAAACATAACAGCATCCAGACCATGAGTCTAAACAGTTAGTAGTAGTGTTTTAAGATTTCAAGTGACCCATTAAACCAAGCTTACCTGTATCAACTTGTCTTCGGTATATAACCAAGTCAGTAACAACCAAGCAAAAATTCCTTTGGGTTGTTCAGGAGCATAGACAGGTTCATCATTATAATCATTGTAAAACGATAATTGACTTGAATTTGAATGAATAAACAAGTACTTGTCAAAAGGACCTTTCATACCTTGCGAGCATCCTGAAATGATATATTTCAGGCACCTTGGCTTTTAACCATGCAAAGAGAAAGAAGCAAACAACTAAAACTATGATTCCTATTCCAAATGTCCATAATACACTGAGAGTTTCAGGGTCTATCATTGCAAAGAAAAGGGTGTGTAGAACGTGAAAAGCAATAAAAAAAGAATTGGCGCACAATATTTTCAAATATTCAATTGTTTTCCTGTTGGAACAATTTTTTCTTTCAGAATGGCCCAAGACAAGTCATGGAGAGAACTTGCGGTATTTTGATAATAAAAATAGATGAAAAGGCCAACGTGGATACACGTGGCAATATTTTTGTCTTGGAAGGATGTTATCCAAACCTGAAGATTGGTCATTCTGTATTTTATTATTTGAAGCAATGAGAAATATAAACTGGAATCAGTGAGTATATCCGATATGTCTATCCTTGTCATTTATATTTATTTTATTCTCCTTACCAAGTTTCCTGAAATTTTAGTCATCCTATAATATAGGCTCTCCTACACCAGTACTCTTCATAACCAATCCTTTTGGACGAGGAGTCAACACCTTATCCACAAGTCCGTATTCTCTTGCTTCATATGCAGTCAAGTACAGATCACGTCGTAAGTCATCTCTTATCCTTTCAATGGACTGTTTCGAAAACTTTGCATAACTTTCAAACAACATCTCCCTCTGACGCAAAATCTGAACTGCTTCAATCTCAACATCTTTGGCTTGACCCTTGATATTATCAGGAGCAAGCGGCTGCTGAAGTAAATATCTAGAGTTGGGCAAAGCAAATCGTCTTCCTGGCGTACCTGCAGCTGCTAGAAAAGCTCCCATAGACGCAGCCATTCCCAAGTTTACTGTCACAATAGGATAACGAACTGAACACATACAATCATAGACTGCTAGACCAGGAGTTACAAAACCTCCAGGACAGTTGATATACATTTGAACTTCAGCTTGGTCGTCTTCACTTTGTAGAAATAATAGTATCGCAATAATTTGGTTTGCCTGATCTTCGTCAATTTCCTGACCCACATATATAATTCTTTCTCTATAGAAACGGTTAAATATATCTATGAATTCATAGTTTTGTTGACCAGGGGCTTTGTAAGGTACTTTGGGTACACCGCCTCCCATAACTATGTTTCCACGAGTTGAATAGTTGTGCTGTCGTTTGCAGTTGCTCAACGATTCACCAAAACGACTGAATTTTCCTCTATAGTTTACCATTCTTTGCTTACTCCAATGATTGCAATTGTGTGTTGGTATTATTTTATTCGCAGTACAAGGCAAAGCAAACAAATAAAGCGTCATTTCTTTGAAAGATAAGATTTTCCAACCAATCGAAATAATCAAAATCAGAAGCCAATGAAAAGTTAAGAAATTGCATATAATAAGCTTAAAGGTAAGCCATATCCACTTTCAAGAAATAAATGTGAAATTCAACTGGTCTCTACTAGGACTCATATAGAGAGTCTGTAAAAATAAACTTTTTTTCTAAAGACTCGAAAAAATGAAAGCTTACTGAAACTCATCAAGAGAAGACACCATTCGTTTGGACAAATATAGACGTGCAATTGTCTCAGTTGAGAGAGAGAAAAAGTTAGATCTTGACATGAAGAATTAGTGACTTCATGAAGCAAAGAATGAATTGGACTGTTTCTCTTGATTCTAGTCGATTCTATATGGGTATCTTATCAAGTAGTTATTCCTCAACTTCTTTTATAGTTAATGTTGAGAAATAATCATTTGCTCTTTCTACTCTTAGAAATTTTGGCTACTTTTATAGATTTTTCCAAATTAGTTGTAGTCGGTTATTATTGAGATGATCGATAGAAGCTTGGTATATGAACTTTGCTTTATTGTATTTACGTATTGACGCAAGCTTTAGGCTTTGATTATTCTCTTGTATGCTTGTGCTTTAGAGTCTTTCCTTTTCTTTGCAGTGATCGCTCAAACAAAGAGTCAAGTATTTGTGAAATCCTTTTACGAGTCCCAACCCATCTTGTTAAGCACTGGTTTGCTAGGAACCAGAAGCTCATAACGGTATTGCCAGAACCTTTGGGTTTCTATTTCTTGTAGAATGTATTTGTTTGCTATGTTGGGTAGTTTTGGCTCAAGTATATGAGATTCCTTTGGTTGCTTCTACTTTGTATTGATCGTTTCATAGCTGTCAATAGGACATAATGTGCAGTTTCTTGATAGAGTTTTCATCTTTTTCTTTGTGTTGGGTTTGATTGCTTCTTGTATAGGAGGAGGCTATATTGCTGTTCCGGTACTTCACTTTGGTTTCTAGTTGGAATTGCTTCTGAAATTTTCTTAGGAGTGGAGACGTCGCAGTTTACGCCATATTATTGTCCTCTTATGTTTTTTAGTTACCCTTATTTACTGGTCTTTATTTTCATCTTCGTTGGGTGTAGAACTCGATATACCTTTCATCGATGTAAGTGATTGGCTATCTTATTATTATCCATATGTGATACTTCTATTTTTTTTTATAGAATAGCTCAAGTCGGGGACTGATGACTGCATTGCAAGGAAGTTTATTGGCACTTTGTCTCTGTTGTTTTATTCGTATCTTTCGTCCTTTAAAGGTAGTTTTTTTTTGGTATTGTAAGACATTGTTTGGAAGATGAGTTCTAAAATAGGGACGAAATGGAGCATTGATATTGTTCCTTGGAAATATGATGACTTTCATGTCAATACTATTATTTAAAGTATTGCACTCGTAAGTTTTATTATAAATGGAATAACCTGTCATTCATTTCATATGTAGGGAATGTGCCGGAACTGAGAAATTGCTGGAAAAGTGAGTTACTTGAAGCATAAATAACCCATCAATAATAACCTTTGTCAATAGTTGTCCACTTCCTTTACGACTTGATCACAACGCATTGTTGATATTTCTTCTGTTATGTTCCAATACGCTTGGAGCAGAGGGAAGTTTACGCTTAATGGCAGCAGGAAATGGAATGGAAGGGTACTTGGAAATACCCGATGGAATAGCATAGGAAAAAAGTACAGCAAGGACTGTTCAAAGCTCCCATATTATAACCAGTTTGGATAGTTGGGAGGAATACGAACCAAATCCGTATCGAACAACTCAATAAACTGTTCATTCAACAGACGAACTTTGCTCCCTGCAAACCTTCGATATTCTTCAAAGATGGAAGTTAAATTCCATCGTTGTAGTTTTCTCAAGCAACCGATCACTGTGCCTGTTCGATGACGTCCCAAATTACNCATAACATGCAAAGGATAATTATCTACGTTCAAAATACAGTCAAGAGCATTTAAAACGACCTAATCCATATCAAGTTATTTTGAGTATACAATTTAGTGCCAACGTACTTCTTCAGAAATAGGCTTCCAAGGGCTTTTTTCACCATCCCAGCCCAAAGCCACCAGTTCGATTCCTTGGTCGTCCACAAAGTTCAAACTAGACAAAGTGTCAATACAACTGCTATTCAAAACTTGAAAATACTTACAATTGTTGAGAGACTTCATCAGGAGCCAAATAGAGAATTTTTTTCAACTGCAACTTTTCCAAAAATGGAAAACTTAGTTCATTCGGTACACCAGAACGATACCTAGCAACAGCTTGTTTGTTTGATACCCATCTCTCAACAAACATAACACTTACAAGTCGGTCTCCACCATACCAAAGTTAATAGGAGGTATAAGAGTTCCTCCATAAGGTACCGATTCCATCCCAAAGTAAGTGAAAGGAAGCGATTGGATAAGATGAATTATAATGGATGGGTTATGAGAAACCACTTATGGAATGAAGTTGTTTTAAGATATTTTGGACGCTTATTGCATCACGTTTCAAAGTACTGGAATCGTTTTTCTCAACAGGAAGAGAGTAACTTTGCGAATGTGGGAAGCTTTTATGGGAATGATGATACTACGAGTTCCTGCAAAACGCTTGGTCAAATAGGTTTACTACAAGTTGCTTTTTATATTTGTGTGGTAAGTTGTGTTTGCTTCAATGTCTTGTACTGTTTCATAATGAATAGATTGCAACTTTGTGGCTATTGGAAAGCATATTTGGTTTTCCCTTTGAACAAGTTTTCCGTCAAGTGTTTTCCTATGAAGTTTGGAAGACATCCACCGCACAAGGCTTTCTGGTTCCTTGTGCTTTTTTGTTGAATAGCGTTTGGATGGCTGCGTGGCTGTTGATAATTGTAAAACGTGCCAAAAAGTGTCTGGACTTTGTTATTACTATGTATTTGTTACACTTTGTATTTTGTACGGGGTTTTATAGTTTTCCCTATTCTTGGAGTTGGTGGTTATTTATGTTGATACAAGTATCTATTAGTACATTACTTGGAGAGCGTTTATGTATGAAGAGAGAGTTACAAGATATTATGTTGATTCCTTCCGTAGAAGACAATGGAACGCCACTTTCTCAAATCATCACAATAGAATCCAATCATCCTTCTCATAGCACTTCTCAAGACGCTTATCGGAAGAATTGAACAGCACAGCAGGACACGCCAAATCATTCTTTTCTCATCTTTTAGAAGAAGCGAAATTGTTAGAGTTGCAATTTTGGTTATGAAGAAACGACAAAAGACTCGTGTGACTAAAATATCCATTCCAAAGGAATCAGTCATTGACAAGAAACCGAGTGACAAAGAAAATGACATTTTCAGCGTTCATACTGTATCCTCTTTGGAAGCTTCAAGTATTTCATCCTCTAGCCCTTCTCAACTCAGCGCACAAGATATATGTTTTGAACCAACTTTGATAAGGGATAGACATACTTCGGATACATGGATAGATAATGAGCCTAGTTTGGGATCTTTAAAAAGAGAAGAGGAAGATAAGGGACCAACGAATACGTCGAATACTCAAGAAGAGGAAAACATACCGATGAAACAAGATAGTCAAACATCAATAGATGATTCTATGAGTGATAGTGAAAGCACGTATAGCTCAGAAACAAGTAGTGAGTTCCATATTCGTAACAAACCAATAGAGAAAAAGCGAAATACCTTAAAATATGCCAAGAAAACAAAATTGAAGTGGAGTATTTGGCAAACAGTTATGAGATGGTTTGGAAAACAAACGCAAGATGAGGCATTGGACGCTTAGTTGATTTTTTTACTTGATGATAAGAAATATTTTGGCAAATGAAAATAAATCCAAAATAATATTATTTCCGATATCCTTTTAGGCAATTTTTTGGATTACGTACTTATGTATTGATTATGAGCATTTGTATATATAATGTCATATGATCGGTTTAGATGGTCTTCATTTCGTTGATAAATTGCGCGCTTAGATTTAAATTGTTCATGTTCTGTGAAGATGGGTGTTCAACTTGTTTGTTTCTTAGAGAGAGTTGGGATACTTGGAGTTTCCAGACTTTTAAAGATACTTCAAGTCAACAACTTCAGGAAACCTTGTGGCAGGAATTGGTCAACATAGGAGCTAAAGTCAATAGTGGAAACTCTGAAGAGTTTGTACTGCACTTGGCAGAAAAATATCATTTCTATTTATTGTTTGTCGAGGATAAGCTTCGAAAAGGTAAGAATATTTAGTATTTTGAGAAAATCATCGTGTTATCGTACCTTTTAGAAGGAATAAAAGGAAGCAATTTTGACAGTCACCAGGTGCGGAAAGTGGATAGACGGAAAGGAGTATATTCACATTTTGACCGAACTTATTTTTTTTTCTTCATAGGACCAGGAAAGGGTAGTTCGTTTCTGTATAGACGACCAAGGCAATTCAGCGTCACTCTCTTGGGAGGAATACAAACTATTTGCTATTAGAATTCTTGGAGAGCTCCATTTGTGTCTGCTTCATCATGGATACTTGTCTCGCTGGTTGATAGAAGTTTATCGTATTGTTCGAATATTAAAGTCGATTCAGTCTTATTCTCATAATCCCGTGGGTAGAAACTGTGAGACTAGATGTAATGTATGGGATTGGATGATTAGCGATCCTGAGATGATAAGAAGATATTCTTGCTATGTTCTGAATCGCCTATCTTTTATTATTTCTCATGGAATGGAATGCGATTTAAGCATGGCTTTGTTGTCATTTTTGAAGACTGAAACAGACTTTGTTTACCCGTTTCAACCAGTCTATAATCATTTTGTTGGGAAAGAGTCGACCACTCTTTTGCAGAAACTTGTTTCAGAAGACTCCGAAACTATTTATAGTTCTGGAATGCTTTCATCCAATCACTATTCACATCGTCCAAAGTTTATTAACTTGGAGCAGAATTGGGATCGAATGATTTATTGCTTTAGGAAATGGAATGGAGAAATTCGTGATGGCAATGCAGGAATATTGGATGTCTGTGTCATCCGTAGTATTTTTGAAGAGTTATTACCTGATAACATAGAAGCCTTTACCAAGAGATGGCTATATATGTTATTTCGAGAATGTATTCATGGAGAAGAACAAACATTAGCAAATATCCAAAAGTTGGGAATTGCGACTTCATTGGAACGCGTACATCATTTACAGAGTCGAATGAATCCTTCCTCAATAAATCAAAGACGACCATGGCAAGATCGTTTTGAGCAAGATCATTCATACTTGTTTCGAGGTCGAGAAAGATTCTTTATGGAAATGATTGAAATGGCTGATAGCTCTAGGTGGAATAACTGTTTGATTCAACTCCTTCATCTGATGATTGAAAAAATTATTCAGCATGTAGACCAGTTGACTACTCATGAGGGAAGTCAGGAATGCAACGTGTTTTATGAAGAACAGTTTATAGTTGACTGTGTGCTGTATGGAAGATTGGCCACAAAAATCTTGGCAGTATTATTGACTTTAACAGGGCCTCATGAAATACGAAACTCCAGCCACCATCGAACGCTAGGAACTCCTAAACGTTCTTATGGACATAAAAAGAATTCTTTCCAAAGAAAAGCAACTGAAACTACAACATTCCAAAGAATATCTTTGGTGCGTAAATATAAATATCCAGGATGATTTGAAATATTCTCTAATGTTACTTTTATAGGAAACAACTCATGATGAAGCCGACTCTCTTTCGTACTCCTTGAGGAATTTGCATTTTGATAAGGAAAACTTGTCCGCGAAGCATACCTGGTCTAGCAAGTTGAACTCAATTGCTTCCAATTATTGGTTGCTTTATACCAATAGCTTAACATATCTTCAGTCTGCAATGGAATTACTTCCAAAGCGTTTCAGTTACGCTTTAAGCTTATTCATGTTATGGACTCCCTATTTAGCAATTGCTAGTGTGGATGACATTATCTCACAGTCGCCATGGTTTATACAGTGTATTGAATGGATAAAACGGTTGAGAGATGACTTTTATGCTTGTTTCCTGACTAAAAAGATGCAAGAATGGAATCAGTCTGTTGACATTCATGGTTGGATTTTGATGTTGACTGTCATAGAGGAACAGATTCCTCTAAGTGGTATATCTTCTTGGTGGAAACCAAGTGGCTATTCCATTCCCTTCACATTTCCATATATCGAAGAGTGGTTATTTGGAAACTCTATTCATTATATCAATTTACATAAGAGCTGGTGGTTGGATAAAAGATTGTTCTGGCATTGTTTGCCTCATATGAAACAGCTGCATCATTTACTTCACAACTGGGATGAGGTTCAAGAAGATCTTCATGGCAAGTCAGTAAACAACCATGCCATGGTTCGAGTTACCGGTAGAAAGATTCAACCATCTCCTGCAGTTGTATCACCCAAGAGCATTGGTATGTACATTTATGAGTACCTCAAATAGTGCTTGTATTGATATAGGGGAAACATAGGAAGGGATTGTGCAGAAAATGATCGACAGCATTCCAAAACATGCTTGCCCTATAATAGGTATGCAGAACAATTGGAGCCAATCCAACAGCTTATACAAATGGTTTTGGAAAAAAAACTATATCATTTATTGGAATATTTAGAAAAGTCCCAATGGGTCTCAAAAGGTAGTTGGTGGGAATCGACTCGTTCATCTTGGACCAAAGCCTATCAAGTTTGTTTGAGTATGTATATGAGCAAAGTTAGAGATTTGCTAAGGAATTTGGACGTCCCTTTGGATGCAATATATAGAGCTGCTGATGAGACCTATTGTCGAACTATCAAACCATGGTTGAAAAAACAGGACAACTCCCCGTTGGAGATTCTTCAGTGGATCAAAGAAAACTCTGAAAATAATTTGTACCTCATGCAAAACAACAGGAAAGAGATATCGAGTCATAAAGAACAGGAAGTGAATAGCTTGTCAGAAACCAAAGAAGAAAACAACCATATTCAAGTTTATCAGCAACTGATAGAAGAAAATCCCATTGCGACTCGTTTGGAAAGTTTTCTATTACAACAGTTACAATGGATAACCGATATGGATACAGAAACTTATCAAAAACTTGGCATTTATCAACTAGAACAACGTTGGTTGCAGTGGATATCGGTGCTTTTGGAAAGCTGTTCTCAGGTTGAAGGAGACCAGACCAGTTTTCCCAAACTAACTGAATGGCTATGGAAACATTTATCTTACGACACGATTCATCCGATGGTCCAGTCAAGCCTTGCTTTGGCTATTTCAAAGACCAAATAAGTGAGTGGTGAAGATCTCCTATACACGAGCCAAGTTCAAATTTTGTCTCCCGCACTCAAATTTGGGTGTCGAATGTACCACTCTGGAAAAAATGCAAATTTCCCAATTTGGCATTTCTAGAGTGGGATTTGGCGCTCACGTATTTTTTCTATGACAAATAGCATTGGCAGTCGTTATAGTAGTCTTTCTACAATGAGCTCCAACTCAGAAAGTACAAAGTCAAAGACACTTGGTGGCCTAACTCCAGGAAGCAAGGAAGAAAAAGCAGCGTTGGCTGAACTTCGCCACGAAAGACTTTTATTCTGTCTAGGTAGTTTGTTGGGAACTTACGTAGAGGTGGAAGTAAAGGGTGGTTCCGTTTTCCGAGGCATTTTTCATGGTGCCTCTAAAGAACTTGGTTTATGCTTGAAGTATTGTCACTTACTGGAAGAAAGAACAAAAACTAAAAAAAATGTGATTGAAACTTTGGTGGTTGAACCCAAGGACTTTGTTCAGTTGATTGCGAAAGACGTGGATTTTCAAAACGAAGACTGTGTGAAAGCATCTTTTTCTTCGCATAGCGACTGGAACACTGATGCAGAGATTGCAGCGAGAACAGGCACAACAAGTGCTGGAGGTGCAAGAGAATTGCAACCTTTTGAAGAAATAGTTTCTTTACCGGAAGACGCTTCCCAAGGTGTTACTTTTGGTGATTTAGATTCTTCTGTAGTACCGGAATGGGACCAATTTGCCCTCAACAAGGAAAAGTTTGGAATCAAAAGTACTTTCAAGGAGGAGCTCTACACAACGAAGCTAGACCGTTCAGCCCCAGACTTCGATGCAAAGTTACGAAAAGCTGAAGAATTGGCTCAGCAAATTCGAAGGGCAGAAACGACGAACATCCATTTGAAGGAAGAGAGAGGACAGGAGCTAGAAAGAGATTATGATGAGGAGTTACTTTATGGTGCTGTCGTCCGAGAAAATGATGCCGTGGAGAGCAATCAAAAGTCTTATGAGAAAAAATCTACAAAGTCATCCATGTCTGTAGTGAAAGAGGAGTTGAATGGAGACTCAGACTCGATAACTCCTGCGGAGTCCTCATATGTGTCAGATTTTCGGCAAAGAACGACGGAAGAATTCCGCAGATTCAAGGAAGAGATGGATAAAAAAGTCAAAAGCTCTTCAGTGTCCAAAAATGAGAATAATGAATATGAAGAGCGTATTAATGATGGGAGATCAATTCATGAAGACAGTGCAATATTTCAACTACCAAAGAATGTTAAGGATAATAGAGTTTTTGAAAACTCTAACGAGTCGGAAAAGTTACCGACTACCTCACGGCTCAATGTTCATGCCGCAGAGTTTCGACCAGGTCAAGGATTTATTTATCATGCACCCAACACCGGAAGTGAGCATAGTTTTACATCCATGCATGAAGATTCAACTCTTGCACAAGAATTTGTTTCACTTTCAACCAATGAAGTTGCCAAATCTAACATGCATACGGAAGGAGTTGAAGCACCAACCGCGACTCCTGAAGAAGAGGAGGCATCTTCTTTAAATAATATGCGCATGAGTTATCAGTCAGTGAATTATCCTTATGGTTCATATTCCGTTTCTGCGCCATTTGAAGGCTCACCTACATTTGTTCCTTATAATATGACAGTTGGATATGATGCCAAGTCAGGTTTCGCAATACCTCCCAATGTCACCTCACCTCCAATGATGGGTCGTAATATGGTAAGTTTTGCAAATCGAAATTACGGAGTGGGTAATGACCATCTTTAAAGGCTCCATCGTTTACAGTGCCCATGAATACGTATCCCATGCCAAATATTCCTCAAACAATGAATGTGCCATATTACTATGGACCTGGTCAACAGGTAAGCCTTTTAGAAAAAGAAAAAGAGAGAGAACGTTACATGACGATATTGTGGATAGTTTTATTATGCAACAGCATATCATGGAATGTTGAATCCAGCACACTATGTACCCAATTTCCCTATACCGTCAGCAGCAGTTGGAAGTCCAGTTATAGGAGGATTTCAACCAAGATCTCCACCCAATGATTGGGTTCCTGGTAATGACGCATCTCCCTATCTCGGTCCTGTTTCTTTTCCACCGTCAGTGAGGTCTAGTCAACGAGCCGTAAGACAGTTATTTATCTCATTTTATTTCTATGCTAATAACAATTGGATAGGCTATGGGAGTTCCAGTTTCCCCAAAACAGAACTCAGAACAAACAACTGGAAATGAGAGCAAAGTCTCAAAATAATAATATTTATTAGATACGAAGAAATTGCGTAGAGTATGAAAATATTCCGAGCAAGAATATTTATGATAAATATATATATGTATATATATTCATCAGTCTGCGTCTGGTGTATGTACAACCATCGGGGCCGAAAACATTGTCTTTTTGGGGTTGAAAGACTACAGAGAACCAACTCAGAGTATTCAAGTAGATATGTGATGTATTCAAAGCCAAGTTTTCACTTGACTCGAAAACTGCCCGAGTATTATTAATCCTTGCTAAACAAAGTACTTTTTCCCGAGTTTTTGAATCCTCTCATGAAAGGAAGTCGATAGAATAGGTTTACACGGTTCAAAGAACGGGTTCAAAGCTAACTAATAAACGAAATCACCGAATCCGTCAAGTTCAGGTCAACTGGGCTTCTTACCTTGACATACAATTCATAAGCTTCTTGAAGGAAATTTTTCACTGCTTCCTCACTTTTCCCATCGCTTACGAGAAGCAGCCTAACAGCTGTTTCATGGTAAGTATTTGATCTTAACAAATTGGACTACAATCCTTACAACTGGCTGTCACTAAGCCATAAATAATTTGGTCGTTGAAACGATCGATAGCTTTTAAATAAAAGTCTCGAGTGGACCATACAACTTGTTCTAGAATGTCCAAGGAAGCGAACAAAATAAACTCCCGTAGATGAGCCGTTTCATCAGTCTTTTAGGTATTTATTGAGCTCAAAAACTGTTTTTAAAGAACTTTCTTACCTGGCTTACTGGAGGAAAAGTTGCTTCATAAAGGAGTTGATCTTGAGGACTGACGATGACAAACGTAATTGCCATTCCTTTAAGAATCAAAATTAACGAGAGAGCCTTCTTCCACCTTATGTCGGAAGAGGAGTCCAGCAGTAATAGCTCAAAGCAACGCACCATTTCTGAGTCGAATGGAACCTTTTCGCACTCTCTTGCAACACCAAGAAGAGCGTATTCAGCAACAGAGTTAGACCACCTCATTTTGCATCGAAAGGGTGACAAACTTATACTGACCAATTATAGTCCAAGACTGCTATTCGGAAAGCGGTCTTCCATTTCTACTCTTTTTGAAGAAGAGCCATTTGTGCATAGAGGATATGAGTCAAGTGATGAGGAAAGGAAAAGAGCACGTGAACCAGTAGACAAATTTCGCTTGATTATGCTAACTTTGGCTATGGCGGGTATTCAGTGTTGTTACGCAGTTCAGATTGGACATGGCAGTCCTACTCTGGAAAAATTAGGTTTACCAACAGGTAAGTTTATATAGTTTCTATTATATATCGTTTGAAGCCAAGTTGTTATGAGAACTTGTTTCTTTGGCTTGGTTGGCTGGCCCACTTTCTGGTATTATTGTTCAACCTATCATTGGCATTCTTTCAGACTCTTGCCAACATCCGTTTGGAAGAAGAAGACCTTTTCTCGTTGCTGGAACAGTTTTTACTTCATTGGCGTTGAGTTTATTAGGGCAAGTTTTTAGTTTTGACCGGGTCATTGTTTTTCTTTTTCATTAACTTTTCCTTAGTAATGCCGATGTTATCGGATATCTGTTTGGAGACAGTGTCGACTCTCAACCTGTTGGATTAGCTATTGCCATCAGCGCTTTTTTCTTGCTTGATTTTAGTATTCAGGCGATTCAGGTATGAGATACGAATCCTTCCAAGATTTCGTTGAGTCTAATTTATATTTTTAGGCTCCCTTAAGAGCACTTTTAACAGATATTGTTCCTGAAGAACAACAAGCAGAAGGCAATGCCTTATTTGTAAGTCATGTTTATTGGAGAATGTTGAATTTTGTTTCTCATGATTAGGCGATGATGACTGGAGTAGGAAACTTGGTTGGGACTGCAATGGGATCTTTGCAGCTCAGTTTTATGTTACCTTTTTTTGTCTCCGATTCTCAAGCCTTATTTTCTCTTGCTGCTGTTATTTTAATAATTACGGTTTCTTTGTGTTGTTATTATGTTCATGAAACTCCAGTTGGAGTTTTGAGTCGTAGTGAATCATTTGCTCAAAGATTTCATTCGGACCAAGGCATCCTTAAATTACTTGTGAATGCACCTCGTCCATTTTGGAGAGTCTTTATTGTGCAATTATTTACTTGGTATGGCTTCTTTACAGTATTTGTTTATGCCAGTGTATGGGTAAGATAGAAGAAACTTTGACTTGATTATGATTGAAGGATGCTTATCAGGTTGGTCGAAATGTATATAATGGTAATGGTGCTTTTCCTTTAAACAGTCCACAACTTCAAGGTATTTTATCTTATCGGTTTATGAAAAATGTTTTCTTAGATTTTCGCAGCATATGATGAAGGAGTACGTTTGGGCAATCTTGGGTTGAGTTTGGATGCTGCAGTAGCAATGGGATATTCGACCATTCTTCCACGTCTTATAGAAAAGTATGGAATGGGATTCATGTATTGTTTTTCACAATTAGTAGAAGCATTTTGCTTGGTAGTTCCTTTCTTTATAAGAGGGCCTTCTCAGGAACGGTCTCCTTCCTTATCATTGAAAGTACTGACTTTGAGTATTCTTGCACTGTTTGGTATACCTTGGTCTAGTACGATGACTATTCCGTAAGTTGTATTGATTATTTCTTCTATTTCGTATGTAACATATACTAGTTGGGCTCTGATGGGAACTGCAGTCTATCGAGTAGATCCTAATCGAATCGGACTGTATTCTACTTTTTTTAATCTGAGCCAATCTGGACCTCAGCTATTGGTTTCTTTAGGGTCTCCAAGAATACTAAAAAAGACAGGTTGGTGAAGTGATATGTTTTGTGTTAATATTGGATTGTGTATTGAATAATAATGATAGGTGATGTAAGCGTTGTTCTATTATTAGGAGGTTTGAGTGCGATGATAAGCGCCTCTTTGGTATACATATTGCGAGTTTATATTTTAGAAAATGATGAAACATCGAACGGTTCACGACTGGTATCAAATCATGCTAGTTTTTCGGAATAGCAACATGGGCGACTATTCTTTGGCCTTTTTTGGTACATTGAAGAATATCACATGATAAGCTGGTACTATCTTTGGATGTAGACAATCATTTGTATATTACAACTAATGCATGTTGTCAATAAACCCCCAAATGGGCAAATGGGTTTAAAAAAAAATAGGCGTCTCCCCCAAATTTGGCGCCAAATTCTTTCTTCAGATAAAAAGAAAAATGGATCGAAAAGCGCCATTCCTATGAAAAGAATGTGGTTGGTGATTTCATTCTACCACAAGTATTTTGCATTAGATGTTTGTACAGCAACATACAACTAAACAGCTGCGAAAATATGGCTCAAAGGCTTGGCGAGTTGGCAACAGTGTTCTAGAGTCGTTGTTGAAACCTACCTATGTGGACATACCTTACGCTGTTAACCAACGAATAAGAAGTTGTTTTGACCTATTATCTGACTCGACTCAGTGCCAAATTTTGAATTCTCTGCTTCTACAATACGAACATATTTCTCCTCAAACACGATTACGTTTCTTACAGTTGATTCAGCCTCGCGACTCCAGTGTTCAAGAATTGGTACGTTGGATATGGGAACGCAGTATGTGGGAACAAAGAGGTTATTTTGAGCATCGATTGGGGCAATCTATTATCCAAGATTCTTGGAGTCTACACATGGAGTCTAGTTCGTTGGACTCAAATTCATGGAAACCAACCAACGACAACTCACATGAAAATGATATATCCGAGACAACTTGCGTCGTCAAGTTATCGACCAACAAGCGCAAAAGAAAGGAACATCCTTGGTATTTTATTGTAAAGTCTATGAAAAGCGCTTCTCTTTCTTCGGATTTTTCAGAAAAGATTATACAAGTATTGAAAACTACTTCTCTGGACCAACTGATAACTTATTGGAAGGACTGGTTTGATCATCCTATGATAGATAGAGGCAGCATGAATTGTAGTGACGATGGAGCATGGATATGTGTCATTGGCAATGAAATATTTCATTCCTATGTGGAATGGAGAGAAAGCGAGAACACCTATTCTACTGCTCATCTCGTTGCGGTTATTTCATATTTATTTGTTCCTTTTGTTGTTCGCTTGAGAATGGGTTCATCGCGACAAGTATTATTAATGTTCATTGAATGGGCCAAGAAATGGCCACTATTGATTCAACAACATTTCGTATTGCCCTTGTTATGCAAGCATAATGCATTGGAAGCTCCTCAAGTGGAAGTCATAGCAAAAGTGACACAAAATGCTTTTTCTTCCTATCTTATCCAAGATACCATGAAACATTGGTTGACAAAAAATATCCAACCTTGGAATGAGTCCATTTTGGTTTTATTAGAACAATGGCTTTTTCAAGTGAACGACTCCAACATCATTTTCATTCTCATTGGAAGATTGGAAGCTAACGCACCTTTTGTCGAACTTTCTCCTAAATGGATCAAATTACTCTACGATCTTTGTCAACAACATTTGTCGATTTGTCTTGAATATCGACATATTTTACGTCGTTGTTTGGTAACTACTTCCAGTTATTTAACGGACAAGTGTCTTGCCTTATTGACTCATGGTAAACCATTGGAGTAGTTGCTTTTCTATAGATGTCCAACATTCTTCTTCCTTTGCTGAAATATTCTGATAACCAAGCGATGTTTTCATATTTTGCAAACCAGCAAAGATATCCATCCAATGATTCCAAGATATTTCAACACGACTGTCTTTGTTGAAAATCCATTGAATCATTTGCCAACCGTATGCAACCATGCGAATATGTTTGGTGCCCATTGCACAACATGCAATCATAGAAGCCTAACTCAATAACTTCATAGGATTACCAAGACAGGAATAGGTCAACTTACAAAGTACTCTATAGCATGTTGTATATCATTGTGTTGCACACATTGTGCCAATTGTAGCCATTGGATGAAATAAGAAAACTCGGTATCCAACAAGGAAGCATTGGAAGCTTTCATCAAATAAAATATCGATTGCAAAATATGGACCACTTGGTTCCTACTCTGTTCTTCCATGGCTTTTTCCATATCTATTGGATTATCTAAATATTGTTGAATCTTATCTATTCTACCGAGTCGACAATAGCCATACAAGGAATCGAAATAGCGACTTTGCCTGTTCTACACTTCAATCAGCATTTTTTGAAATGTTCATTTGGAGACTATTTCTCACCATTCGTATATGGTCCACTAAACTCTGTAAGCGAGCAATCTGAAACTGCTGACCATCGTTGGGATAATCATCCAATAAGCCATCTTCCAACGTATCCCAATCACAACTATCCAAAGGCAATGAATACACCACTCTTTGTTCAAACCAACTCCAACCTTCTAGTCCACTACACAAAACATATCAACGTTTCATGCACTTTGTAAAAAGAAATAACTTACCACGCTCGACAATAATCTCTTATGATAGATAATATACCAACGTGATGAATAGGCAAACTACCAACATATTCCAATATATAATACTTTCGAATATCTTCCTTATCATATACAACAATTTCAGGGTCTTTCCATTGACTTAATAAATCTAATCATAGTACATTATCTCTCAGCCATTCTTTTTCTACTTTCTTCTATTCTTACCTGAAAGATGAGCGGCGTGCCAAAAACTTTTCAAATGTACAACATCTGCAATCAATTCGGTATAATTGCCTTTTAATATGGCAATCAACGAATGCAATTGGGTTGGTAATGTATAATATTGGTTGACGATAGGAATAATTCTTTCCCATGCTATATATATATATATATATATATATATGCATAACAAAAGAAAGTGAGCATAGAATAAAATGATTAGATATAGAAACAACTTGCCATATTCTTCAAAAGGTGAAAACACATAAATAACAACTGCTAATAACATTTCATGCCAATTCACTACCACATTTGCTACAACTTGGATATCTTTTCCAATCAATATCTAATATTCCATTCATCATCCAATAATAACATAATAGAAACAACACTTGCCTCTAATAATGTATATAATGAGTCTTGAATGGGTCTCATTTTCATGAGATGATGTATTTTGCCTTGCCATTGTTTCCAATCTTCTTGTCTTGAATCATCCCAATCGGGAGCTTCAAATAATGCTGCAGCTGCAATCAATAACGGAGATATTTCCATAAGGTCCATCGTCGAGTCATTTAAAAATAAACGAGCTACTTTATGTTCGTCATATCCTTGCCATTGATAGATCAAATCGATTGCTCTGGTGTAATCACCGATAGCTGCCAATCGATATACCATTTTCCATAAAGTTTCTTCATCTATAACAAAGTTTAAGAATTCGTATGTTGTTAGCATCACATTTACCGTTTTCTTCTATTGCCAACTGACAATTTTCTACACTTTGTAACAAGTCATTTTGAGTTATCCACAACCAACTTTGTAGTCTTTTGAGAAGTCCCTTGTCCGTTTCTATATTTATATTTATATATATATAAATATTTTATATATAAGAAAAACAACCAAAAGTTCACAACATACCAGAAACACACAACACGGTCTCCAACAGTTTCCAAACTTGCCAAGCATAGGAAAGTGACTCGATCATTATTTCATCTCCTTCTACTTGTGCCCATTGTAAAGCTTCATATACAGCTGTTGTGTAATTCTTCAAACGTTGTTCCACTGAGCCTTGAGTTTGTGTAAAGTACAAGTGTCCCTAGAGCAATCTGCTTTGTGTAAAGTTGGTCTCAAGTCAACTTTTTATTACCTGCAAAATCAATAACCAAGAAGAGTGTCGAGAGTGTTGACCTTCCATATAAGAACGAGTTGTAACTCCATAACCTTTAGAAGAAATGGTGATCACTTCTTTATTCTCACCCAATACAAAAGACATGACACAAACACTAATTCGATTCCACTCGGCTTAGAAATTCCACTCCAGGCAATACTTTTCCTTCCAAAAGTTCCAAACTTGCACCTCCTCCAGTACTCACATGACTCATCTTTTCTTCCCATCCAAACTTGGCAGCAGCAGTTGCAGTATCCCCACCTCCAATAATACTTGTAGCTCCCAAACTACTGGTAGCATGAGCAACAGCTTCCATCACTTCACGAGTGCCTTGTGCAAATATATCCATTTCAAACACGCCTAAAGGTCCATTCCATACTATAGTCTTACAACTTTGGACTACTTGTGAAAATTGAGTTCTACTTTGTGGTCCACAATCCAATCCTTGCATATGCTCTGGAATGCCTTGTTCTCTTGTACGAATCTCAGTATGTGCATCGGGAGCAAAACGATCAGCTACAACAAAGTCTACTGGAAAATGTATCTTGACATTTCTATCTTTGGCTTCTTTCATAATAGAATCGACCAAATGGGATCCTGGCTCATCATAGATGGAGTCTCCGATGTTCATGGAATGCAATACTTTTAGAAAAGTATAACACATACCACCTCCGATAATCATTTCATCCACTTTATGTAACAAGTTTTGAATGAGTTGAATCTTATCTGATACTTTGGCTCCTCCCAAGATAGCTAAATAAGGTCTCTTTGGATTTTCCAACGCTTTATGAAAATATTCCAATTCCTTTTGCATCAAAAAGCCTGCTGCTCGAATATCCAACTGAATACCCACCATACTGGAGTGTGCACGATGTGCTGTTCCAAAAGCATCGTTTACATAAATATCACCCAACTTGGTAAGACTGGCACGGAATGATTGGATTTGTTCAGGTGTCGCCTTTACTTTATTTCCTTTTTCGTCCACTCCTTTTCCTTCCTCTTCTATATGAAAACGTAAATTTTCACATAAAAATATGGAACCTGGAGAAGGATCTTTACAAGCTTGTTCCACTTGAGGTCCAACACAGTCTTCCAAAAAAGTAACTGGTTTCCCCAATTTGTGTTGTAAATATTCAGCAACTGGTTTCAAGGAATATTTCTTATCCACTTTGCCATCTGGTCTACCCAAATGTGAAAGAAGAACGATACTTTTAGCTCCCTTTTCTAGAATATATTTTATAGTGGGAAGCGTTGCATCCACACGTTGGCCATTGGTTATAGCGCCTGTCTATTTACAAATAGTTATTCAAAATCTACTATTTTATCGATAACTTACTTGTTTATCCAACGGAACATTAAAGTCCACTCTACAAACCACTCTTTTTCCTGTAAAGTCAACGGACGAAATGGTCAACTTGTTCATTCTTCTCTGTTTTTTATGGAAATGAGATTTCAGATGGAATTGTGCTTATTTTCCACTTTTAAAGAAAAGTCGATAACTTCACAGTGTTGAGATAAACTGAGACTAAGAATATCTATATCTGATGAAAAATAATCTGCAACATTATCTTCTCGAATACCACCACTACATTCAATCAATACAGATGGATAGAGTTGTCTCAAAGCATTGGCAACTTGTTTAGCTTGTATGGGATTCATATTATCCAACATAACTATATCGGCACCTTTTTCAGCTGCCTATTATTATTATTATTATTCATAATCCATTCAGAAAGATATTGCAAAAACATACTTGACAGGCATCGGAAAAACTTTGACATTCTACTTCCACTTTGAGTGAAAATCCTGCTACACGTTGTACTTGTTGAATAGCTTGTGCAATACTTCCACAACTCCAAATGTGATTATCTTTCAACATAACCATCGAAGATAAATCCATTCGATGAGTATCCACTCCACCTACTAACATGGCATATTTCTCTACCAACCGAAAACCCTAATACAATTTTACCCCAATGAATATAAATATATCTATTGATGGATCAAAAGAGAAATACTTGCGGGAGTTGTTTTTCTAGTTCCTGATATACAACCTTGCCAATTATGTTGTTGAGCCAAAGTTGTCAATTGAAAAGCTCTCGTAGCTATACCACTACAACGTGCCAATACATTCAAAGCTGTTCGTTCTCCACGTAATATTTGACAAGCTGGGCCTTGTATTCTTGCTATAGCTAACATATTGCGTCCATCCACTTGAGACTGGGGATCAAACCACTGTCCATCATCTATTGCAGACTCTTCTTCTCCATCATACCAGTGCACAGTACAATCCAACTGTTGGAAGATGGCATCAAAGAATGGCTTACCTGCTAATAAACCCTAAAGAAGGAAATAGGTCTATTTTCAATAAAGTCTTTTTGGTGTACTTACTTTGGACTTGATATAAAGTGTAGCGGATGTGATTCTGTCTCCAACAGCTTGAGCACCCCAGTCAAAACTAGGAATATCTTCTTCCAACCAACTCAATACCATACTTTGTATCTTGTGTTGAGGAATAATCATAAGATGTGAAGAGGAGGAGGAATGCTGAGAATGATGGTCTAGTCGAGTCATTCCAAAAGGAAGGAAATCAACGAATGAAAAGAGAATTGTTGAATTGTGAAAGAATGTCGTCTTATTCCTTATTATCTCGAATAGCTTTTCAGTTGAGTCGTATTCCTAAAACCATAGAAACTCAGTCCATTGTAAAGAGACAATATCATGAAAAGGTAGTTGACCACTATGAAAACCCAAGGTAAGAGAGAGAAAGAGAGAGAAAGGAAGGAAGGGTTGAAAGGGTGTTGTTGGATAGAAATGTAGGTTCCTTAGATAAGAATGATAAATATGTTGGAACAGGGTTGGTTGGTGCACCAGCTTGTGGAGATGTTATGAAGTTACAAATAAGAGTGGATGAAACGGGAAAGATTGTGGAAAGTCGGTTCAAAACTTTCGGTTGTGGTTCTGCCATAGCGTCATCTTCTTATGCCACGGAATTGATAAAAGGAAAGACGTTGGATGAAGCTGGTCAAATTAGGAATAGGGAGATTGCAGAAGAGTTGAAGTTACCACCTGTGAAACTGCACTGTAGTATGTTGGCTGAAGATGCCATTAAAGCAGCTATCAAGGACTTGGAAAAGAAACGTAATAATTCGAATGTGAAAGTAGCTTGATTGGAATAGTTGTAGAGTTGAATAAAATATGTTGTTGTTATGATATATAAAGAAGTTTCTAGTAGCAACTTGATTCTGGGGGAGGATTGGTGTTGTTGGTCATTGTGTAAAGAATATGGCACAAGATACAAAGGTATGATGTTTCCTTTTGAACTTGGAAAGCCATTGTAAAAGAAAATTAGGCTATTGAAGCTAAAAATAGAGGTAATGCAGCTTTTTCTGCAAAAGAATTTGAAAAAGCAGTGGAAGCCTTTTCAGTAAGGAATCCATAGGGAAAGTATTCCAGAATGGACTAAACAACGAGTCTCTTTTTTTTATTATAGGAAGCGATTCAATATGATCCAGATAATCATGTGCTCTATTCCAATCGGTCAGCAGCTTATGCTAGTCTTGGGAAATATCGTGAAGCTTTAGAAGATGCCAATAGTTGTATTCAAAGGAAACCAGATTGGGCAAAGGTACTCAAGAATTGTATATAGATAGTATTATTTTGTATAGTTAACTTGAGAGTGTTTAGGGATATTCTCGTAAAGGTGCTGCTTTATATGGTTTAGGACAATATGAAGAAGCCATAGCAGCTTATGAACAAGGCTTGCAGATAGAACCCCATAACGAAGCACTAAGGGAAGCCAAACAACAAACTATAAACTGTTCTTCCAACCAAAACTCTAAGAGTGGTTTATTTGGACCTGAGACTTTGGCTCAATTGGCAATGAATCCCAATACTAGAAAGTTATTACAGGATCCCTCCTTTATGCAAATCCTAAAAGAAATGCAACAAAATCCATCAGCTATAGGTAAGAAAGATTATGAGAGAGAAAAGGATATTCTAAACCTATTATTGTATTTAGGAAAATATTTACAAGATCCTCGTGTCATGGAAGTATTGAGTGTGTTAACTGGAATGAGGTTTGATAATAGTCCATTCCAACAAGAATCCAGTTCTAGTGCTTCCCAAAATAATGATGATAATAATAATAATAACGATGAAGATGCAAAGATGAATGAAAATAATAGTTGCGATAAGGAAATGTCTCAACAAGAGTATAACAATCCATCAGAAGAAAGTCTCCAAAAGCAACAAGCATTGAAAGAAAAGGAATTAGGCAATGAATATTATAAGAAGAAGCAATTCCAAGTTGCTATCGAACATTATAACAAAGCAATAGAATTGGATCCTTGGAACATATCTCTCCTTACTAATAGGTAAAGTAACTTGAATTGGATGTATTATGAATAATATATATATAAATTTATTTATTTTTGTTTTAGGGCTGCTGCTTATTTGGAAATGGGTGAATGTGAGAGATGTATGGAAGACTGTCAAAAAGCAATTGATTGGAATATAGAATACAATTTACGTACCGATTATAAGATAATAGCGAGAGCCTATTCTAGAATGGGTAAGTAATACTTCACTTGTGTGTTTAGGATAATAGAATTACCATTTCTTAGGAAATGCCTATGCAAAGAAACAAGATTACGATAAAGCTATAGAGTGTTATGAAAAGTCTCTTTTGGAATATCACGACGATAAGATTCAATCCAAATGCAATGAATTGAAGAAACAAAAGAAGAAATGGGAAGAAGAGGCTTATATGGATCCTGAGTTATCCAAAGTGGCTAAAGAAGAAGGAAATAGTTTGTACAAACAAGGCCAATTTCCAGAAGCCTTACAGAAGTATACGGAAGCCATCAAACGTAATCCAAAGGATCCCATTCCTTATAGCAATAGAGCAGCTACTTATACCAAATTGGGACAGTTTCCTAGTGCTTTAGCAGATTGTGAAAAATGTTTGCAATTGGATCCCCAGTTTGTGAGAGCTTATGCTAGGAAGGGTGCCATTCATTTCTATATGAAAGAATATCATAAGAGTTTGGATGCCTATCAAAAAGGATTACAAGTGGATCCTAATAATACAGAATTGAAAGAAGGGTTACAGAAAACGCTAAGTGCTATTGCAGAACAACAACGTTCAGAGAAACCTGATGAAGAACAAATCAAACATGCTATGGCAGATCCCGACATTCAAAAGATATTGATGGATCCTGTTTTACAAAATGTAAGTATTTGTAAGTAATGAAAGAATATTATATGGCTCATATCTATTTTAGGTATTACAAGAAGCTCAATCAGACCCGAGTTGTATACAGAAAGCCATGTCGAGTCCCGTAAGTAGAAGACTCATTTCCATTGAAGAATACTGAATTGTTATTATTATTATTATTATTATATGAAGGGAATGGCAGCCAAAATTCAGAAACTCATTGCTGCAGGTATTTTACGTGTTGGATAAACAACTTGTTCTTTTTTGATTATTTATTATATGAACCAAAAGAATATTCTTTACAAGTCAAAGCACCCACAGGACACAAGTCAATCACATTTCCTGATAACTCTGAACGAAATACTTTTTCAATATAAGTATTTATTTCTGTATCTCTTCCACGTCCTGTCGTTCCCAAATCAGGTACTCCAGCCACTTCAGTTGCAAACCTTACACATCGAGTACAATGAATACATCTGGTCATAATAGTTTTGATCAAAGGACCACAATATTTATCTTCCACAGCTCTCTTATATTCAAAAAATCTTCCTCTATCCGAACCAAATACCATTGCTTGGTCTTGCAAGTCACATTCTCCACCTTGATCACATATAGGACAATCCAAAGGGTGATTCAGTAATAAAAACTCCAATACTCCTTCTCTTGCTTTTCGAACTCGAGGAGAGTGGGTCAAAACACGCATTCCTTCCATTACGGGCATAGCACAAGAAGCAGCCAATTTGGGAGACTTTTCAATCTCCACCAAACACATGCGACAATTACCAGCAATAGAAAGACGTTCGTGATAACAGAATCGAGGTATCTCTACTCCTGAAAACTCACAAGCTTGAATAATAGTGGAACCTTTAGGTACCCAATGTTCTTCTCCGTTGATGAACACGGACACCAAATGGTCAGGTTTGGGAGGTTTATTTTCTGTAGAAGAAGGTTCTGCTGCTCTACCCAACTGAGTTGAATAATGAAACCATCTTTTCCAAGGAGTAAGAATACTTGAAACTACTTTACTATTATTGACTAGAGGAATCGACTCCAAAGTCTTCCAAATCCCACTCCACATGATGTAATATGATTATTATTATTCATCTTCATTTGTATTATTGAATTGTTACGTCGTCGTTGAAAAGATGGGTCGAGTGATTCGAGGTAAGAAGAGACATCAACAACTTGAAAATGGTATACTTAAATTGAATAGGTCAACGCAAAGGAGCTGGTAGTGTATTTCGTGCTCACGTAGCGAAACGAAAAGGTGCAGCTCGATTCAGAGCTCTCGATTATGCCGAACGACACGGATATATTCGAGGCGTCGTAAGGGAAATCATACACGACCCTGGAAGAGGAGCTCCTTTGGCTCGAGTTGAATTTCGTGATCCATATAGATATAAAAGAAGAGTTGAGACTTTTATTGCAGCAGAAGGTTTATATTCAGGCCAATCTGTTTATTGTGGAAAAAAAGGTAGTGAATAGAATACTAATATAGAAACTTATCTTATGTTGTATTATGGAATATTATAGCCCAATTGACCATAGGTAATGTTATTCCTCTTGGTTCCCTACCAGAAGGAACTGTAGTATGCAATGTCGAAGGTAAAGTTGGTGATAGAGGCAAATTGGGTCGTTGTTCGGGTGATTATGTAACAGTCATCAATCAATTGGAAGGAAATAAAACTCGCATTCGATTACCTTCGGGAGCTAGAAAGATTGTTCCTTCCAATTGTCGTGCCATGATAGGAATGATAGCTGGAGGTGGTCGAACTGATAAACCCATCTTGAAAGCTGGAAGAGCTTATCACAAATACAAAGCTAAGAAGAATTGTTGGCCTCGTGTACGGGGAGTTGCAATGAATCCAGTAGATCATCCTCACGGTGGTGGTAATCATCAACATATTGGACATCCTTCCACTGTAAGAAGAGATGCTCCACCTGGACAAAAAGTGGGTTTAATTGCAGCAAGAAGAACAGGTCGATTGAGAGGAGGAAAGGCAATGGCAGCTGCTGCAGCCAAAGCTGCTTCTGGAGGTGCCTAAACATGTTGATCAATAAAATATATATATCCAACGGAATGCCATTGGTTTATGTCAAATATTCCAATTGAGACTCCATCAAAAGTGATCGTTGGCTAGTTATCAAAGTCAATTTGTACAAGGCTTCCATTACTTCAACTAGTTTCTCTCTATAATGACTGGGTTTCATTCTACCATCATTGGAAAACTCTCGAAAGGCTTCAGGCACAATCAAATAACAAGGGGCAATTATCATGTTCAATGAAAGTGCAATAGTAAACATATGATGAATTGCTGCACCAGATAGTTGGCCTCCTTGTACTTGACAAAATGCAACTGTTCTTCCATTTGGAGGAAATGTATACCAATCCAATTGATTCTTCAATACACTGCTTATACTTCCGTGATGTACAGGTGAACACCATATTTGACCTTGTGACCAATTGTAAAGTTGAATAAATTCTTGTACTTTTGGATGAGTCTCATATTGAGGATCCTGTATAGGTAAAGACTCTGGGTGATAGATACGAATATCAGCACCCAACTGATTGAGTATTCGAGCTGCTTCATAAGCTAGGGCTTTGGATAATGAACCTTGTCTTAAGGAACCATATAATATCAATATTTTAGGTGGTGATATAACTGATTCGCTTAGCCTTTCCAATTGATTATTCTTATTATTCATATCCACTTTCCATTGTAGACGAGTTACCCAGTCATCTGCTTGATGATAGTCTTTCCCACCACAACAATAATATTTGCCCTTTGGAGAACAACAACATTTCCTTCTTATACTCTTTCGCTTCACAAATATAGAATAGCAATTGGAAAAAGATATCGACATGAGTATTCTTCAATACAACACTTGCAGAGAATATCTTCAGAGATGAATTGTACTTTCCCAAATGCTTTGTAAGCCATTCATTCCTCTCTTTCCTTATATAGTCTATCTATTGTATATAAGTGAGCCTATCTATCTTTGTATACTATATCAATCCTTTTTAGACGACCTCAGACCTCTATCATGGCAGTTGGCAGTAAGAAGGATGTTTTAGTTTATGGACAACTAAATAGTATTCTAGTTGTTGATGGTGTCTTCTCTTTATGGTATGCATTGTTGTGTCGATTCTTTTTCATATGGGAAAGGTTTTGGCGCCATTTGTATCCGAAGCATTGAAATATTTTCAACTGTATCGATATACTTTGTGCCTCATATGAACAACTTTTGGTTTCTCTTGACTACTTGGTTACTACATTTACACGTTTTGAAGAGATATATCTCAAAGAGTCTTATAGCTTCTCATGTTCGTTCTTCTCATTGGATAGGATTACTTACTCTATTACTTGCTTTCTTTGGAAACTTGTATTTGGCTAATGGAGACCATATTCGAAGAGTCCATCCTTATCAACTAGGTAAAGAATTGAGGTGGAAAATGAGTTGGCATATTTTTATTACTATTCCTTGTGTTCTGTTGCTAACGATTCCTAAGAAAGAATAATGGAAATTATTGACTTGATGGGAGCTCAAGAAAAATTCTTATTTTCCTTTTGTATCCACAATATAGATAAAGTTGTTTCAGAGTTCATAAAGCGGTGTTGACTTTTCGAGAGTTGTCTATTCAACGAGATTAATTGTGCTGTTACATTTTAAATGATTTTTCATCAAATACAACTATGTTTCTATTCCAAGTTGTTAATGATATATCTACTTTAGCATCCTTACAATTGTGGCTCTCCCAATGGGTGGTCCATTATATATATATATATTGAATTGGCATCCAATGGGAAGATACTAGTCTTGTCAAGTCTTGAACAGCAGTTGAATACAATTAGTTATTGAGTAGCACATAATTTATGTTAACATTCAAGTCGAATATCATTGACAGAAAAGAAATATGGAGGACTGAAGTGGAGTCTTCATACTGTGAGTATATACCAATAACTATTCAGCACAAGTCAACGCACTCGATTCACTTTCTTCTGTGGAACTTTTCATGGTTAGGTGGAACCAACGATGGTCTTTACTTACTCGAAACTTGAATATTGTGTATTATACTTTTCCTCTTGTTCTCAATACAACTTTTATGCGTTCCACTCTTGACTTTCAAAGAAGTTGTACAGAATATTTCCCATTTGCCAAATAAAAAGCATTTGCATGTTGTGAAACCTCGTCTCCCATGTTTGACGACCACCCGATGATAAATATACTACTTGAATATTTCCGATATCAAATACTCTACTCAGCTCTGTCTCTAAAATTTTGTACATTCGAAAACAACTTTCTACTTGTATAAGATATTTGAATAAGAGTGTTTATCATTTTCTACTTAGGGCTTTTCCAGAAACGAAGAAATCCCAATCGGCCAATGATCGATTGGAAATGGATTTCTTCGTCGAGAATGTTTTGGCTTTGTAACCAAAACACATACGAAGACATTTTCTAACAAGTGAATATTGTTGAAATAAAATAGCATTCAAATATTGTAACAGTGTAGTGGACACTTGAGATCCATTGGTGTTTTGTTTTAGATAGCTTCCAAGTGGTGCGAGTAGAAGCAAGTGTTTGTAGTTGGGTAGTTTTTGACCGGAAATCAAAATCACCAAACTTTCTAGTCAATCATAAGTTAATATTGGAAATTTTTCAGTCTATTTCGTATGAAACAAGGTTTGGATTGGGTGGTGACCACGCAAGGTATGTTATTCGATATGGAATCGAATGGGGTTGTGTTCTGACAGTAATAGACTCTATTGATCTCAAAAGAGCCATCGTCCAACAAGTAGAATGGTATTTCAGTGATACCAATTTGTTTAAAGATTACTTTTTGCTGCAAAAAATGGATCTTTTTGGTGCCGTTCCACTTTCTATTATTGCTTTCTTTCCCAAAATGGTGCAATTGACTCAGGATATGGACCTTATACAACAAGCTATCGTTGAGTATGCAAACACAGTACAACTGAATGAACAACAAATGACGATAAGAAGAGTGGATAGCCATAACTATATTAGTAGTCATCAGTGTGTAAAGTTACGAATGATGGAGAGTCGTATTTGGGAGTCCATCGAGTCCAATTTGATATATTGTGGCTTATGGAATTGTTTGTTATTTGGATGTTTTGATGCTGCTGGCAATTGGAATTTGGTATTTCCTAGTCAATGGCATGCCAAAGCTGCTCAACATCGCATTTTACAAATGTTTCCTTTCATGACGAAACAGCTCATTTCTATTTGCTCGTTTACTCATGATGGAATGTTTTGTTGGCAGCCGTTGAAGGAAAAAGCGCAGTTTCAAGAATATGACTACTTATTGAGATACCCAGATGGTTATTCTTGTCCCATTTTACCTGTTTGGTATTCTTCATCTATCGTTGGAAATATTCCTGTTCCTGTGGAAACCCAGTTTTCCTATTCTTCTTATGATAATGCTTTACAGGAAGCAAAAAGCGGGGAACAAACACCATTGCCCATATCGACATGTGCAAATAGAGACCAGTTCCATTCTAAAAGCAAATATGCACAACAATCTTCTACTGTTTCCGTATCCTCTCTTATTCATGTTCCAAATGATTATAATCAAGAAAAACGAGATAAGAAGCAAAAGAGGATATCAAAAGATATTCGTGAATCTCGACAAAGGCAACCAAGACAGAAAGGAAAGAATTCACAGCAACAGAATGGCAAACAAAGAATAAGAAGAAGCTTTCAAATACAAGCAGAAGACTTTCCTCCTTTACCTGGAGAAAAACTAGGAAAGAGAGTTGTACAATTGTCTACTCGTAACAATCTTATAAAAGAACAAGAGAATATAGAAGAAGCAGTCCTCGCTTTTGGAGAAATGTGTGTTTCCAATTCTGAAAATGAGAGAGATAGAAACAAGTCAATGGAAAAACTGGACAAGTCTTATGCTCACGTTGCAGCATCATTTATTCCTTCAGTTGAGGAGAATAGGAATAGAGATTCTTATGGAAATGCGAAGAAGGAGAGACATCAATCATCCAATAGTCATAAGAGAAGACAAAGACGACGTGAAAGGAAATGGGAAACTTTGAGAAGTCCTTCCTCCGTTCCTAATTCAGTTCCTAATTCTACTAAAAGTAAACAAGTCAAAAAGGAATCATCTAGGCATGGAACAAGAAACAGAAGACCCAAAGAGGTTAAAGAATGGACAGAGTCACCTATATTATCCAATAATGAATCAATAATAATGAACAAGGAAAAATGGAAAGAAGCCGAATATTTGTTTGATTGTGACAAGCAAATAGAGAATGATGCTGAAACTAGGGCGGAACACAAACACTCAGCCTTATATTTCGAGGAGATAACAAAGAATGAAGAGTTAAATTCTGTTTGTGCTCCACAAGTTACAACTCTATTGCATTCGAGAAATGTTTTGGAAGAAACTCCTTTGGCCACATTAGAACAACAAAATAGTTTGAGTCGTTTATCGCCAACCGCAGTGGACTCTACTTGTTGTGGTAACTGGCAATTGGCTTCTTCTCAAGTTTCTGAACCGATAGCTGTTGTTGAAAATGTAATATGTGACGATGAAGCCAAATCGATCTTACAGGTTTTAGAGCAACTCCATTCTAGTATGGACTCTAGAACAGACTTGGAGAACTCTTACAATAGATCAGTTTCGAAGCCATTGGAGAACTTATCTAAAGTTGAACAAGAGGAATTGGACTACTTTCCTGCAACTAGCGTCGTCACGCGCAATCCCTCCGTAAATAGAAACAATTCTTCTTCTTTATTGAATATCAAAACATCCTCTTTCTTTTATCAGAAGACTGTTTCGTCAGGTTTCATAGAAGAAGGACTGAAATTTTTTGCGAAAGATATATTTTCTTAATTGATGGTTTGTAAATAACTTTTTCTCTTTCTATCCATAAACAAGTCATGTCTGTAAGCTCAAGCACAATCTCTTTTGTTACAATTAATTGGTTGTGAGCCATTCATTCTTTTCGTTGTTATTGTATTATGTTGGCCTTCGTAACACTAACCATTGCTGCTACTACTTCAAGTCAACATTGTTATGTTGGGATGAATAGAAAGAGTACTTTATTTTCGCACAACAATAGACGCTTGAAAAGAGAATGTCGTTCCTGTAACCTTGGTTTGGAAATGACAGGTTCCGCCTCCTCTTCAGTTGACCAAGTCCCAGACATGAGCAAAAGAATGTTTTTAAACTATGTTTTGTTAGGTGGAGCTTCTCTTCCCATTTTGACCATGTTAGGTAGTTATGCTTACTTTTTCTATCCTCCTTCTCGTGGTGGTTCGGGTGCAGGCACTATAGCTAGAGACGTGTTGGGACGAGAAATAAAGAAAAAGGAGTTTCTGGAAACAAGGAAACCTGGTACTCACGAATTAGCACAGGGACCTAAAGGAGATCCCCATTATTTGATTGTTGACGAAGAAGGACAGTTGGTCTCGTATGGACTGAACGCCGTATGTACTCATTTGGGATGTGTGGTTCCTTGGAACGCAGGACAAAGCAAATTTATTTGTCCTTGTCATGGTTCTCAATATGATAGAAGTGGAAAAGTAGTACGTGGACCTGCTCCACTTTCATTAGCTTTGGCACACGTAGATGAAGATGGAGATGGAAATATTGTTTTCAAGGATTGGAAAGAAACTGACTTTAGAACCAATAGCGATCCTTGGTGGAAATAAAGTATATGAAGTGGGTTTTTATTCTCATCGTCGCTGTATGAAATTCTCCTTGCTGAATTGTGTGTCACATTTCTTCTAGAAATATTCAGTCTCTTATCTTTTTGTATTATAGATTGTGATCTTTCCATCATTAAAGAAAAGAAGACTTTATTTGGAGTTAGGCTCTTTATTCTTTTCTATATTTCTATGGGTGCCTCTTGAAGTAGCTATTACATTTCTTTTTTCCAAGATTTCAATCATGCTATTGAGATGAACAATCGGCAAGTGGTTATCTCAAATAATCAACATGGTGTATCTAGCAAAATATTTCATATGAAAACAGAATGAGACTTTTTCAACGAATATTATTGTCAAAGGGAATATGGATCTTTTGTCTACGTGGACACGACGTTTGTGCTGTGAACAGTCTTCGCATCGCATTTATTTTCGCTATGGAGTTTTTGAGAAAATGGATAGAATATGAAAAAATAGACCCAAGTGCTCAACCTGAAGTACGAACTTTGAGAAGAGGACGTTTAGGCTTCTGGCATCTTTACTTTCAATCCGTATCTATGATTTCACCAGCCGGTGCTATGGCAGCTACTATGACTAGTTCTGCTGGTTATGCTTGGGGTGCTTTACCTTTTTCTTATATTCTTGCCATAATAGCTGGTACCCTTTTAATGAATACTACAGTTTGGTATTCTATGAAAGTTGCATCCTCAGGTGGTTATTATGCTTATGTTTTTGCAGCTGTTGGACCAAGATGGGGAGTGATTTGTGGTATGATGTTTATATTATCTTATTTTAATGTCGTTACAAATGGTATTCTATTCGTTGGAGGAGTCTTTTTTCCCGGTTTTATTCAGACCATGACCGGAGCTACTTATGCAGATAAGGCATGGATAGGAATCATGTTTGCTTTTATCATTCTCATATACATTTTGGCATTTCTTGGTATTCGTGCTTCTCTTGATTATTCTTTAGTGATTGGAACTTTTGAGCTTCTATTCATGTTTGCTTGTACATTGGCAGTTGTCATCAAGGTTGGTTCTCAAAATACCGGACAAGTATTTCATCCTTCATTAGCGCCTACACGTGCAGATATTGCAATAGCTGCTTTGTTATCTTTGTTTTCTATTTCTGGTTATTCTGCCGTAGCTTTTCTAGGAGAAGAAGCAAAGAATCCTCGGAAACAAATACCCATTGCCGTGATACTTGCATATTCTAGTGTGGCTTTGTTATTCTTTTTCATGTCTTATGGTCTTACAGTTGGTTGGGGCTATAAGAACATGTCTGAGTTTTCAGCTTCATTAGACCCTGGAGTCATTGTATACAAACGTTACCTTACTCCAGTCATTGGTTGGTTCATGGTTATCCTTATTTTAAATGCAATGTTTTTAGGTTCATTAGCTCCTTTGAATAGTTGTGCGAGACTTATTTTTGCTTTTGCAAGAGAAGGTCTCATATTTCCAAAGATATTTGCTACTGTAGACAAGAAACAGAATCCCATCGTTTCTACTGCTGTTGTTGCCTTTCTTGCTGCTGTCGTATCTCTTATTGCAGGTTTAGCTATGGGAACTTATGATGGATTTGTGATGTTGGTGACAACTTCATCTCTTTCTCTTTATGTGGGTCATATCATTGCTAACCTTACTTTGGGTATCTTTTATTATCGTCAAAAACAACTCAACTGGTTCTTTCATGTCATTGTTCCTATTATTGCTTCGATTTTAGTTGGCTTTAGTATTTTCTTTACTATGTATCCTTATGATCCTGTCACATTGGCGTGTCCAATATGGACCGGTGCTTGGCTTATTTTATCCATCATAGGTGCTTATCTTACTCCACGAGATCGTTTAGATGCTGCACAGCATAGATTTGAAAGAGTACAAGACATTATGGGAGCTACCTATGTGAAAATTCAAGGATCAACTGCATGGAATAAGAATGGACCCGAAATGACTGTGGAAGAAGAAACTTTTCAAAGTTCCGATACATTTCAACAGAATCATCATCATAGTATTGATAAATATGTTGATGATGAACTCATTGCTTCTAGTCACGCATAATTATGTGTTGTTTTGCACAAATGTTGTGGATGGCTTCATTAAAGTAATAATATGTCAAGTTGTGCACAACCAATCAGATTTCCCTAGGTTTATAAAAGTAAACCCACTTTGGTTTTCTACTGAGTCATATCTTGAACAACATCGAGAAAATAACACCACTATTTCAATTCTTCTTGGTAAGATTTGAATCATCCATTCTTTTTCACTCATAAAGACTTTGAAATTTCACCATTCCTTGATAGTTGCTTTGAAAAATGATATCCAGCATTTTGATATCTCGAAAGTGTTAGCAGAAACTTGCTGTTTTTTAAAATGAGAAGAATCACTATCTGATTGTTCTATCTTTCTTCTATAAATGGTTAAATGTTTTGAATTTTCTCTCTGTTGACCATTTTTACTAGGAATCTAATATCTTTGTAAAAATGGAAGACAAAACCATCGTACTCTTTCAATAACATTACAAAAGGGAAATGCTGTTTGGGTAAGTTGTGCAACGACCATGATGGATATCCTAGTTGAAAACATTGGACTGTTTTAGTAATCATGAAATTCTTATTGTTTCTAGTGAACGGAAGAGTTATTCGACTTTTCAGAATGAAGATTTTCACGGAACTTGAATATTATTTTCAGAAATGAAAGTTAGGGAGCTAAAGTAAGTATAGTAAGTAAATAAAGGCTGCCCAAAAAAATGTTATAAAAGAAACGAGTCCTTACATAGCCACTCGTTTCACAACCTAAATAAAGCACAACGACTTTACAAAATATAAAAATTGAATAACAGCACAACGTCTGTATGTTACTTGCTCATAAGATTGTATTTCACAAGGGAATACACTTCTTGTGTCAGGTTTCCAGCACTCTATGACACACACACACTCTCTCTCTTTTCCACTATTTTTCTATTAGAGGTTTTGTCTAATATTAAACAGCCAAGTCAAGTTGACTTTACTGAAAACTAGTGAGGTCTGAGTGAACTAGTCGCAGCACTAAAGAAAACTTGTACATAGGATTGTCACTTGCAGTTTATACTGGCACAAAGACTGCTCCTTGAGCGTAGTTTGTATAAAAGGAAAGGTTGTAATTCTCATACCGAAACTAAGCAGAGTTATTTCCATTGAAACTGGAAAATGATCATTTTGCAAAGAAAGATTCTGAGATTGAGAACAAGTCAAAAACTAATAATAGCAAGCCTTTTTTTATGTATTATCGAAATAGGGTCACAGGAAGTTTGAAATTGACCTTATGATAACTTTGGTCAAACTCAACTCTGTTAAAAGCTACAGTGTCGCTGGGGAGTTGACAGTAACTTTGTTACAACCTATTTTTCTCCTTTCACAACAATACTATGGTTTGAGATTGGTTATACATAGCAAATTATTTATTGTTCCAGTAGCTTTTTTCATATCTCCAATTAGAATATTTTCTTTCATAAAACTCACTAGCCATGCAAGATACTATATCTCCAATGGAAAGGAGACAATACATAGTCCAGTTGGAAAATATAGAATAGTTTAGAAAGGCCAGTGTTGTCAACGCTTTGAACTTGGTTCAAGTTTACTTCTGAAACTTTTCCGACTTTAATTTCTAACTCTTTCGTCGTTTTAGTTGGACAAGTGGATTTCTATTATCTACGTTTCTTTGCTAAGTCCTGGAATTCATTCTTTCATAACCGTCCATCGAGTTCTCCTGAGCACTGAGTTCCTGGTAGACTTGGTGTTTTTTTGTGTATCACTTTTTCTATCTTTTTGACGTCTACACACTTTATGCAACACTTGTTGTTGTTTGAACTTGTAGTATTAAAGGGAAATTTGAGATTTGAATTTTCGAGAAGAGAGCAAAGACAAAGGAGTTTATGCTGTTGTTGAGTTGAAGCAAATTACTCCACTAGTTGTCTCGCAAGTCCATTTAGTTTTACAGATAATTGTTTCAGAGCAATTTGCATATTTATTAGGAGTTGAAATTCTTCTCTTATAGTCGGTTGTTGGGAATCAGTCTTTGGGTTAATATTTCCAAGATATTCTGCGAGAACAAGAAACCAGTCAGACTCACAGTTGAGTGTATTGGTCAGTTCACAGAGTAACTTTCTGTATGTTAGATTTTTGTCCTTTGTGGCTATTTTCAAGACGGAGAAGTCAGTCTGTAGCTCCGCAACAGTTTTTGGAGTGTAAGCACTATTCGCACTGTTTGTAAAACCGATTCATTTCCCAGGATAGCGTAGTAAAGTCTTGTGTATCCTTCATTGCTCATTTTTTGATGGATGTTTGTATTGTGATAGCCTTTAATCAATTCTCTATTGATTTGAAATATTTATTATCGATAGGGCTCTAGGCGATTGCTCTGAATGAGTGCGAGCTTACCTTTTTTCAATTTTTTTCTTATCTTTTCGTTTGTTTGCACTGCTTCTGTTGCCTTTTTAGTATAAGAGTCGCTTTTGTAATGTTCTATATTGAAATTTTTAAAGATCGCTGACTTTGCCCGATTATTCGGTTCCTTGCTCTCGATCAGATTTTCTCGTTCCCGCATATTGCTTTTCTTTCTACGATGCAACTCTATTCCAATGTCTCGCCAAAATCAATCGTCATGTTGGATTCAGAAACCAGTTTCTCAAATCACGGTTGTCTTATTCGTTCTCTTCGAGTGACAGCATGTGTTTATCTTGCATGGTCCAACTCAAGTCTTGTATTGTATCGAGAAAGAATCAACCATTTTCTCCAGAACAACAAATTTTATTCTATCCTTTGTTTCTTTTTTCTCTTTTATAATAAATGAATAAATTATTTCCAAGTCTAAGAAAGTAGAAATATGTGCCTGAGTTGTCCATCCTCAACTGTGTTTTAAATTGTCAATCTCAAAACGTCCCATAAGATGACAGTGCAATAGATGTTCAACATTCTGTTCAGCAGACCAATTCTACTAGTTTCCCGTTTCTTTCCAATCTTGATCATAAAGCAATAACTTCGATCGATTATGAGTTGTCTCAATTTTCAATATTTGTAAATATCAAGCTGCATGTCGATTTGAAAAACGCTTTAGATAGGGGTGTCATCCTTTTATTGCAGAGTCATCTTTTTGCAAGTTGCTTAATTATGATGTTTCCAAAGCATCTGTAAACAAACTAGGAAAGGGCACCTGAATTGTTTCAAATGGAACAAGTAGCACTGAAACATGTACGTCATTCTGTTGTAGCTTTTTGAACTCAGAACCTTGCTGGCATAGATTGCAAATCCAAATTTTCTAGACTTTTCAGACTTGCTTATTTATTTGTCAACTTTACTAAGAATTAAAATTCCTTAGTCAGAATCAGCTTTTTGGTTTTCAGTAAAAACTCAAGTCATAGTTTGTCTTAAGAAGAATAACAAGAGAGTTGGATAAGCTAACAATTTGAATTCATATCTCGTACTACAGTCGTGATGGATACAATAGCGACATCAAAAGGCAAAACAGTTCTAACTTGTTTCCAAGAAAACGATTGTAGTACTTATCGACAGTGGTGTATTAAGTTGGCTATGACCAAAGAGTAAATAGCAGAAACAAGAGGTAGCACTAGGTGCTATGTAATTATAAAACACTGAATATTCTGAATACAATTTTAGAAACACAGTAACCCAGCCTTGAAAAGGTTTATCTTTCAACAAGATCCACGTTCATCGATTGTTGCTCAAGAAACTCATGTATTCCGTCAACTATCAATGGAATGTCCTGTAGAGCTATACCAAAGGTTAATAAAGTAGAGTCGTCCAAATATGGAAAGGTTTTTGGACTAAACACACGCAGTTGACGTGCATAGCGCTCAATAAACGAAGCTTCCGTGAAGCCACAATATTCTCTTAGGAAGGTATTCCAATCAAATGATGAAGAACTGGATGCTGCAGCTTTTTGTTTGCCTCGTGTCTTTTCTTCTTCCACTTGCATAGCACTTTGAAAACCTTCCATTTGCATCCTATTCTCCTCATTTATTCTCCGTCCCATATGTTGAGCTACTCTTGAAATAACATTTGATTGCTCAGCTTCCAAAGATGAAACATATTCATTGGACATCGATTCAAAGACAGTTTTACACCATACTGAAAAGTCTTTACTGAATTCTTCTGGGCTTGCCTTGCCAATTTTCCTCAAAATTTCGAAATTTTCTCTTCCAAAAAATCGTTCGAGGTTCCTTTGGGAAACAATTACCAATTGTAGACATGATCGACTACTTTCATTTAAAGTTGACCTTGAAGAATGTTCAGTAACCAAATAACTTGCATCTTCAACAGTATTATGTTCTTCGGTAGAGAAACCTACAGATTGATCATATCTAGTACATACTACCACAAACTGAAAACGAAGTTGAACAGATGAAAAAGATTCGTCATTCAAAACGGAAACAACTCCCTTAAAAAATTTTTTTGCTTCTTTCTCAATATTTGTTTTCGAAAATTCACTTTTGTGATAAAATTTGAATGAAAATCCAACAACATAACGTGTTTCTCCATTATGGAATACAACATATGCATCAGCGCCACTCGAATTGCCATCTTTTGGAACAAAAATACCACAACGTTGTAAATATTTTCTATAATGGTCAGAAAATGAATCAGAGACATTTCTCAAGATGGGTATATCATTAGATTTTGTTGATTCCATAGAAAAAGAAACATTGTCCTGTTCAATAACAGAACCCTGGAAAATTCCTGGAATAGCAGAATGTACAATCTGCGAGGAATTAGAATGAAGAAAAGTTAATAAGCGAAAACGAAAGATCTTCATAAATATAAATTCAAAGAAGACTCTTTTTGCTGTTGAAGTGTCGGGAATATAACTAAACGGAGATAAAGGCAAGAGTTCAGTAGCCTCAAGGAAAAAGTTATCTTTGCTATGAGCTCTCAATATAAATTCACAACAACCAATCTTGAATTCGGTGCCCAAATCAATCCCGTCAGTTTCACAAATTTCAAAGTAAAACCCAAAAGTTGCAACCAAGTCCATCAAATAACTTCTCGTTCCACATAGAGTAATTACAAAGTCAATTGGAAAAACTGTTCCAAGCTGATAATTCAAAAGGACAAATTGATATCGAAGAAGGGTTGCGGAATCTAGTATCTCTGGAATAATAAACGTTACTGACTCTAGTAGTAAAGAGCTAAAGACACTATCTAACAAAATTTCCATATTTTCATCGTTGATAACAGGTTGCGATAAGTTTGCAACTTTCTCTACTAGGGCTAATAAAGTATTCCTTACAATCAACGGAATACCTCCTGTCTTCTTTTTCAACAATTCTACGAATCGATGTCGTAAATCATCGGAGGGCAATAACCAGTCCTTCAAGGACTTTCCATCATAAGTTGCCAGCTCAATATATTCGTTAATATCATGGAGGTTAAAGGGATTCAACCGCAACATATGGAGACTCACACTACTGGAGCGAGCATCAGACAGGGGGGCTGAGATTTCAGCAGTCCGACCTGCCAAATAGACAATTAACTTCCCTGTAATCAACAAATCACGTAAAATACGGAAGAAATTCCGGAAAGGTACATATTTTGGGTCAGACTCGACGAACTGTTTCGTGGTAAGTTCACTATAGTATTTGGTGAGGTAACTCAGGTGGCTAAGTTCGTCTATCATCAAAAATAAATATCGTTTCTGAAACTGTTCGAGAAGATAATCTATGGCATCGTCCAAGTTGAGTTCTCTGATTATCATTGAAGCAACGTGAGCGGCATCTTTTCTTCTTCCATTTTGTCGATAAGCGTTCAAAATTATATTATATAACAAAGCCTGTAGAAACCTTGGAAAAGGAGCATCAGAAAAACCGTCTTCTAGTTCTAAGACAACTGACAAAGTGTTTTCCGCAAAGTGTTTCCAAGAAAAAATCTTCAAATCAACTTTTCCCGATGAGCTTTTGTTGAAAACCTCTGTCTTCGTCTGCTCTTTTTCTTCTTCGGCGAATTTTTTTAGAAACTGTAAAAAATTTTGTCCTACACAGCTTTTGCCAGCTCCAAAGATCTGTGGGGAAAAGGAAGCTGAAGGGCGTATGTTAAAGTTTTTCTCAACTGGAGGAAACTGGTGGTAATAAGTTTGAAGAATAGAGTAAATATCTTCTTTTCTATCTATTACCGGTACTTTTGTCATTCCAGGCAAACTTATGCGTATCTCTTGACTAGCCATTTTCCACGCCGCCAATCCGAAATCAATGAATGAGTGATGATGAGAAAAGGTTGATGAAAGCGATGACCTAAAAGCTTTCAAAGGAGCTGAGAACAAAACACTTGGAGGAGGAGAAAGGAGTTGGAAGAGAGTGTATGTTTTATTGTTCGAGCGATTGGTTTATTTGGTGATTGGTAGAACTGATCTCTTTGACACTTCTAGACTCACAATGACAATAGAGAGAAAGCCGGAATATTTTCTTGCTTGTCATAACTAGAAACTTTCTTTTATTATAGACAAGAAATAGGTTTCTATGGGTTTTTGTGGTGAATTAGATTGATTGGTACTCTTTCTATGGCTTGTATACTGTAAGAGAGTTTTTCTACTATCTTCCACACCATCCTATAAGTAAACTCCTATATACATGTCTAATAAGATACAAACCTTTTGTAAGTTACACACGAAATACAGTGGGAAACAGAGAATTGCAATGAATGGGAAGTCTGTTTATGTGGAACTGGTCGTAGCACAGTTTATAAATACAAAAGTATCTAAATGAGTTTGGATAAGAGTATTATGTAGATTGTCATACTGGCTTATCATTAAATACAAGCTATTATTGATGTAATAGCTACACAAGTTGTCTATTCTTTGTTCGACTTTTACCAAGTTGTGAATATGTCTTATATAAAAATATCAATTAAGGCTTCAAATGTAGTAACTATAACCGTTCATTTTCTGCACATCGATGCTGAAAAAAGAGTAAAAGACAGAGCCAAAAAATTGTTTTACTAAAGAAGAAGTCTTTTATACTTGAGTCAAGGTCGAGTAGTGTACCAACTTGAAAGCTTCAGCAATTCTCCAACTGAAAGCCGCTCCATATTGAAGAACTTTTACCCAACATGACTCTTGGCTGAAAGACTTTGTAGTTCCTAAGTTATCGGTCAAGTGATTGTTGTGGAATGACAATAGTTCAAGATTGGATATGGTTTCCTTTGACTAATTAGACGCAATTCTGTTCCACTCTCAAAGTTGTCCTTTGCAATGCAATATAAATAGAACTCCTCTGTAAATGGTGATTTTCTGAAATAGAAAGTTCTTGTCTCAGTGTCCAAATGGGTTGAATCATTTAAGATGTCTCTTGTACTATAAATAGTCAAACGAAATTTTTTAGATCGAACATCATCTTTGCAACCGGGTTACTTTCCTTGTCTGAGAATCGGTGAGTTTTCAGTCTAATTCACTAAAACAGCGTTTGGATATATAGTGTTGTTAGTACTTTTGAGATAGAGTTTGAATTGCAAACTTAAATACTTTTTTAGTATCTGTTCTTACCTTTGCTATATTTTCTCTTGGATCCAACAAGTTTTATATTTGTAGGAGCCATTCATATGAATTCCAAGGCTAGAAATGCAGTTTGAAAAAAACACATAAAAACGAAAGGAATCTAAGCTTTTATCGAATTTCAAGAAGCTAAAACTCTTTTTGAGACCGCAGTGTAGGTTCTTAAGTTGGATGAAGCCTCAAGTTTTTGCTGCCATTTTTTTCGTTTGGTCTAAAACCGAGGAAAACTCTCTTCTATTCAGTTAACAAAAGACAGGAAGGACAGTCCAAGTGAAATCTGCAAACAACTTTTTCTGTCTCAGTCTTTGAGAATTATAGTAAAAGGAGTTACTAGTCTTTTTTCAACAGACTAGAAAGACAACGTAGCAGACACTTTAAGAATGTTTTGAGATATTCTTCGGTAACCACTTTACTAAGTATTTGGACAAGAAAGGATATTTTTCATTTTAGTTGTATTCGACATGTATGTATGTATAGTCTATTCATTTTGAATCATTGCTACAACTCTGCAATATCGCAAATTGACACCAAAAATAGCCTTCAAATGAAAAGCTTTTAGTTTTGAATTGTGTTTAAAGGTATCTCCGAAATGTTTGAAAGATTGCACTGGTGTATTAACCGAGTCATTCTCCTGCACACAAGTGCATATCATCAATATCCAATTTCTGTGGGAGTCAACAACTCCTGTTTCTTTCTCCTCTGAAAATACTTGCAGACAATAGTGATATTTGATACTGTGGATTCTGCTAAGAGAAAACTTATTTTCAAAAAAGTTCAATTCAGTTCAATCGAGTCTATCCTATCTATTCTCTTCTCGTTTTTCATCATAGCATTTGACTCATAGTTGAATTGTCTCTTCCAGGTAGCCCACTATATAGTTGAGGTGTTTTTGAAGGTAAACATGACTGTTTAGGTTTAAAGGTTTTCACTGCCTTCTCTTGAACTTTGTAGAAACCACAAATTGTGAACATATATAAGAAAGCAAACTATATAAAGTACAAAGCTGCTTTAGGGCATGGATAACTCCAAGCGAACTCTTATTTCTTCCAGTACGAAGAAAACAAAACTTTTAAAAGCTCTGCAAATTCAAGGAAAGATTTGTTTAGCTCCACTTGTCTCCTACTCTTTTCCATTCTCTCATCCATCAGCTCCTTGAATAAGTGAGTCATAATACAAAAGTTATTCGTGTTAGACACTAGGCAGAAGACTCTCGCGAAATATAAAACAGATGGATACACTGGTGGAGGCTTCTTTTTTGATATTTATAACAAGAATCAAAGACAACTCAAAGTTTTGTATAAACAAACTGTCTATAAATACAAGAAACGTTCATTTCCATTAGGGACAAGTCAAACATAAAGAAGAAAAGATATTTTTATCCAAATTGCTCTAAAAAGAAGGAAAATGCCTCTTTCAACTTTGTATTATTCAGCAGAATAAAATTGTGCAGAGTCAAATTGATATTGTGATTATCCAAACTGGTAAAGGTCTTGTTCTTTTAAATATACTGGATCAATTTCGTCTACTAGTGAAAAGAAAAGAATATAAACGTAGAAATAATGGAAAAATAAGAATCTTTCATCTCCTCTTTGCAAAGTAACAAAGAAAGGTGAATCTTGAAATATATGTGCAAGGAGAAGCAAAAGCGTCACCACTTTTACCGTTGTTATTCTAGTCAAAAAGTCTCAAAAAGTTCTTTAGGTGGAGAACGAACCAATAGCCTTGAATCGTTTGAGGTTCGATCCTCCTTGACGTAAGTAGTTTATGTACGAATTTGTGTATAGACAAAAGTATTCCCAACCTTTGGTCAGTTTTTTATTATCGTCCTGTCCTCTGTATACTTTCCAATTCTAGAGTTGAATATACGATTTATTCTTCTTTATAACTCGTAATCGAAAAAAGATTGTTCCTTGAGCGTATTTGCATAGAAGGAAAGGTTCTAGCTCTCACAATGCAAGCCAAACAGAGTTAATGTCATTGAAATTGGAAAATGACCATTTTACATCTTTAAGGAGTTTTCCTTAATTTTGAGTGACCAACAAAAAAAAGGTTCTCAGATCGAGAACGAGTCAAAAACTAGTTGTAGCAAAACCGTTCTTGATTTGTTATCAAAATAGGGTCACAAGTAGTTTAAAATTTACCTTGCAGAGACAAGATTGATCAAACTCAACTCTGTTAAAAGGCTACAGTGTCGCTAGGGAGTTGAGAGGACCTTTGTTACGACACTGTTCTTCTCGTTTCACAACAATACTGAGATGTGAGATTGATTATATCTAGCACACTTATTGTTCCAGAACCTTTTTACATATCTCCAAGTGGAATATTTTCTTTCATAAAACTCACTAGTCACTCAAAATAATATATTTCCAGTGAAAGGAGAGAATACAAAACGATCCTTCTCATAACAATCCAATTAGAAATGAACACAATGGTTTGATTGTTGGATGGACAGGAAGGCTCAGTGAGTGTTGTCAAGGCTGTGGACCTGGTTCAAGTTTGCTAGTGAAACTTTTCAGACTTTAATTTCTAAAGCAAATTCGTCGTTCGTTTTAGTTGGACAAGTGAATTTCTATTATCTACGTTTCTTTTTAAGCCCTTCAAATGTTTCTTTTATAACAATCCGTCGAGTCCTGTGCTCTGAGTTCCATGTAGACTGTAGTTTCTTTTTTGTATTTACAACTTTTATTATCTCTTTGGAGTTTATATCCTTTATGCAACACTTGTTGTTATTTCACTTCTGGTCTTGTATGGAAATTTGAGATTAGCGTTGTCGAGAAGAGAATAAAGACAAAGGAGTTTAAGCTGTCGTTGAGTGTTGGTACTTTGGTCAATTAGTTGTCTCGCAAGTTTGTTTATTTCTATCGATAATTGTTTCAGAGCAGTTTTGCGTATGTATTAGCAGTTGAAAGTCCTGTAGTCTGTTGTTGAGATTCTGAGAATCAGGCTTGGGGCTATAATTTCAAAGATATTCTACAAGAACAAGAAACCAGTCAGACACTCAGTTGAGTGTTTTGTTCAGTACAAAGCGTTACTTTCCGTATGATAGTTTTTTGCCTTCTATATGACTCTTTTCACGATGGAGAAATCGGTCTGTAGCTTTGCAACAGGTTTTTGAGTGTAAACGATATTTGCACTTTTTGTAAAACAAATTCATTTCTCAGGATAACGTAGGAAGGTATTTTTAATGATTGTTTATATTGTTATGCTTTTAGATCAATTCTATTGATTTAGATATGTCTTTTGAAATATTATTTGCGGAAAAACGACACCCATAAGGTTTGACAGTTATTGAGAACGAAAGCTGAATAGACTTGCTTCTTTATAGCAAGGGAAAAGTTTTCAGTTCAATGGATACTCACCTTGTTGGGAACTATGAAATAAAGCAAGCAAAAGAGCACTGCTGAAAGTCATGGTTGTGTCCACCTGGTAAAAGGTTTTGACGATAGCAACTGTAGCTATTAGTCCGTTTTGAGAAACGCCTTTGTTTTTATGAATTACTGGGTTTACCGAAAGTTAAGTTTGTCTAAAAGAATATGCAAGTCGTAAGAGTGATAAAGTTGAAACTAGTATTGATGGTGTTTCTGAAAGGCATCTATTGCAAATCGTCTTTGGTCCTTATATAGTTGGAAAGGAGGGTAACAGTAGTAGGAATGTATGAATGGGAAACAAGGCGACTTGTGTATAGCAGTATTTGCGTGTCAAGAGTGCT